AAAACAAAAAAATTATTAGACTTACTAAATGTCATGACACTTAAAAAGAGTCTTCGTTAGAGCGATCTGATAAGTTTGGCTTGAGACACAGATTTCGCCTTTTTCTTGTGTGTTGCAAGACTTGAATTTCATGCCCTTACACCAAAACCACAGTCTGCCTGATCGGATCTCTGTAATTTCTCGAGTTTTCCAGAAGTTAAAGTTTACTCGAGCGAACGCTGGTCGTGCCAGTTTTCAAGACCTTGATTTGACATAACTTTAAAGACAATTTCGAAAAAACCTATAAAACTTAGTTCAAAAAAATACCACTAAGGGGTATTTCACTGTTATCTTATCCATTAACCTTACTTTAGAGACACTGAGTTTCAAACGATTTAGTGGAAAGGCTTAAAAAACCCTTTATTGGCTCACCAGAGTCAAACGCGCCAAAACCCACCAAATTCAAACTTGAGTTTTTGAAAAAGTCAGACGCTGTAATCTAGTCAAACTAATATAGTTAGTATAATAGCTAGGGTGTCATGAAGAGTCTAACAATCGAAAGACATTTTGCAGCCCACCTTCATTAAAATTTTTATAACTCTATGAACTTGCCTAAACATTCGCCAATCTTCAAGTTTGGCCGCCATTTTGAGACCCTGCGCGCACTTCTGATCACGACTTTGACTACACCTCCGTCGTAAATAATTAACCAGCCTTTAAGAGGGACAAGCTCAGGTCGACACTTATCTCCCGCTTATATATAACTAGGTGCTAACGAAACTAATAAAAGCGAAAAGTTATATCCAGAATCTGTCTGATTGCTGATCTGGGACATGACTTCTGCCATCCATACATGGATTTTATCCAGCGAAACCTGCTTTTTAGGTGTAAACAATTCGTTTGGGGCTGTTTGAAACAGGAATTTATCTGACAGACGTACAAGTAGAACTGGATATTTTGTGCCACCGATTAAGGATAAGTATAAAATCAGGTGGCATTTTTCTGACAAAAGCTATTATTTGCATCGTCTCAGAGATAGTGCTATATTATTATTATTATTATTATTATCACGAAATCTATTTTTCCATTGACCTACTTTTCATGCCTGTAGAGTCCTGCAGATAATTTTGAACTTATACAAAGCACAGCTCTTACAAGTATTGTGTAGCAGCGGTAGATTTGATCACTCATTTTGAGTTGATTGTTTTGCTTCAGTTTAGCCAGTGATAGAAAAGGCAAATGCCAAAGAAACTGTGGTTCAAAAAGGTTAAGGCGTCTTTTTCTGCCGCATTTTCTTCGGCATGAAGCACCCCCTCAAGACACCGGAGCAGCTTGCAATATTGCTAAAGAGGTGAATAGTAAACATGCCTTGTCCGGTGGAGACGAAGGAACTGGCAATGCGGTGGTAATTGGTTTAAATCCAGTCATTCAGGGTTTTTGTCTGTCTGTCTGTCGGTTGAACGACTAAGATACATTTTTGTACTTTTTAAGTTTTTTTTAATAATAATAATAATAATAATAATAAATAATAACATCTATGCTAGCGTACAGAGTGTGGTATGTTGCTCGCACCAATCAGATAGTTTGGGGTATGTATCTCGCACCAATCAGATCGCCGCGTTAGGGTATGTATCTCGCACCAATCAGAGTGTCATTTTTGTTCTTTGGTTTGAGAGGTGTTCAAATTTCAACAAAGTAATGGGGGATTCGGAGAGAGCGGTTCGTCAAATGGAATCATCTTTTAGAATGAGAAATATTGGCTTTTCTGTGTTTTTAACGTGTATTTTACCGCACTTTATGAGAAATGCGATACTACTGAACAGATGAAAGATATCAGATTACCTATGGTAAACGTGTTGCTCGTGCTGTGAAAATGGTGGACGGTTGTTCGAGAGAAAATGGAGTTCTGTGCACAGTAGCACGATTATGGTTATCGTTCCTTCACCAAGAAAGTGAGTGGAAAAATTTTGAATCAAAATTTGCTTGAGGTGTTGATGAATTGCACCAAACATATCGATTTGAGCAGTTCTTCAACGGCAAGCTGTGTTGCAAGATTCTTTATTTGTTGAGTGTGCCGATTGTATTTTTCTGGATTGGCTTGCTCGGTCCTATCTCTAGCACAGGCGGCCCAAGCTCCAGCTGTGAGATGATCATCTTGCGCAATAACGGTCATGGCGGAATTAGAAGAGTTTGTATGGGAATATTTACGACCGCTCTAAGGAATAAAAAAATACGTCTAAAAAAAACACCTCACCTTACTTCCACAGCGTATTGCTTGTTATCTGACCGCTTACTTTGATAAAAAGAACGCATTTTAGCGAGTTGTCCATTTCGAGGTTTTCAACGTACATGAGAAAAGCCCAAGGCTGAACACTCCATTTCCGAACGCCCGACCTGAGAAGCGAAAAATTCCGCTGGAAAATGATCGGGCGGCCACAAATCCAACGCAGAATTTAAGCACATATACTGAAGTTTCATTTCAATTCACTACAAATTCAACCTTCCCCGTGCAACCGACGATAAGCCGCAGTTTGCTTCGTAAATTTCCAGTTTAGAGGTTTCTAACAGCCCGCGTCAACATCAACCTTGACACACGACCGTTGAAAACTAGCTAGGTAACCTTGCCTCCTTTTTAAACTAAGCCTCGCCGGGGACCCCACTATAACTTGGCATGAAGAAATTGTCTTAGCACCACGGGTGCCAAGTTATAGTGGGGTGATCATCTCAAAGCTGGAGCTTGGGCGGCCTATGTCTCTAGATGAATGTCTGATTACAATTAACTATGGACGATTTTGCGTATGTTTTCGATGCCTGGAGAAAGTGATCTTGTAAGGTCGTTTGTGTTTGGCCAAGGACGAATTCAGATACCATCATTAGCATGTTTATTTAATTTTTTTATCTGGAATGAATGACTTACGAAAGTAAGTTAATATGATGTGATCTACTAACATCGAAAATATGCCAAGTCGAAGGAACAGTTTTGGTCTCGGTTCGCATTTTTGTCAACAAAATAAACACATACCGCCTAAAAAGATGATATTACGAACCACGTGCAAAGCTATTAGACCTTTTTACAGTACTAGCGACTAAATACAGGAATGGCTCCGACCTGTAATTGGATGATAAAAATAGTAAAAGTTAATAAGTTGTATCTTAACTCTTTGCTCGTGAGTATTGTTTGACCGTGTGTCTCGAAGAGGAACGATGAAATATCAATGCGAGTGAAAATACCGATGTGTGAAACAGGAAATGGTTACTTACATAACGAAGAGAAGGCCTTTCTTGTTCAGCAAGGTCGTTCAGCGATATTCCGGCGATAAAGTCATCCGCTGACTAGTTTCATTGACTAAACTAATTATTCAGTTCAGGCGGACGACCAAAGACTGGAGCCATTCCTGTATTTCACCGCTGACAGGAATAGCTCTTTTTTTTTGGCAATCGTTTTGGATTTTAGTTTTTTACTACGTTCTTCCTATGTTGAACTCTACCATGCTTTTAAATAAAGCCGGCCATGCACTTTTTCAGCGATAACTTCGATTTATCCTAAGACCAGTACGATCTCCCGGGCGCTTTTATCGAAACAATTAAAATAAAATCCCCGCGAGATGACCTACAAGATGCGAAAGTAGAAAGAATAACAAGTGACAATCATATAATAAATTCGTATTCACTGACTAAGGTCGGGCCGGACAGGAAAATATTTGGCTCTCATTCATGACGCACGGACCTCGCTGCGCTCGGTCGGTATCAGTTCCCGTTCTGCCCTCCTACTCAGTCAACTACTCTTTTGCAGCAGGTGCACACGCAGTGCCTTTCCAGTGTTGAGTGACGTTACGATTGACATAAGTGCCATCTCGTACTTCTCATCAACATTTTTCCACCACCTCAACTTTAATTTTCACCACCTCAGTTTTTAGCTGGCAAGACTTCAACTTTAATTTTTACAGACCAGAGAAAGACGTTCCGGAACATTAAAAGTCGTGCCGGAATGTTAAATTCGTGCCGGAAAGTTAAAGTCGCGCCGGAATGTTAAATTCGCGCCGGAATGTTAAAGTCGTGCTGAAATGTTTAAGTCGTGCCGGATACTGTTGAAGTTGTACGCCGGAGAATTTTTGGCTTTCTTGTTTGACTTTTCGGATTACTATCGTCTTTGTCCCATTGCAGAAGGTATCAGTTTCACCTAATTTCATGTTTCTTGCATGCAGAGTAACTTGAATGGTTTTCGTTGTGAAATATTAATGTAAAGCCAAGGCATAACTTGGGTTGTAATTTTTTTCTATAATTATAGATGTTTTCGGCTAAGCAAAATAGCAAAGACCTGACCTCAAGAACTCTGAGTGAATTAACCAGATTTCAAGCTTTTGAATGCCGTTTTCCCCACCTAAAAAGGCCCAGAAATGGGAAGGTAGAAGTTCACGACCAACCGAAACAACAATCGAATTTACTGAGTTTGCAGTATATTCCAGATAGGCATACGTTAGAGTCATGGAGGGATGAAATGAGGAGAGTTAAGAACTCTAATCCAATAAGCTATTGAATATAATAAGCTATGATGACGATGGAATCAAAGGCATGCTTCGGATTACCGAGGCAATAGATATTAAGAGAGCTGTCGAGAAAGAACTCGACTGGTTTGCATCCACCTAACCTCGCCCACTTTCTGTGATAAGCCATCCTGCCACTAATTCTATCAAAAAGTTCTAAAATCTTATTAACGGAGAAAAATTTGATAAGCAGGTCGATGGTCTTCAAATGTCAGCCAATGAAATCGCGAATCTTTGTAGTGATCGGTGGATCTCATCTGATCATGTACATTGGTTGCTTGACGATCTAAATAACTCACAGAAAAAACTCTTTGTGTTCACATCAATCACGCGTTGGATGTAGAGGCGTTCGTGGCTCGCTCTCTTCCAGATGGCCGGTCAAAGCCAACGAGTTTGTTCTTTGCCCTTAATGTGGGTAAGGATTCAAGTGGTAATGTATTCATTGCGAGCGGATCCCGAAGTGGTTGTCACTGGACAATGTGCCATGTTGATCGGGAAAAAAAGAAAATAGTCTATGGCGACTCACTGGCTTGGAGCGTACCAGTCGACCTCTTGCCTAGATTAGAGCAATTCATCGAGCACATTTATGGAGAATGTCTATCCAACTACTCCGTTTTCGAGTGTTACACTTCAAGTAACGTTTCCACTGAACGGGAGCACAAATGTGGATTCAGCTGTGCATCTCAATACCCCCTTCAGACATGCTCTGATATCAGCGGCGTTGTGGTGTTGATTATGGCTGTGTACGCCTGTACAGCCCGATCATTTTTTTCTGACATTACCACTTCAGGTCAATCGCAGGCGGTGTCACCTTCAAATGTCTTCATAAACGTGCCCCAACGCGTTATGCAAAGTACTTGCGTAGAGTGATCATGGGATGAATCGGTGAGAAATCAATTAACCCTGAGCATGTGGTTCCATCTTCTTTTCTTCGCCCCGAACTTAGTCACGAGAGCCAGTCAGACTCCGATTCGGACTTGGACACTCCTAGAGTACCATCATCAAAAGGAGACATAGATGAGAGAGACAACACCGCAGAGAACACTGAGAAGGGACTTTGTATTCAAAGAAAAGCGGAAAGGGCAGGCAGAACTGAGAGCACTCAAAGCAGCAGTGAAGCAGAAGATAAAATCCTGGACAACAAACAGTTACAAAAGATCAATGATAACCATTACAAAAAAGTCAACAAAAGTAAAACAGAAATGACAAGGCCAGTCAAGAGAAATACCGTAATATTCCTGTTAAGAGAGTGGGTGGAGAGAAAGATGGAAAAAACAAGGGCGATCGTGACAGAGCAACTGACGACGATGGAGTCACTTGTGATGAGAAGAGAAACTGTGATGACAGCCCAAAGCATAGGCCAGGTAGTGGAGAGCAGCATAGAGGTGAACGAGGAACCGGGAAGTCTCATCAATGTCCTGAGTGTGAATATTCTTGTGTTAAACTATCAAACATGAAGAGACACATCAACCGAAAACATACTAGGGCTGTCGGGAAGAGAGCGTTCCAAAGTGGGAAGTGTCTATGTCTAGAGTGCGGCCATCGATGTTTCAGGATTAAGGACCTAAGGAAACATTTGTCTACAGAACACGGCGTGATATTCAAGACAGAAATTTTGCAAATGCAAAATGCTAAGGTTTACTCAGCCTCTTTTTATAAAATTAAACATCCCTCATAACTTTCATATCTACTTATTTCAGACCATTAGACGAGTCCCAAATGACACATAATATATCTTTATTTTAGAATTCGAGACGTGGAAAGCGGACACTGAGGAGAAGGAAGGCTGCTCTTTTGTCAAGGTGACAGATGCGTTACTTGAAGAAAGCGGTAACCCTAGAAAATACAATAAGGGCAGTCTCAGCAGGCAATTCACGTGTCTCACTTTCAACCAGTAATTGTTAGTTAATTAATTGATTAATTAGTTAATTCATTCATTCACTCATTCACTTATTTGTTAACTTTTTATTTGCTTATTTATTTACTAATAAAGGTTCCAAGAAACAAAAAAACAGTGGGCTTAGGGTCGATTATTTCCAGTGCGACCGTTAAGGGAGTTACAGGCCACGCAGAACTGGAAAGAGAAGAGGAAAGTCTTAAGGTACTAGTTCAGGTCAACGAAAGAAATCTCTACTTTGTAGGCATGTCATCTCAAGATCTTTGTTTCAAACTAAGAGAAATCTCGAAATTACTTATTATAAATATCATTTTAATCTATTAAATGCTATAGGAGATATATATTTACCTGTCTTTCTGCATATCTTTCGGTCATCTGTCTGTTTTTTTTTTTTTAATATTGTTGCATCGTTACTTTATTGTACTAAATTTGCATAAACAATCGATCAGAAACGATTTTAATTCATTTCGTTTTAATGATGGAATACTCTGCATTTTTCTTTTCACAGGAACCTGCAAGATAGAGAGGAACTGTACTTCCACACTTAATGTATCTAATCTAGCGGATGGCAAAGTAAAAGTGGAGATCTGCTATACCCACTCTGGCCACACAAGAGACATCCAGCATACGTGGCTGCCAAAAGGAAAAAGGTAAGAGCTTGCGGCAAAAATCCAACAGGGGGTTCCAAGGGAGAAAATTCTTGACGACATCAGAGATAGGGAAACGGAGAATAACTTCTTTCGGCATCACCTGTTGGAAAAAAAGGATCTGTTGAACATTGAAAGAGCTTTCGGGCTGAAAGACTTTCAGCGTCACATCAATGATCAAGATAGTGGCTTGGATTACGGAATGGGAACAATCAGTAGATACTAATCCCATACTCTTCTGCAAGTTTCAGGATGAAATGGTAGAAGGGTATGACTTATTTAAGGAGGACTTTGTGTTGATAATACAGAGTCCTTTTCAAAGGCACATGCTTCAGAAATTTGGGACCAAAGGTATTTGTTGTGACAGTACTCATGGTACCAAAGCTTACGACGTTGAAGTCTGTGAAGATGAAGATGCTTTGCAACAGTTGGAGAAAAGTGTCAACTCCTCTTATAGTTTGTTCACTTTGATCAAGCAGCACAAATATACGACAAGTACAATTTCAGCTGCTATACCTAAAGGGAGTGCACCTGCCAACAAAAAAATTGAGGTCCAGAAACGTTTCTATTCCACCAAACGAAAGACACAGAAGAGAAATATCAGGTTAGCAAAACCAACCAAGGAAGAGAAGATGGAGATGATTGAAAACTGGAGGAATAATGAGAAATAAGAGCAGAACAACAGAAAAGTACCTGTAGACTTCACATCGGAAAACGGTAGCGCACAAGGTATGTTATGCTTCATTATTTGAAAATCTTTTTTCCTTTGCATATAACACCAGTCTCACCTCACCACCTGTTGCCTCGCTTTCTAAGCCATCTTGAACAGCTTCTGTGGTACTTCCCCCCCTGTAATGCGTTCCTCTCAACACGATGTGGCGTATTCTCGTGAAACAACGCGTAAAAATGGTAACTGCCTTCAATCCTCAGTCGTTTATCAAGCCACCGTCACACGGAGCGACAACAACACCTCTGAAACATACATTGGACTCACAGAAACCGACTTCAAAACAAGACACAGAAATCACACCGCATCATTCCGCCACGCCAAGCACAAAAACTCCACCGAACTTAGCAAACACATCTGGACACTCAAGAACGACAACATTGACTACTCTATTTCATGGCGCGTCTTATCATCTAACTCTCCTTACAACAGCTCCAGACTAAAAGATGCAACCTCTGCCTAAAAGAAAAATTCCTGATAATTTACCGACCCGACCTCTCATCACTAAATAAGCGTAACGAACTCGTATCTTCATGCCGACACAGAAACAAAGCGTTGCTACGCAACAGCTGAACTTTAAAGTTTTTAAGTTTACCGCGTATTATGTAAATTTTCCTAGTATATAAACGATAGTCACATGAATATTCTTTCATTAAACCCCTGAAGAGTGAAGCGATTCACGAAACAGGCTTGTCGGGATATGTAGTTGCGTCGTTTTTTCCTCTCATAATATTTATTCTGCTCTGCTTCAACGTATTGAGCACTGTTCCACGCGAAAATCGACTTGCAGACTTCCTATATATATATATATATATATATATATATATATATATTTCAGTTTACAAAAATGAAAAAAAATTTGCCCAACTTGTTATAATGATTAGCTATATATCAGTCTGCACGATGCACAATGATTGGTTGCTGTAGCATTAGGTACTGAACAAAATGATGAATATTACAGATTCAACCGAGCTGATGTTATGCTACTCTTCTTAAGGAGATCCTCAAGGTCTCTGCAAGAAATAAGCATGCAATGTACTTGGCAGCCGGTTTGTGATGTAACACTGGGAGACACAATTGATCTTGATGGCAGGTACATTATGCTCTCCTCCATGTTAAAAAGACTAAAACTTAGTAATGACTCATTCTCTTGAAGACACTATTAAATTTGAAAAATTTGAAAATCCTAAAAAAAGCCCCAACAATTTGAAAATCCTAAAAACTCCCCTACCATAGGGAATTTTTTTAGGATTTTAAAATTGTAGGGGCTGTAGAATTTTCAAATTGGATGTATCTTCAGTGCTCTTGCTTTCAGTGCTTCCTCATGATCACAACAGAGACATAGCTGGAAGAAATTGGGTAAAACTGACATGATCTTGTTACTGTAGGCCAAACAATGATACTCATCATGAGAAACCTCTAATCTCGAAAGTACTTCCTACATCAATCACTGTGCAACAGCTTGAAAACTAATCTGCCATGGGTGGTATGCAATATTGGTATGCAGAATATTTTAGAATAATCTTGATACATGAAAATGAAAAGACGATAAGAAACATTCTCCCCCCCCCAATCCCTGACTTGGTATATTGAAGCATAGAAAAATCTGTAATAAGAAACATTCCCCCCAACCCTAACATGGTATCTGTAGTAACTAGCATGTATAGTGCAGAATTGTGTCTAGAATACCTAGAACAAAACAAAAAAGAAATAAAAAAAAAGCAATAAAGGAAACATTACAGTTTTATTTATATCATTACTAAAATCGGTCAGATAAAACAATATTCTGCACTCTATAAGTGAAATAATTGTAATACATCCACTGATGTGTAAAGTTATCAGCATCATAGGGTGTTTTTTTTTACCAATACCAGTATAATTCACCAAATTTATCATCTGACTTCTGACTTTGTTGGTTGGATGGTTGCTAATATTTGAAGTAGGTATATGTTTCCATCAGTACAAACTTCTCTTACCTGCTTTTTAATAGTTGTAAAATTTCTTTCAAAGAAAGAGAATGGTGCAAAGATGGTGCAAAGCTTTGTTTGATTCATTTGGCAAATTGACAAATTAATCGAAGAAAGCTTTGCACCATGATGACATCCTCTCCATGAATAATGACTGTGAATTTGTCAGTGCCAGATTTTTCTGAACAAATTCTTCTACATTTCTGAATTCAAAGATCAAACAAAGATGATTAACCCACATTATAGTTCTAATGAACAAAGCAGTGAGTTTGCACCATCACCCTCTCCGTAGATAACAACTGTGAATTTGTCAGTAACAAGATTTTTCTTGATGTACTCTTCTACATCTCTGAATTCAGAGATCAAACAAAGATGATTAACCCACATTATAGTTATAAAGATTGTTAATACAAGATACAAAATCTTGCATTGCAGGAAACAAAAAATTTACCTCAATTTCAATGCATTTTGCATGATAGGGAATAATTTAATTGCATAGAACCATCACGTGAGTACCTACACTGCACTTTCAACTGGATCCCAAATATCAGGAGCAGAGTGTGCATCTAATTACCACCTTAAAAAGTTTTCTTTTGGATAACATAGTGATTAACATAGTTTAGTCATTAACATAGAATTAAAGAAACACTCTCACTGACAAGCAGAGTTTGTCAGCAAGTGTCTTTGATTTTGACCTTTGGAACAGTTTTGATACCAAAGGTACCTTCCCAGTGTTCAAAAGGAAAACATCATTGCCTGATTCATCACAGTTATCTGAATAAATAAATATTTAAAACTCCTTTCAGAAAAGATTGTCATACCACTATCAAGACTTATTTTTTAAACTACACAAACCAAAAACTCAAACCCTAATGTGATTTCAATCACTCACCACTTTTTGTGAAGACAGAGCTGACAATCTCATCTTACTTGTGAAGAATATGTTATATTCATCACAGGTAAGATGCAATTGTTCAAAAGCAATGCAATGTACTCCAACCTGAGAGTCTGTGTGGTTTGAAATTTTTTTGTTTAATAGTGATATTTCCTTTTTAATTCAACTGTAGTTAATTAATCAGAAGAAATCCTTAAATTAATTATACATTAATTATCTCAACCCAGACAATCACAACTTTTCACAGACCTTGCAGTTGAAATTTCATGCAATACAGAATGGTTAACATAAAAAAAAACCTTTCACCTTTAGGTATTTTATGTATCATTCATAGGAAAATACTCATCAGATACGAGAGCTTATACTTTCAGTAAAACCCTAAGCATGATAGAATGTTATTGCCTTAATTTTTCACCACAAATAAAGATACATTACAAGTTACCTTTCCCAGTGTCCTCTTTAACTGCTGAAAACTTTCGTTGCCATTTGAACCAGCAGGATTTTTATATTCAAGAATAAAATCATTCAATCATAAATCAATGATCAGCCCATGTTGATTGAACTTCTTAACCACTGTCTTGATTGTTAAACAAATTAACTGTCTACATTATTCATTCTTTATTATGCATTTTCCTTTTTATAATCCTTGGGTGACTGTTGATGCGCCCATTGATAATTTAGGTTATCCTAAGGAATATCAACGGCCAACACATGCCAAAGGACACTCTTACATCATCTTTTGGCAAATGAAGGTGAAAATAAAATCAATAAATGAATAATTATTTGAACATTCAATAGATTAAAGGTTCTTTTATACCAAATGCAAGTTCCATTAGACTTTCTAATGGAACTTGCATTTGGTATAAAAGAACCTTTAATCTATTGAATGTTCATATAATTATTCATTTATTGATTTTATCACCTGTCATCACCATCATCATCACCTGTCATCATCATCACCTGTCATCATCATCACCTGTCATCATCATCACCTGTCATCATCATCACCATCATCACCTGTCATCACCATCATCATCATCATCACCTGAGTCCAGTGGAAAGAATATTCTTTCCACTAGGCACAGGTGATGATGGGGACTGGGGAGGTTGATCAACAGGGGGGTTAGAACTTTCCTGAACAGGTACTATGAAGGGGTCAGATGGTTGACAATTTGAATGTTTATTGTTATTTTTAGTAGATAAGTAAACATTAACAAAAAATTCCTTGATTACTCCCCAGGATAGAACATCAATTAATGTTTACTTGTGGCAAGGTTTACACTGAGTCTACAAATGCATAATAATTGCAAATTACTCTTTCTTCAGCTTAACCCTATTTAAAATGTTACTTCTCCTTGAAATATTCACACATTATCTGGCAAACAGATAGTAAGAATACTCAAACTTATCTGGTAGAACTTTTTACCTTGATCTAACCAAATACTCATAACTAATTTACAAGGAAATGTGTAGCAGCTAGTAGGGAGAATTAACATTCAGATATTTAAGTTAAAGAGTTAAAACACTGGCAAATTTACAAAAGTTATTATCCTAAGTAAGTACAGATTGAGAGAATATTCTAACTGGAATATACAAAAGGCTAACCACAGCCTTTGGCTGAACTACTCGCAATAGAATATACTCATTAAACAGCAGTAATTACCTTCTTGACTGGGGGCATTGATTGCTGGGGAGGCCTCATAAGTCTGACTTGGAATTGGAGTTCCTCCTCCATGCTCGAAGACTGCAGTAAGACAAAAAGTTAACTACCCTAAGTAAGTACAGATTGGGATAATAGTCCACCTGGGATACAAAAGGCTAAAGGCAACCATGGCTGAACTTATTGCAATAGAGCATACTTATTTAACAGCAATAAAATTGGCCTGGAGTTCCTCCCTCAGGCTCACAGACTGCTGTAAGACTCTCACTTGGAGTCACTTCACTATAGGATAATGTCAAGATTCCACAAATTTAAAGATGATGCACTACCATTATCAAAATCTTTCTCTGACTGTTCAGTGCTGCTTGATACCCTTACAACATTATGTCCCCCAAGCTTGATGCAGTTGCTTCTTTTATGCTCCCAATGTAAAGGTCAAGCTTCTGTTCATCGATTTTCATTGACTCCCAAGGACTAGGAGTAGCATTCTTAGCTGAAAAACTGTGAAAGAGAAAAGTATAAATAAACTTCCTATTTGCTGATATAATATTAATGATTGATTAAAAAAGGCATTTAAATGTTATGATTGATTCTTTGGATAAAAATTGTTCCTGAAGCACAGTATGCACTACACTTATTTGAAACCTCATTTGAAGCTGCATACATAATTCTATATTTAAACTCAAGAACCTGGTACTTATTAGGCTCCTAGCTTTAAGGCAGCTAACACATCAAGTTCAAAATGAAAAAAAATAAAATGTTAAAAATATTAAAAAGGAGGAAAGTCACTCAAGAAGAGTTAAGTAGAAACTATTACTCTGGTCTTCAGATTCCTTTAGAGGTTCAAATAGTTCATGTATGATATACACACTAAATCTTAATTCTTTAGAGTTCTGTCACAATATACAGACTGGTGCACCAAAAGCTGGTTAAAATCCTTATAGGTTCATGCATAGTAGACTCAAAGAGATTTGATAAACATGGTTTCAAAAGAAGGAGAATCTAGTGCACTTTAGACAAGGTTAGCTATATGTATCATTAGTTTGGGTTGTTTTAATTGATTTCAAGTAACACTTTCAATATATTGCATGGGTAGGGATAATTTTTAGGTGCCCCTTTATTAGTGGGGAAAGGGGGGGTTGCTATTCCTCCTCTGTTAGACGTCATTTGACATGTGATCAAAGTCGTCGTCATCATCATCATCATCATCATCATCATCATTTTTTCTCCACTGTTCTAGCATCCAGATTATGTAAACAATTTCGCCCAATTGGGAAATGTTGCAAAATAAGCTCAAAAGTGAGTCATTGCAATATGTAAATAATCCAAATGCGCTCCTTCTTCAAAAAGGTAGATTATTACATTTCTGTGACAATGAGACCCTCACCATGTAAATTGAGTGTCAAGCAATTCGACAAAGAAATGGCCGCCACACTGAAGTAGACGTTTAAAGAAAATGAACGAGCAGCTGAAGATTGCTTTCCTCTCTATAGATCACTTAGATTTTTCCTTCACGTTTTTGGACAGAGATACTCTATCCAATACTCTCTAATATTCTCGTTCTTTAACGTCTGCCAGACGATTGATTGTGCCTTACGTTAGAAAAGTTCGCCATGTTTTAGCCTTTAATTTATTCCTTGCCCCTCCCCTGTAAAGACAGTGATCTGACTCGTAACCAAGGTCCACGCCGTGCCCTGCCACTTTTCTTGAGAAGCTTCCTTTCAAGCATTAAGCAAAGGGTAGCGATCATCCCCAAAAATTGGAAAAGGTATTTCAAACAAAAAGAATGACGAATGAGATTAGCAATTCAGAAAAACGAAACCTCGCTAGTAAACAAGTCTTTCTCCAACCTGTAAGCGCGCGCAAAAATACCGTACTATTGCACGAGTAGGAAAAAACTTTCTTGTTCTGAAATTCCATCTTGCAATGTTTTCCATAGTACTATGTTGTCTTGAAAATATTCGGTTTTGATCCTATCCCTTGTTTGCACTTACCTGGTATCCTTTCCACCTGCCACAGTCTCAGATTTTTGACAACTCTGCTTATGAAATGATGAAGCGCGCGCATTTTATTCTCATTTCACGCGTGAAAAGATTTACTTGCCGCGACAAAATCTTTCCGAATTCTCATTGTTTTTAACTATACAAAACGCTGAAAGATCGAAACCTGGTCAAATTTTTTCCTACCATGTGTCATTTTGGACTAGTCCACCCAGAGCGATGCTATTCCGTCGATCTCTAAGGCTGTTGTTGTTGTTGCCATGCTTGTATTGTTGCTTCATTCGTATAAAAGACGTATTTTGATTATGTAAGACCTGCGCATCTTGATCTAGCAGACTCTAATGTTTATTAGTTGGCCGTAGTTGTCAATAAGTAAGAATAGGATTTCCTTGCGCTTGCTTTGGTACCCGCCCTTTGGAGTTTTTTTCGGTCCCCAGCTCCGTTTTTTTTTCCATGCTCCATGTTCATTTCAAACGGTGTCACTGTTTACTTGAGTTTTGGGGATATGAGTCCAACGGAAAACAATAGTGAAAATATTTGCGTGATGCAGAGAATTTGTTCAATGAGAAGCTAAGTGATCGCAAAAGTAACATTATAAACGCCGTGCAAAATGTTGATTTTATATATTATATATTATTTCTGCTTTAATATTACTTTTAGCTAACCCTTTCCCCTTATTCAGTTATTTATTCTTGACGTCAAATTTCCTTGCGTTTACATCTGGTCTTTGATTTCCTACGCTCTGTCTCTTCGCTTCCTCTTTCGACACAAATTCTTCTTCTTTTCATTTAAAGACAACTCAACTTTATGTATGCAGGAGCCTAAAGGCCTGGCACACGACAAATTCCGAATTTGCCTGGCGAATTATAGCTAGGAGCTCATTTTAACCACCCCAAGACCAAAAAAAATGAATAATGAATAGTACTCACGTTGAGAGAATTCATCTCTTTGATTCCTTCCATCACTTCCTTGAATTTTCCTACGAATGACTCATGAAGAGCCCAACTCCAACCAACGCAAAGTTGTAATGACGGGTTGTAATTTTCGCGCGTCGTGATGACGTAACAGACGAGAGAATGAACTAATCAACAGATTAGCAAGTATACGTAACTTCTGCCTCCTTTTCAAGCGCCTTTGCACTGGTTTAGGAAAGCGCGGGAAACTGCGCGAGTGCGCAGACTGCTGGATAGGAGGATATTGACAGGTTTTAATAAACGTTCGTCCATAACTGCCTCAGGTTCTCATTTACTCAAAGTGATTGCAAAAACAACGGACAAGTCCTAGAAACGAGACTGAGAAAGATTGGCAGCTTGTCAGGAAAAATAAAGGGGTGCGTCGTTCCGCAAGTAAACCAGTCATAGGCTGTCGGTTGCTTTAGCCACCACGACGCACTGACCACCGACCGCGAAAAGTTAGCACAGACTTCTTCGCAAATGAAAGGTTCTGGATAGGAGAATGAGAAAGATCGGGAGCTTTCCAACAAATGTTGAAAAGAGCGTGTCCTCCCGCAAGAAAACCAAGTCTTCAAGCAAGCTGTTTTGTCGTTAATGCCTGGTTTGCTTGCGAACATATGTAAATGAGAAAAAATATGAGCACTAAGTTCTGCTTCGTACGTAGCATGAAACCACTTGGCTATAAATTAACCAACATCCCTCGCCAAAAGTAAGCTTCGCTCATCGGACTTGTGAATGATACAAAAGAGATGATCTTAAACCTTTGACCAAAAGCAGTGACCATTGATTAAGTAATTTTTGACCACAAGTTCATTACACAGTATGACGGACAGGCAATGAAAAGACAAAAAGTGACTAAGCTGGATTGAAGCTTTAATGTCACAACAAATTGTCGATATCGGAAAACATGAAAATATATATAGGGCTCCAGTTATGAACATCCATTTTCAGATGCTGGGAGTGAGTACGTAGCTTCAAAAAACTGGAAAGGTTTCTAGAAAGTATTTCACTTCGGATATCATGGTTCATTTTACCTGTTCTGTGAGCGTCTTGTGATACCCCTGGGGTATGGCTGAGGACGCCACCAGGTTCAATAAGTCTCTTTAACTACGTGTAAATAGACCTCTTTTAATGTGCCGGAAATGTTTTCATTCTTCGATGCCCATGCAAATATCCTTCTTGGCCTCGCTTTTAGGTGAAAATGCCATTCTTTCAGACATGTTGTCGGGGCTGGAAAGGCCAACTTATGTCAATGAAAAAAACAACAGCAACTAAGCCGCCATTTATAAAGAAAAAAATTAAGGAAACGAATTACGGAGCAGAACAACGAATAATACTGGAATCTAAATCTGCACAAAATTGAAGGAGTTCTTTTTATTTCTCTCTACAAAATATAAATCATCATCAAACATAATCACACTGCGGATTTAATATTTAATAAGGCTATTTTATGTTGCGGCTAACAACATACGTACCCTTCACTATTATCGTCAAGGTCGTTTCTTGACAAATATCCATAACATACTTTGCAGATCTATCGATTTAATTTGAAATGTTTACAATATAATTTAAAACTACTCTTGAAAACTTATGTAACTTTAAACAAAATGTCACCTCTCCTTAGGTACAAAGTAGCTGAGCCAAAACTGTTTCTCTCATAAAATATGGGCGATTTTTTTAATAAACTCGCCTCCTGTCCAACAAACTATTTCCAAAAGAGAAATTTGAATATATATGAATTACTTCAATTAATGTATTCTAATACTAACAAACCATATAGCATTCACACAGGGCTAAATTAATCTTTGCACAGTTAACTCCTCGCAGTTCATGGCATTTAATTCGCTTTTGTCTTTGAAGGACTTATTAACTTATATACAACACTAAATAAGATCCCATCAGGAGGGAAAATGAAGACAAGATATGCCATAAATCATTTAGTCAAAGAAATTCACGACTGCGCAGTTCTTGTTCAGATCACGTGATTTCTCAGCAGTCAGCGTCTTGTCTGTTGTCGCCTTGGCAGTAAAAATCCAAAGCGCAGTTCCCATACACCCTAGCGTGACTATAATATAGGAGACTTGAAAAAAGCGGAAAATTAACGTTTGAAATGTGCAACATCGATGGGTGGTCCGAAAGAACGGAATCAACACTTTACCCGTGATAGCAAGGGGACAAGCTGAGATACAGCTGAACAAGAACATGTCAAGGAAATCAAACTGAATTCCATAAGACACCGGGAGAACAATACTTATAATCACTAGGATCAAAAAGAACAACACAGCCTTTAAAATCTCATCCCATTTTTTGAGGTCACTATTCCTCAGAATGTTGTAAAACAATTGTATACCCCCCCAAGAAAGAATACTGAATATGATTTTCATTGCCAAACCCATTTCATCAGGATGTTTATAGAGAAGGGAGCCAAAGTAATTGAAAATAAACAGTGGAACTAAAAAGAAGAAGAAAAATTGTTGGCTTGTACAGGCTTTTTGCACCTTTTTCCGACAACGCACTCTTTGAAGCTAATTCCGTTATACAATGACAACACAATCAAGCCTGAAATGACAAACATGAAAGCTGTATCGAACTGGAAAGTCAACTTGGTGGGGTAAAAGTGATAAAGCATGAAAAAACACCCCTCAAAAATCAGCCCACAGGCTAAGGGGGTACCCTATCGAAAAAGCGAACATCCTTCTATGAGCTTCAGCATGCAACATTATCTCTTCTTCCAGATTGTTGGTTTGAAAATAAGGAACAGTCATTTTTGCCAGGTGACCATTGATGTTCGGGCATTTCAAGATGTGTTTCGGTAACTCGACTTGGCCTGGCGGAAGTCGCACAGTTGACAGGTGGTTCCTACGCGCTTGCTTGTGGCACCAAGCGAACTGATAACTCGGCTTCCATCACCCACACCGACCAGGCCAGGATCAGGCCGTGAATCATGTAAACCAGGTCACTTATCATCAGGTTGAAGGGAATGTCATATCCACCAACTCTATAACAAAATTCATTGTAATAACACCTGTCCCTGCCGCCCGTATGTATCATCTCGTGCCAGTCTTCGAAGACATACTGGTATGAACCAACCAAAAGGACAAAACCGACAATACAGGTGGTGTAAGAGAATGTTTTGGGTCCTTGCGCGAACCAGTGGGTAAACAGCTCTATTTTTCATTGCTTTAAACAATTCCCTCCAAGTTAAGGGTTTTTTTTCCTTTTTTCCACGTATCAATGGCCGTAGCTCATCAGCTTGTTCGTCCTCTTTCTTTTTCCAGCAAGATGAAAACAAGCTCCTAAGATTGTCTTTCATTCGGTGACAAGCTGCCATGGGCGACGAAAAGTTTATCGCTGAATCGTCAATATGTTAATCTTCCACGGCCAGTATATATGGCTCCCTGAAGCAAAACAACTGCAATACCCCCCAAAAACGACAAAAATATTAAGAAATAGAACGGAGTTGCGTAATCATAATCAAACGAGCTTGCTAGAGCCAGTGTCACGTTTTTGATTCTAGTTTCGGACTTGCTTTTTATCGCAATGCCTATGAACCAAGGGCGACCGGTATCTTCTAGAGGCGGTAATGATGCTTTAGAGAGGGTGATTCGGCCCTTTTCTGCCAACGACAGCCTCAATGATTTTTGATCCAGTGCATTTATATTCTTCACCACATCCTCGCACGTATGTGAAACTTTTAAGTAAGCTGTGATATTTATACTACTGGATTCCACAGTTATGTCAAATTGTTTTTTTGAGATACCCGCGCTGGTTTGAACTGAATTGCTGCTGGTTGAGTGCTTGAAATCGTAAAACTCTTTGATTGACCGATATCTATAGACGAGACGTTTTCAGAAATATCCACTGCGTAACTTAGGCTTGGAGTTCCTGTTAGTAACACTGAATACTTCTGGCCGGAAGGCTTTGGACATGAAATTGACGTGCTCCAAACATGCGACACAGCAGTGTCAAGATGACCAGAGGAGGACAATTCGTCCTCACCGTACACTGTCATTTGAAGAGTTCCTGCCAAGTTAAAAAGATGATAAAGTTATTCCCCAAATAATAAAAACGAAAAATTAATCGCGCACCAATCAGATCGCTGCATGAGGGTATGTATCTCGCACCAATCAGAGCGTCGTTTTTGTTCTTTGGTTTGAGCGGTGTTCAAATTTCAACGAAGTAATGGGGGATTCGGAGAGAGCGGTTCGCAAAATGGAATCGTCTTTTAGAATGAGAAATATTAGCTTTTCTGTGTTTTTAACGTGCGAAATGCGACACTACTGGACATATGAAAGATATCAGATTACCTATAGTAAACGTATTACTCATGCCGTGAAAATGGTGGATAGTTGTTCGAGAGAAAGTGGAGTTCTGTGCTCTGCAGTACGATTATGGTTATTGTTCCTTCACGACGAGAGTGAGAGGAAAAATTTTGAATCAAATATTGCTTGAAGTGTGGATGAGTAGCACCAAACATTTTGATTTGAGCAGTTCTTTAACGCCAAGCTGTTTTACAAGATTCATGATTTGTTGAGCGTGCCGATTATATTTTTCTCGATTGGTTTGCTCGGTGCTATTTCTAGATGAATGTCTGATTACAATTAACTATGGACGATTTTGTGTATGTTTTCGATGCCTGGAAAAGTGATCTTTTGGAGTCAAGTATCAAGTCGAAGGAACAGTTTTGGTCTCGGTCCGCAATTTTGTCAACAAAATACACACATACCGCTTAAAAAGATGATAATACGGACCACGTGGAAAGCTGTTAATTGCTTCTCAAATTTTGCGCATGTTATATATTCAATAGTGACATCTCGTTTACATCTACATTTTCATCTACTTTTATTACGTTTGTAAAATTTGTACACACATCACACCAACCAACTCGCGCGCAAAGTGAGAAGACTATATGAAGGCTTGAAATTATATTACGATCGATTTTCATCGAGAAATGGACCAGGAATATTCCAAAATAATGCAAATAATCGTGAAAGCTGATCGCGGCAAAGCGATTGCGTGACACTCGGTGAGTTGTACGATGACATGTTTTCACATACCAGACGAAAAAACTCTTTAGATTCTCAGTCTGAGTTTTGTACCCACTCGGCAGTCTACAGTGGGTTAATTCGAAATTTTCGTTCTTTTCCGCGTTGATAGTCTTCTTTCCTTTTATAAGAATGTGGACATCATTTACAATGTTTCATGTAAACCACCCACCCCCCAAAAAATAACTCTTGCATGCATAGCATGCCTATGTTTTTATCAGGATGGCGCACTTTCCACACGAGGTCTTGGCGTAGAAACGACGGCTCAGCCAAAATTTTTTTAGAACAATACAGATTCTGGAACTCCTTTGAAAATAAGGCTCGATGAAGTGTGAGTTGTCGAGCTCAGGGACGGAAAAGCGTGGAAAACTGGAAACCTCAAAAGCAATTCCGAACACCGAACGATTAACTCAGCCCACAGCCTGGAGCTTTGGAAATGCTGAGACACTTGAGGCACCCATGGTTATTCACACAGCCTCAGTATTGTGCCATTTTTTTTTTTTTTATTCCATGGTTATTCACACAGCCTCAGTGGCTAATGGTGAGAAATTTGTTTATGTTCTTGATTTTTTTTATTCCAAGAACGAAGTGAAGATTAGAAATAAAATGTGTTTTGTTCCTTATTCTCCGTACAACGAAATACCAGCTTAGGGAACTCAAACGAGTATATCTTCTTTTTTTTTGTCTTACGTACGGTGTATGGGAGAAAGAAAACAAATGAAATGTTTTTCATGTCGATATTAACGATTTAGCGATATTTTATTCTTGCACATCATTTAATGAGCTTTTTTTCACTTCACTGCAATTTAACTACTTTTTCAAAGAGCTTGTATTGTATCACTTAATACATAAGGTTGGTAATATGAGAAGTATTGGGATGTTGGGCTCTAAACTTCTTTTGAATGAGTCTTTAAGGTATCAATACTTTCTTCGAAAGACCTGGAAGAGTCTGCCTAAGTTTGCTTATACTTAATAAGTGTATAAGCAAAAGGGATTTCAAGATCTCCGCCAGAAGAGATATTTGTGGCATTTATAAGAACAAATTCGTAGCCACAACTTAAAAATGTGATGAAGTTTATGGCACGTTGATTCTTTATTGGCACACTGTGAGGTGAAGGATTCTCCCCTTGTCTCTCACTTAACCAGAATTTTGTTGCATGACTACAACGAAGCCAATAGCATTTGTTATTTACCTACCATACTTGACATTACTTGCGATACTGACCTATCAATTTCTTTTCTTTGACGAAAACGTTGAATTGTATGTATAAATGCATATTCGGAAGTTAGCTGACAATCCAAGATGATCTACGTAGATAATTAAGTGGGAAGTTGTCTTGATGTTGGCTTTTGTTCCTAGAAACAAGAGCTGAGTGCAGTGGATTTAATTTCGGAAAAAGTCGAGAAATAATTTATTCAGAAACTCTAACAACTTATAAATTTGGAGCACAAAAGAGTCTTCGCATTTTTCTTCAAAATTCTGACGATGATAAGTCAACCTTTCCGAAGTCCTAATTTTCCATACAAGTAAATCCACATGTGTCCGGTCTCAATTGGATGGCAAGGACGTAGTTAGGGGGGAGAGGGTCCTGATGTGCCCCTGACCCCCCCCCTTCCCCTTTTCAAACTTTTTTTAAGCTCGGCATGGAGGTCGACATGGCGATCTGGTGAGTACCCTTTATTTGACACAGTGTGACCCTCCCCTCCTCCTTTGAGCTTTCCTGGCCAAGCCCTTGGATAGAGACCTCTGGCAAAGGCTTTTCATCACTAGATTTGATTCAGTTTTGTTTCTCTCGTTTCCATGGAAATATTGAAAACTTATATTGATTCTCTCTATTTCTCTCGTTTTCTTACTTCTCTCTTTTTTTCCGCTAGTGTATCAGTTTATGCAACTCCCACACGATTTGCTCCAAACATCTTGTTTTCAATTTCCTCAGCTTCAGCAAACGTTTTTCTTGTTAACATCTGAAAGATAGCTACGCGAAATTGTCTGATTCTTGCAGTGTAGATGAGTGGGTTTATCGACGAATTAAGCACTGCCAGAAATGTAATAGGGAAGTAAGCGATTTGTCCTACGTCAGAGAGGTTTTCTCCATCTAAGGAAATGAAAACAATCAGCAAAACGCAAGTAGGAATGTAACAAAGGAAAAGTGTCAAAACTATCACGACAGTTGTGTTAAAGGCTCTCTTATTCTTGAGTAACTTTTCCTTCACGGCTAAAGAAACTTGGTTAGCAATGATTTGCTGTGTGTTGCGACTAACTTCTTTGTATATGACAACATGACAATAAACTACAGTGGAGATAGCGGCTGAGATAAAAACAACACCTATTTCTCGAAGGAAGCTGGTTTTGATGCCAAAGATAATCACCGCACACATCCACGCCAAACCAGATGCCATGATAATACGAGCTTCAGTAACAAGGCCATTTTCGTACGCGAAGGGATGTTTGATAGCTAGATAACGTTCTCCGCTCATTAACAACAAGTGGAGAAGCGAAGATGCAACGCATGTTTCGCCAACAGCACTGGATACGTAAACAACAGTGCGGGTCACGGTTTGAAGGCTGCTACCTGTGAAAAACAAGCTGAAATTGGTTGTGGCCAACGGTTGAACAAGCAGTCCTACAATAAAATCTGTCGTGGCCAAGCAAGCCAGCGAGGTGTTGGATTTTATACGTAGACGTCGCTTTGTTTTCACGGCACCTATTACCAGACTATTCAGTAAAACTGCGAGAGGACAAGTGAAGATATTCAAAGCAGCGGTTATTGCTAACACGGAATAAACGCCTGAAGTGATATTTGTACGACTGTTCGAAAGAAATTCGAAACCAAGAAGGGGTGCTGTAGTGTTCGGCATGTTGATTCCTTATGGCCGCGTGTTGAGTGGAGCAAATCCTTCCTTGTCTCTCACTTGACTGTGTTTTTGCATGACTAGAACGAAACAACTTGCTATTGTTATTTGATTACCACTTCAGTACAAGTGTATTGTCTGTTTTAATTCATAGGCAGAAGACTTAGAAGTTGTGTGGAAAAGTACTTGAATGTTGGCTTTTGCTCTTCGTAACAATCCGAGGGCAATTTACTTTATTTAGATTACTTGAAAGAAAGTGCAGGCGAAAAGCTTGCCAAGAAATTTGACGCAGTTAGGAAGGGGCTTTTAAGAGCTACACATGAAACTGAAAACTCGATGATTATTAATTTTTTTCCTCTCGGAAACCCTTTCGTGATCAATTCATCTTTCAACGTGTATTCTTGCAATCGAGAATTGCTCGAATTGCTTTGAATCCTGCCACCTATGTGCATCAAGCTGAAATTGGTCATGGTCAAAGGTAGAACAATCAGTCCTACAGTTAAATCTGTTGTAGCCTAGCAAGCCAGTGAGTTGTTAGATTTTGTGCAGAGGCGTCGCTTTGTTTTCACGGCAAATATTACCAGAATAATGAGGAGAATTCCAAGAGGACAAGTTGAGATGTTCAGAGCAGCGCTCGTTGCCAACGCAAAATAAAATATAGAAGATTTATTTTTGAGAAAGGCGATATAGTGTCTACCATGTTAGTCCTCTATGGCGTCTGTTTGAATGCATCTGCGGAAAACTGGAAAAGAAACAACCCCAAGAGATCTGAGTTGATGAGTGGAAAAGTGTTCCGGATGTTGGCCTGCATTCTCCACAACACTTTAAAAGTAATTTGTGCTTTCTGTAAACGATTTGAAAGAGAATGCAGGACAAAAAGCTTGCCAATAAAATTATACATTCAATTCAAAAACTGACAACTTGGTGGTAATTTCATTCTGATTTCCTCTCGGAAGGCCTTTATAATAAACTTATTTTCAATGTGTATTGTTGTCAATCGAACAAAATAGCGAATGCAACAAAAGTTATCCATAAGAGTAAATTGATTGAGAAACGATTACCAACAGAAATTGCTGTCAGTGTTAGTAGAGAGGTTAAAAGATCTAATCGAGCAAAAATAGAAGTAAGGCTACGCAAACCATATGGACGGAGGGATGGTCCTAATAAGTAGAACAACCAAGAAATCTTCTAGCTTGATTGAGTCCAAACTGAAACCCAGGATGCAATTAAAGATAACTTTTTCCAACTGTTTGGTTTTCACAAGTATGTTTAAGCAGCAAAAAATAGAGTGAGCGACATTGCGGCCTTTTGTAACAATTTTTCTGTATTGCACACAAAGCGAACAAAAAAGGATGATGTAGTGTAGGGCACGTTGCTCTTTACAGCCTCCATTCGAGCGTTGAGACTCTCCCCCTTTCTTTCATTTACTGCACGAATAGAACAACCATTACAAAATAATTACACAACTCACATTACCTACAGTAGTAATAGATGTTATTGATTTCTTCTTCGTAAATAAATATATCTTATTAGACGTTTTGGTGTGTAATATCGCTGAGTATTTTTTCGAGTTGTGCCGTATTGTGACGAGACCGTAGGACAAGTAATGATGTTTATGACACGTTGATTCTTTATGGCCACACTGTGAGCTAAAGAATTCTCCCCTTGTCTCTTACTTAACCGGAATTTTGTTACATGACTACAACGAAGCCAATAGCATTTTTCATTTAACAAATAGAGAAGCCTTGACTGTGCTCTATTCTGTTAATAAGCACGCAGGAAACGGCTAGAGCACGAAAGAAGTGTAGGGAGAAACACTCGACTACGTCTCGTGTTTCTCCCCACTTCTTGAGTGGGGAGTCAGCATGCTCTATACTCTCATAAAGCACGCTGCAATAAGCCAATCACAGTCCCTAATAGAATGGTTCAAATAATCTGATTGGCTATACAAGACAAAAGCTGTCAAAAGTGTCAAACCATCAAAGTTCACAATCTGCGATAGTTTACAAACTAAAATAGTTCGGCAGGTCGAATTTAAAACTTTTGCCTGAATTTTTTAAGTCTCTAATACAGAATCTTGAAGTGAAATGTTCAGTGAACTTCAGCCGAATTATGGCTCATAAAAACACGCGAGTTTTTTGACATGACAAGGTAGAAAACAAACTGTTCAAGGCGAGTGTTTTTTGAATGAACGACAACCGAATTCACCGGAACATAAAGGTCAATCGAGATGACAGCGCCGCAAAACTCGGCTGCAGTGACTGATATAACTTTCTACTCAACGCATCGGAAAGGATATCAGAGAAAGCTCTTATTTTTTCACTCGAAGGGCGGCCGATGTAGTTTCTGAGACTTGCTTTACGGTGATGACCGAAGATCGCCATAATGAGCGAGCCGCGATGGACTTCAGCATGATCATATTTGCTCAGACACCGTCATGATTAGTATGAATTTTAACAGTTATGCCAGTTTGGTTATATTTTTCATCATTTCTGCTTTGTTCTGTTTTGTTTTTGAACACTGAACTTCACATACTATAGGAGTGTTAGCTGTGTTTGATTTTTATTACCGTACGTAAGCTTGCAATCTAACTGAGCGTGAAAATCTTTAAAACTCGGAATGTCTATTTTGTTTTTCCTTTGAGAATTTTCGTACCTGCTCACGTTTTAATAACGTAAATTACGGCGCCTGGTATGTTTACAAACCTTTGTTTGGTTCTTCTGCTGATACTTGCCGGCTCGCTTGTTCTGAAATTTCACTTCCAGTTATTGGAAAAAAGCTAAAAAGAAGTCCCGGAAAAGGTCGAACATAGCACAATTTGACAGATGGCGTGACAGCTTTAGCTCAGTTCTATGCTCTATACTCTCATAGAGCACGCTCTTTCAACCAATGACAGCACGCGTTATATCCGAACTTGATTATAATTAGTAATAACATCATCTTTTGTGAATAGCATAACTTTCATCTTTTATTTACCAGACTTTACATTACTTTTGATAACTGTTGATTTATTTTCTTTGACGAAAACGTTGAATTGTATGTTTACATGCATATTCGGAAGCTAGCCGACAATCTAAGATGATCTACGTATGTGATTAAGAAGGAAAATGTCTTGATGTTCTCTGAGATAAGAGCACTGAGAGAGTAATGATTTTAATTCCGGAAAAAGCTGAGAAACACTTTATTCAGAAATTCTAACAACTTATAAATTTGGCGAGCAAAAAAGTATATTCGCATATGACTTAAAAATTCTGACAATAATAAGTTAACCTTTCCAAAGTCCTAAGTTTTCATACCAGTAAAACCACATTTGTCAGGTCTCAATTGGATAACAGAGAGGTAACTAGGCACGGCAGGGAGGTCTCATTCCTCTCGTTTTTCCAGCTGAGTATCAGTTCATGCAACTCCCACACGATTTGCTCCAAACATCTTCTTTTCCAGTTCCTCAGCTTGAGCAAGAGTTTTTCTTGTTAACATCTGAAAGAAAGCTACGCGAAAGTGTCTGATTCTTGCTGTGTATATGAGTGGGTTTATCGACGAATTTAGGAATAGCAAAAATGTAATAGGGAAGAAAGCGATTTTTCCTACGTCAGAGGAGTTTTCTCCATTCAAGGAAATGAAAACAATCAGCCAGACGCAAGTCGGAATATAACAAAGGAAAAGTGTCAAAACTATCACGACAGTTGTGTTAAAGGCTCTCTTATTCTTGAGTAACTTTTCCTTCACTGCTAAAGAAACTTGGTTGGCGATGATTTGCTGTGTGTTGCGACGAACTTCTTTGTATATGACAACATGACAATAAACTACAGCGGAGATAACGGCTGAGATAGAAACAAAACTTATTTCTGGAAGGATGCTGACTCTGATGCCATAGGCAATCGCTGCGCACATCCACGCCAAACCAGATGCAGTGATAATACGAGCTTCAGTTACAAGGCCATTTTCGTAGGCGAAGGGGTGTTTGATTGCTAAATAACGTTCCCCGCTCATTAACAACAAGTGGAGAGTCGAAGCTGCAATGCATGTTTGGCCAACAACGCTGAATACCCAAACAGAAGTAGAGATCATGGTTTGAAGGCTGCTACCTGTGAAAAACAAGCTGAAATTGGTTACGACAAACGGTTGAACAATCAGTCCCACAGCAAAATCTGTTGTGGCCAAGCAAGCCAGCGAGATATTCGATTTTGTGCGAAGATATCGCTTTGTTTTAACGGCAACAATCACCAGACCATTCAGTAAAATTGCGAGAGGACAAGTGAAGATATTCAAAGCAGCGGTTATTGCTAACACAGAATAAACGCCAGAAGTGATATTTGCGCGTTTTTTTGAAATAAATTCGAAAGGATCAAAAGGTGATTTAGTGTTAAGCATGTTGATTCTTTATAGCGGCATGTGGAGTGGAACAAATCTTTCCATGTCTCTCACTTAACTGTGTTTTATGGCGCATGACAACAACGAAACAACTTACTATTGTTGTTTGATTTTCACTTCAGCACAAGTGTATTGTCTGTTTTAATGTATGGGCGGAAGGCTGAGAAGTTGAGTGGAAAAGTACTTGAATGTTGGCTTTTGCTCTTCGTAACAATCCAAGGGCAATTTGCTTTATTTAGATTATTTCATAGAAAGTGCAGGGGAAAAGCTTCCCAAAAAAATTGACGCAGTTAGGAAGGGGCTTTTCAGAGCTAAACATGAAATTGAAAACTGGATGGTAATTTCATTTTTCTTTCCTCTCGAAAACCCTTACATGATTAATTCATTTTCAATGTGTATTTTTGCAGTCGATAATTTCTCGATTGCTATGATATAATAATAATCAGGAGAATGGCAAGAGGACAGGTGAAGATGTTCAAAGCAGCTCTTACTGCCAACGCAGAATAAAATTCAGAAGATTTATTTGTGAGAAAGGTGATATAGTGTCGGCGTTTGTTTGAATGTATGTGCGGAAAACTGGAAAAGAAACAATCCCAAAAGATCTGAATAGATGGGTGGAAAAGTATTCCGGATATTGGCCTCAATTCTTTGCAACACTCTAAAACTAGCCTGTGCTTTCTCTGAACGATTTGAATGAGAATTCAGGACAAAAAGCTTGCTAATAAAATGATGCATTCAAAAGGGATGGCCTTTGAGGGCCAAAAACTAACAACTTAATGGTAATTTCATTCTGATTTCCTCTCGGAAGGCCTTTTTGATTAATTCATTTTCAACGTGTATTGTTGTCAATCGAGAAATACAGTGAATGTAAATAAAGTCATCCAATTGATTGAGAAACGATTACCAACGAAACTGTCGTCAGTGTAAGCAGAGAGGTTAAAAGATCTAATAAAGCAAAAATAGAAATAAGGCTACGTAAGCCATAGGGACGGAGGGATGATCCTGTTAAGTAGAACAACCAAGAAATCTTAGGGCAACACTGGTAATAGCTTCATTGAGTCCAAACTGAAACTCAGGATGCCATTAAGGATAATGCTTTTCACCTGTTTGGGTTTCACAAGTATGTCTAAGCAGCAGAAAAATAGAGTGAGCAGCGCTTAGGCGTATTGTTACAATTTGCCTGTGTCGCACACAAAGGAAACAAATCAAAGTGCTCGGTGAGCAAACTCGTGAATTGACATATGATTTTTTGGATTATGTTTGATGTTATCTGGTTTAGGGAATTTTGTGGTTGATTGTCATATCCAGAGTACGAGCAGTAGTTCAGTGTTCGCTAATGTAGCAAAGAAACAAAGTAACGTCGGGATAAGAAGGCATTACAATTGAAATGATCATGCTATTGTATTGACAAGGGTGGATGATGTAATGTGTTTTAAACGTATATCATTTCTGTTTCTGGTTCAAAAGAAAAGGTTGGAAGTAAATGTGGGTGAAAAGTGAAATTTACTGTCTATCATTATAAATATTAGAAAATCAAGGCAATACTTTCTTAATGAAAACATTAACGATTCCCTCTCTATCAAATAAGACAAACGGGAAGGAGTTTTGAGTGATATAACTAAGCCAAGACTGCGACCGTCATTTTGGATCTCCGCCCTGGTAGATTTTAGTCACGTGCTAGGCAACGTATCATCAATAACAAGATAGAATTTCATTTCAGGCCTATTTATCAATTTTGTGGCTTATAACTTTCGCATTTTAGTATTTTGAATCTTCAAATTGTCTTGAAACTTAAAAGAAAATTGTTCTTTAAAAATTCACTGAAAATCGGTAGCTAAAATTGTTTGTTTAGGTGTTATTTGATTTTCGTGTTAACTTGTAATTTCGTTAGTCGCCGGCTCTTCTGTTGTTTCTCACAGGAAAAACACACGATACGAAACGTAATGATCGATTTTGTCCTCAATCCCAACGAGGACAATGAATCGTCGGATTATTTTCAAGTTGAAGGATTGTAAATTGCAATTTTATGAAAAACGAAGGTTTTTCTGTTATTTCAGTGTGAATCCTTGCATGCCTGCTAGTCGCTGGCGCCGCTTGTTGAAACTAAAACGAAAAAAAAAAAAATTTTAAGATTATCATTGGCTTCTTTGTCACCCCACCACTATTCTTAGCAACAAAGGTCGCCATTTCGTTTGTTTATTGCTCGCCAAAAACTATCAAATGCACTCAAAAGCCTAAAATCGAAAAAAAGTTTACAGGAATCGACCAATCGAGCGAGCGAGTGCTATTCCCTCATCGTATCTACAACTCGCTCTTGCGCATGCGCGCAATTCACGAGTTTAAAAGGGTGATGTAGTTTATGGCACGTTGTTTCTTTACAGTCTTGATTCGTAATAACGGTTGTTATTGATTTCTTCTCTGTGAGTAAGAAGTTGTATTGAATGTTTTAATGCGTATGCAGAACTTGGCCGACAATTCAAGATGATCTTAGTAGATAAGTGGAAAATTGTCTCAATGTAAGCGATTATTCTTCGAAAAAAGAGCAATTTGCGCCTTTTAAATTAATTTTATGCTGGAAAAGGCTGTTTTTTTTTTCTTTCGGAGTTCCAAAATCGAATTAATAAGACGAGCCTGTAAAAAGTCTATCCGTATATTTGTTGGGTTACAAACCGTAGAATTCTCGTTTTTCCTGTCTAATCTAATATATGACAAAGGTTGGATATTATCCGATTAGCCAGGTGTTATTATCCTTTAATTCTTGGTCTCAGTAAACAGAGGTCAATGTTTCTTTTTTGGCCGGAAGTGGAATCCAAAGTGGGATAGGTTTATTTTAATAACTCTTAATAAATAATCGAAGATGTAGGTGAACTTCCTTCGGGGCTTCTGTGATTTAAATTTTTGTGTAAACAATTAAATTTTTGTGTGAACAATTTTTTGGGCTGTTTGAAACAGGAATGGATTTGACAGACGTACAAGTAGAGCTGGATATTTTGTGCCATCGATTCAGGACAAGTTCAAAATCAGGAGGCATTTTTCTGATAATAGCTATTATTTGTATTCCTTCGCAGATAGTGCTATATCATTATTATTATCACGAGATCCATTTTTCCATTGACCTACTTTTCATGCCTGTAGAGTCCTGCAGATAAATTTGAACTTATATAAAGCACAGCTCATACAACTATTGTGTGGAAGCGGTAGTTTGATGGCTCATTTTGACTTGATTGTTTTGCTTCAGAACAGTCTTGTTTAGCCAATAATAGCAAAGGCAAAGGCCAAAGAAACTGTGGTTTAAAAATATTAAGGCGTCTTTTTCGCCGCATTTTCATCGGCATGAAGCACCCACTCAAGACACCGAGGCAGCTTGAAATGTTGCTAAAGAGGTGGAAAGGAAACATGCTGTGTCCAATGGAGAAGAAGGGATTGGCAATGCGGTGGTAATTGGTTTGATTCCAAGCACACAGGGTCTTTATTTGTCTCCTGAGGGACTAAAAGACATTATTGTACTTTTTTTTATCAGGATGGAGCGCCTTCTACAAGAGGTCTTGGCGTAGAAACGACGGCTCAGCCAAGAATTTTTTAGAGCAAGACAGATTCTGGAACTCCTTTGAAAATTAGGCTCGATGAGATGTCACTTGTCGAGCTCACGGACGGAATCGCGTGGAAAACTGGAAACGTCCAAAGCAATTCCTAATACCGAAAGATTAGCCCAGCCGACAGCCTGGATCTTTGGAAAAACTGAGGCACTTGAGGCACGGGGACATTGTGCCATTTCTTTTTCAATTCCATGGTTATTCACACAACCTCAGAGGCTAATGGTGAGAAATTTGTTTGTGTTCTTGATTTCTTTTATTCCAAGAACGAAGTGAAGATTAGATAAACCAATTAGAAATTGGAATGTGTTGAGTTCCTTATGTTCCGTAGAGCGTATTACCCGCTTAGGGAACTCAAAGGGGTCTGCTGTTCATTTTTGTCTTACGTACGGTGTATAGGAGAAAGAAAACAAATAATGATAATATTAATTATATTAACCGTTACATCACTGGGACCCAAAGCAATCATCATCCCGGGGTTCCCTTCTCACCACTTCACCTACGTTTTACTTTAAGCTACCCTACATGGGCCACTTTTCTGCTATCACTAAAAAAAAAGATCCGCCATTTTATTAAGCGCTATTGCAATGACTTGGATATTACGCTGGTTTTCTCTTCCTTCAAGATCAGCTACTTGTTTGGTGTGAAAGACCCTGTCCCTGACGGGCTCCGTTCACGTGTGGTTTATAAGTTTGTAGGTGCTGGCTGTAATGCCTGTTACGTTGATGAAACCTGCTGACATTTTGCATACTTGTTAGAGAGCACTTAGTCAGTGACAGGGCCTCTCACATTTTCAAGCGTCTGAAAGGTTTTGCACATTGTCGCGCTTTGTGTTCAGCAGATAACTTCCATGCCTCTACCGGTTTTCAACCCAAGATAAAAGAGGCTATTCATATTCAAAGAGAACAACCATCCTTACAACAACAATTACACCATGTGAATCTAAAACTATCCTTTTAATTGTCACACTTTCATGCTTTACCTCTTTTCTTGTTGTCACTATTTATCATAATTAGCATTGCAGGGCGTGAAATTGCGCCTAATACAGGCTGATACAGGATACCAAATCCTGAAAAGGAGTCGCCAAATTGGCGACTAGAATGCTTCATCATAACCATACTTAGAGGTATAGAGAATTTGAAAGATTTTCAGAGAAACGTCCTTGTTAAGTTTGTTTAATTTCCAAAACGCAGCACACGCATCTCGATCGATAATTAGACGCCATCTTGGATTTAGGTGAACTCGAACGTTGTATATCACCTATCCTAGTGTCCACTTTGCAGAACTTAATTTTGGAGGGTCTATCTTAAACGCTGACAGCGTTAAAAAAAAAAGCTTTGTTTTTCTTTAAAAATGGCGACCAACTTTTTTTGCATTGGCTACCACTTTGAAAACTTTAGGAGCCAAGTGGCTATTAGAAAAAAAAATTAATTTCATGCCCTGCATTGTTCTACTTACTATATAATTCAACTTCCAACGCTTTGTACATTAATTAAATGAAGATGACAGAAGCTTCTGTCGAAAAATGTATTACAGACTTAAAAGTTTTGTCGCTTTCTTTAAATTCTTGACTTGCCTGTTGATATCAAGACCATTAATTATATTAATAAGAATAATTAAAAAGGAAGTTTTGCGTTACGGGAGTTTATGACTTGCGCTTACGCTTCAACATTATTTGAGAGTAACAGAGAAGATCATTAGTAGAGGAAAGTAACGAGCGAAGAGTCTTCAGTCAGGGTCTTAGTCAAACAACCATTTTTCTACTTCACTTTCTTCGTGCACACGTGGTTCGAAGCTCGTCATTTCAGCTCGCCTTGGTGTTATCTACTTTTCACTCTGGTACCCGTAAGTTGAAAAAATCAGTCCCGCAGCAAAAAGTGTTGCAGCCAAACAAGCGAGCGGGACGCTTGATTTGGAGGGGGGTTGTCGCTTTGTTTTTACGGCGACTATCACCACTATGTTTGGCAAAATTGCAAGGGGGCAAGTGAAGGTATTGGAAAATGTTGATAATGTTGAACGCAGAATAAACGCAGGTGAAAATGTTTCTGAACTGAGCAGAAAGACGTTTGTGAACATAACTAGTCACTGAAATGTTTTTCGTGTCGATTTTGACGATTTAGCGTTACTTTCATTCTTGCGCGTCAATTGATGTCCTTTTTCTTACAATACTGCAATTTAACTGCTTTTTCAAAGAGCTTGCGTTGTATCAATTAATACATAAAGTTGGCGATCTGAGAAGTATTGGTAGGTTGGCCTCTAAACTTCTTTTAAATCAGTTTTAATGGATACTTAAGTGTATACGCAAGATAAGATATTTGTGTGATTTACAGGAATAAACTCGTAACCACAAGAAAAGGTGATGAAGTTTATATATGGCCATATATACGTTGATTCTTTATTGGCACACTATGAACTGAAGGATTCTCCCCTTGTCTCTCACTTAACCGGAATTTTGTTGCATGACTACAATGAAGCCAATAGCTTTTTTAATTTAATGATAACATCATCTTTGTTTTCCTTTTTCAATATTTACAAAACTAACATTACTTAACATACTTGACATTACTTACGATACCAATGAATTTCTTTTCTTTGACGAAAACGTTGAATTGTATGTTTAAATGCATACTCAGAACTTAGCCGACAATCTAAGATGATCTACGTAGATAATTAAGTGGAAAGTTGTCTTGATGTTGGCTTTTGTTCCTAGAAACAAGAGCTGAGTGCGATGTTTTTAATTCCGGAGAAAACTTAGAAACACTTTATCAAAAATTCTAACAAATAATAAATTTGGCGAGCAAAAAAATTATATCTACATTTTTCTTAAAAATTCTGACGATAATAAGTTAACCTTTCCGAACACCTAAGTTTTCATACGAGTAAAACCACATGTGTAAGGTTTCAATTGGATAGCAAGGACGTAACTCGGCACGGCATGGAGGTTGACATGACAATCTGGTGAGTACCCTCTATTTGACACAGTGTGACCCTCCCCCTTCCTTTGAAATGTCCTGGCTACGTCCAGAAAAAGACCTCTGGCAAAGGTTTTTCAGTATCAAATTTCATTCAGTTTTTTGTTTCTCTCGTTTCAATGGAGAGATCAATAAACTTCCATTGATTCTCTTAATTTCTCTTTCCTTCTCACTCCTCTCGTATTTTCGCTTGTGTATCAGTTCATGCAACTCCCACACGATTTGCTCCAAACATCTTGTGTTCAAGTTCCTCACCTCGAGCAAAAGTTTTTCTTGTTAACATCTGAAAGAAAGCTACGCGAAAGTGTCTGATTCTTGCAGTGTAGATGAGTGGGTTTATCGAAGAATTTAGCAATACCAGAAATGTAATGGGGAAGTAAGCGATATGTCCTACGTCAAAGGATTTTTCTCCATCCAAGAAAATGAAAACAATCAACCAAATGCAAGTCGGAATATAACAAAGGAAAAGTGTCAAAACTATCACGACAGTTGTGTTAAAAGCTCTCTTATTGTTGAGTAACTTTTCCTTCACTGCTAAAGAAACTTGGTTAGCGATGATTTGCTGTGTGTTGCGACGAACTTCTTTGTATATGACAACATGACAATAAACGACAGTGGAGATAACGGCTGAGATAAAGAAAACACCTATTTCTCGAAGGATGCTGGTTTTGATGCCATAGACAATCGCTGCGCACATCCACGCCATACCAGATGCCATGATAATACGGGCTTCAGTTACAAGGCCATTTTCGTAGGCGAAGGGGTGTTTGATTGCTAAATAACGTTCCCCGCTCATTAACATTAAGTGGAGAAGCGAGGCTGCAATGCATGTTTCGCCAACAGCGCTGGATACGCAAACAACAATACGGGTCATGGCTTGAGGGCTGCTGCCTATGAGGAACAAGATGAAAAAAGTTATGGCCAACGGTTGAGCAATCAGTCCTACAGCAAAATCTGTTGTGGCCAAGCAAGCCAGCGAGATGTTGGATTTTGTTCGAAGATGTCGCTTTGTTTTAACAGCAACTATTACCAGAGTATTCAGTAAAATTGCGAAAGGACAAGTGAAGATATTCAAAGCAGTGGTTATTGCTAACACAGAGTAAACGCCAGAAGTGATATTTGTGCGACTTTTTGAGAGAAATTCGAAACCATTTAAAGGTGATGTAGCGTTTGGCATGTTGATTCTTTTTGGTCGCATGTGGAGTGGAGCAAATCCTTCCTTGTCTCTCACTTTTATGGTGGATGACTACAACGAAACAACTTACTATTGTTCTTTGATTTTCACTCCAGTACAAAAGTATTGTCTGTTTTAATATATAGGCGGAAGGCTGAGAAGTTGAGTGAAAAAGTACTTGAATGTTGGCTTTTGCTCTTCATACGTAACAAACCAAGAGCAATTTGCTTTATTTAGATTATTTTAAAGAAAGTGCAAGGGAAAAGCTTCCTAAGAAAATTGACGCAGTTAGGAAGGGGCTTTTAAGCGCTACACTTGAAACTGAAAACTCGCTAGTAATTTCATTTTTATTTCCTCTCGGAAGACCTTTCATGATAAATTCATCTTTCAACGTGTAACTATTCTTGCAATCGAGAATTGCGCGATTGCTATGAATCGTTGATAGGAGTACAGGTCACGGTTTGAATCCTGCTACCTATGTGCATCAAGCTGAATTTGGTCATGGTTAAAGGTTGAAAAATCAGTCCTACAGTTAAATCTGTTGTGGCCAAGCAAGCCAGCGAGTTGTTAGATTTTGTGCAGAGTCTTCGCTTTGTTTTCACAGCAAATATCACTGGAATAATCAGGAGAATGGCAAAAGGACAAGTGAAGATGTTCAAAGCAGCTCTTACTGCGAACGCAAAATAAAATTTAGATGATTTATTTGTCTATGACGTTTGTTTGAATGTATATGCGGAAAACTGGAAAAGAAACAATCCCAAAAGATCTGAGTAGATGAGTGGAAAAGTATTCCGGATATTGGCAAGCATTCTCCACAATACTTGACAAGAAATTTGTGCTTTCTTTAAACGATTTTAATGAGAACGAAGGACAATTAAATGATGCATTCAAAGGAAATGGCTTTTAAGGGCTAAAAACTGACTTGGTGGTAATTTCATAATGATTTCCTCTCGGAAGGCGTTTATGATAAATTTATTTTCAGCGTGTATTGTTGTCAATCGAGAAAAGCAGCGAATGCAACATAAGTCATCCATAAGAGTGAATTGATTAAGAAACTATTACCAACGAAACTGTTGAATGTGTAAGCAGAGAGGTTAAAAGATCTAATCGAACAAAAATGGAAAAAGACTACATAAACCGTATGGATGGAGGAATGATCCTGCTGAGTCGAACAACCAAGAAATCTTAAGGCAACACCAGTAATAGCTTGATTGAGTCCAAACTGAAACCCAGGATGCAATTAAGGATAACTTTTTTCACCTGTTTAGGTTTCATAAGTATGTCTAAGCAGTACAAAAATAGAGTGAGCAGCACTTAGGCCTTTTTTTACAATTTGTGTGTGTCGCACACAAAGCGAACAAAAAAGGGTGATGTAGTTTATGGCACGTTGCTTCTTTACAGCCTCGAATTTTACCAATATGTTTATACTTTTTATTAAAATATTTTTTTAAAACATTTTTTAAGAATGTAATTCATGCAAACATGTTATATTTTACTCTTAAACGAAAACATGTACTGAATAAACCTTCTTAATAATAATGATAATAGTTATCAAACGCGAGCCTTGGATGTCGCAACATTTGGATACGCTGAAAATTTGCGAGCGAAACAATGGCCGGGTTTTAAGTTGGTTTTGTTTCGCCACCGCAACAACAATACAACAGCTGAAAACAGCTCTAACAACGAAAATACTGAAAAAAGCTTGCTTTTTGGTTGTCGGTTTGAAAAAAATGGTGTTTAGAAGAGGGAAATGCTAAGGCAATAAAGAATTACGAGCCGACCCAGCTTAACTCTTTGCTCGAGCGATCCTGCGCCGAAATTAAAAACAAACATGGTTAAACCTTGGAAACGACGATTCCATTTCATTGAAAGTGATTTGGACACACACTGGACAATTTCTTGAACTGCTTAGCCGGAATTTGATTGTTTTTGCGCCTTAAAGAAGTGAAAATATCATTTCATATTTTTGTTTTGATCGTACGCGGTTGTTTTGACCGAGCGCACGGTTTGAATAAATTATTTTTGCACTTGATGCGCGCGCTTTGCTTCTGTATAATTATGATAAGCTATCTCGTATTTTTTCATGTACATTATTAATACGTAATCACATGATTTTTCTCGTGCAATTTGGTATAAATAAGCACTTGCTAAAAGTACCATAACCGAACAGTGAAATTCAATCCTCCCGCAGGACGATTAACACCATTTTACCATTGAATTTGTTTGCACCACACATTTGCGCTAGGTAAATTAATTCTCAGATGTTTGACGGGTTCTCGCGTAACAATATTTTGAAAATCAAATTACCGCGTCAGACTTAATGTAAACATGAACATCGCTGACTCAATCTCATTATATTTCAATTTTGGGAAAGGCTATTACTTCATTCTTAGAGTAAAACAACAAATCTTCGACAAAGCGCGATTTTTTAAAATGAGCAGTGTAAACCATGTGATAGTTAACTGAAGAGAGAATGATAGAAACTTGCGCACGTCGTTCGCTATCGTTTTAAAACTTTCAAGGCAAAACATAACCCGTCAGATAACTTATTTTCCCTAAACACCACGACTGTATTAAACAATCGAAAAGGTAGGACAAGAAATAATTTTAAGAATACGAACACTTTGAAATGTTATTCGAGCGATGAACCGGCGTGAGGGTTTCAAAGCGATGAATGCAAAAACGAAACGTGATTTGAATTATAAGCTAAATCTAGTATCAAACGAAGATTGGGGAAAAAAGGTTTGAACTTTTCTGAGCGTTAGCGTTAGAGAAAACCCAGATGAGAGACGAATTATTCTGCCTATTTAAGCGTCCTTTCTAACTTTCTTACGCGTTTTTCTCGACTCGCTTGACGCCTTTCACCTCTCGCTTTCTTTGGTCGCTCTATCTCTTTCTTCCCAGCCTATTTTCACTCAAAACCTTCTCCACGAACTTGAATTATAAAAATTTCTTCCGGTTGACAAAGCTTTAGCTCTGCTGGTATTATATTGTTGCTTTGCGAGTTGATTAAAAATTGCAAAATTATGAGAATTGCTGTTCAAGTACGACCTCACCAATTTGATTTCCCGCTCAAAAGGTGTGTTGCAAATTCTTTGCTTACGCGGCCTCACATCTACGAGCCCACGTAAAGCCCTCATGTAATGCCTAACCGCGTGCCCGCCGCATGCTACACTAAAGCTCGGCACTCCAAATTTCTTCGGCTAAATGGGTTACTGCTATTTTGCATAATTATAAGGCTACGCTGCGCGCGATGCAAGCTCCGCTATTATCTGATGAGTCCAGTTGTTATTATCTTTTCGTTTATGACTCAATAAACAGAGATCGGTGTTTTCTTTCGACCTGAAGTGGAATCAAAAGGGAGATAAGTTTATGTAATTAACCTCTTACAAAATAACCGAAGATCTAAGTGAACTTCTTTGGGGGCTTCTGTTAAATTTAAGATAAAGGACCTATTTGGTTTTTGTAAAGCTGTTTGTTATTTTGTCTTTTAATGATTTGTTTACGGTTTTTTTTTTCATAAGTGCTCAATTTGGTCTTGGTTTTTTTTGTGTTGGTTTGTATGTTTGTTTGTTTTTTTTTTTTTTTGAGGAGGGGGAATGGGGCACGCCTGGAGAAACAGGAACAAGAATGAGAACTGAGCTCCAGAAGTGAAAGTTTACTCGAACGAACGTTATAGTCACGGCGATCTATAAGACCTTAATTTGACATAACTTTGAAACACAATTTAGAAAAAATCTATGAAACTAATTTCAAAAAATTACCACGAAAGATTATTTCATGTCTATCTTATCCATTGAGCTTACTTTGGAGACACCGAGTTTCAAACATATTAGTGGGAAGACTTAAGAAATCCCCTATTGGTTCACCAGAGTCAAACGCGCGAAAATCGACCAACTTCTAACTGAATCGATGAAGGGTCACTTGACGAGCTCACGGACGGTAACACAGGACGATTAGCCCAACACACAGCCTGGAACTTTGGAAATGTAGACACTTAAGGCACCGGGGTATTGTGCCATTTCTTTTTCAATTGCATGGCTTTTCACACAACCTCAGTGGCTAATGGTGAGAAAATTGTTTCTGATCTTGATTTCTTTTATTTGAAGAACGAAGGGAAGGTTAGTAAAAAATGTGTTGAGTTGCTTATGCTCCGTACAACGTATTACCGGCTTAGGGAACTCAAAGGGGTCCACCGTTCTCTTTTGTCTTGCGCACGGTGTATAGGAGAAAGAAAACAATTAATGATAATGTTTATCATGTAACAACCTGAGCGGAAGAACATTAACAACATTAACATTACAAACGAACTGAACAAAACGACCTAACTTTACTTAAGGATCAAGACCGACCAATCACGACCGACCTACGCCACTTGAGTATTACAGCCAATAACATCACGGAAAAATTGACCGACAACGTCCCTTCCAGGGACTACACTCACCCAATTACACTATTACCCTATTATGTTACCCCTGGGTTGAAACCATTTACTGTATAATGTTAATTATATAAATAAGAATGATTAAAAAGGAACCTTTGCGTTACAGGAGTTTATGCCTTGCGTGTACGCTTCAACAATATTTGAGAGTAACAGGGAAGATCATTAGTAGAGGAAGTTAATGAACGAAGAGTCTTTAGTTAGGGTCTTAGTAAAACAACCATTTATAACCATAAAATGCTCTTAAAATACATTTTTATGACAAATATTTTTCTACTTCACTTTCTTCGTGCGCACGTGGTTTGAAGCTCGTCATTTTAGCTCGCCTAGGTGTTATCTACTTCTTACTCTGGTACCCGTAAGTTGAAAAAATCAGTCCCACAGGAAAAAGTGTTGTGGCCAAACAAGCGAGCGAGACCTTTAATTTGGAACCCAGTTGTCGCTTTGTTTTTATGGTGACTGTCACCAGAATGTTTGGCAAAATTGCAAAAGGACAAGCAATGATATTGGAAATGTTAACAACGATGAACGCAGAATAAACGCAAGAGAAAGATTTTCCGGACTGAGCAGAAAGACGTTTGTAAACATACCTAAGCCATGAAATATTTTTTATGTTGATTTTAACGATTTAGCATTACTTTCATTCTTGCTCGTCATTTGATATGCTTTTTTTTTACATTACAGCAATTTGACTGCTTTTTCAATGAGCGTTTATTGTATCACTTAAGACATAAACTTGGCACTCTGATAAGTATGGGGATGTTGGGCTCTCAACCTCTTTGAAATGAGTCTTAAAGGAATTAATACTTTTTTCGAATGACTTGGAAGAGGCTGCCAAAATTTTGCGAAACGTAAGTGTATAAGCCAGAGGGATTTCAAGGTCTCCGCCAGAAGAGATATTTGCGGGATTTACAGGAATAAACTCGTAATCACAAGAAAAGGTGATGAAGTCTATGGCACGTTGATTCTATATGGCCACACTGTGAGCTGAAGGATTCTCCCCTTGTCTCTCAATTAACCAGAATTTTGTTGCATGACTACAACGAAGCCAATAACTTTTTTTCATTAAGTGACAACATCATCTTTTGTTTAATACATAATTTTCACTTTCCAATGTTTACAAAACTAACATTACTTACCATACTTGAAATTACTTACGATACTGACCTATGGATTTCTTTTCTTTGACGAAAACTTGGAATTGTATGTTTAGATGCATATTCGGAACTTAGCGGACAATCTAAGATGATCTACATAGATAATTTAGTGGGAAATTACCTTGATGTTGGCTTTTGTTCCTTAAAAAGCGCGGAGGGAAATGCTTTTAATACCGGAGAAAGCTGAGAAATACTTCAGAGTGTATTCGCATTTTTCTTAAAAATTCTTGTGGAGATAAATTAACCTTTCCAAAGTCCTGATTTTTCAAATAAGTAAAACCATTTACATTTACATTTAAGGCTTTTCAGTATTACATTTCATTCAGTTTTTGTTTCTCTTGTTTCCATTGAGAGATTAAGAAACTTCCACTGATTCTCTTAATTTCTGTCTCCTTCTCACCCCTCTTTTTTTTCCGGTTGTGTATCACTTCATGCAACTCCCACACGATTTGCTCCAAACATCTTCTTTTCCAGTTTTTCAGCCTGAGCAAGAGTTTTTCTCATTACCATCTGAAAGAAAGCTACGCGAAAGTGTCTGATTCTTGCAGTGTAGATGAGTGGGTTTATCGACGAATTTAACGCTTGTAGAAATATAATGGAAAGAAAGCGATTTGTCCAACGTCAGAAGCGTTTTCTCCATTTAAGAAAATGAAAAGAATTAGCCAAATCCAAATCGGAATATAACAAAGGAAAAGTGTCAAAACTATCACGACAGTCGTGTTAAAGGCTTTCTTATTCTTGAGTAACTTTTCCTTTACTGCGAAAGAAACTTGGTTGGCGATGATTTGCTGTGTGTTGCGACGAACTTCTTTGTATATGACAACATGACAACAAACGACAGAAGAGATAACGGCTAAGATAATAACAACACTTATTTCTCGAAAGATGCTAGCTCTGATGCCATAGGCAATCGCTGCGCATATCCACGCCGTATTAGATGCAATGATAATACGAGCTTCAGTTACAAGGCCATTTCCGTAGGCGAAGGGGTGTTTGATCGCTAGATAACGTTCCCCGCTCATTAACAACAAATGGAGAAGCGAAACAGCGCTGGATACCGAAACAAAAGTAGAGGTCATGGTTTGAGGGCTACTGCCTATGAAGAACAAGCTGAAATTTGTTATGACCAACGGTTGAACAATCAGTCCCACAGCAAAATCTGTCGTGGCCAAGCAAGCCAGCGAGATGTTGGATTTTGTACGAAGACGTCGGTTTGTTTTCACGGCAAATATTACCAGACTATTCAGTAAAATTGCGAAAGGAAAAGTAAAGATATTCAAAGCAGCGCTTATTGCTAACACAGAATAAACGCCAGAAGTGATATTTGTGTGATTTTTTGAAAGAAATTCGAAACCACTAAAAGGTGATGTAGCGTTTGGCATGTTGATTCTTTATGACCGCGTGTTGAGCAGAGAAAATCCTTCCTTTTTCTCTTACTGAACTGTGTTTTATGGCGCATGACTACAACGAAACAACTTGCTATCGTTCTTTGATTTTCACTTTAGTACAAGTGTATTGTCTATTTTAATATATAGGCGGAAGGCGCAGAAGTTGAGCGGAAAAGTACTTGAATGTTGGCTTTTGCTCTTCGTAACAATCCAAGTGCAATTTGCAATATTTAGATTGTTTTAAAGAAAGTGCAGGGGAAATGTTTCCCCCAAAAATTGACGCAGTTAGGAAGGAGCTTCTAAGAGTTACACATGAAACTGAAAACTCGATGGTAATTTCATGTTTCTTTCTGTCGGAAACTCTTTCATGATCAATTCATCTTTCAACGTGTATTTTTTCAATCGATAATCGTTCGATTGCTGTAATACGTTGATAAGAGTACAGGTCACGGTTTGCGCCTTTTAAATTAATTCTATGCCGGAAAAGGCTTTTTTTTTTCTTTCGGAGTTCCAACATCAAATTAATGAGACGAGCCTGTAAAAAGTCTATCCATATTTTTGTTGGGCTGCAAACCGTAGAATTCTCGTTTTTTCCTGCGTAGTCTAATACATGACAAAAGTTGGATATTATCTGATTAGCCAGCTGTTATTATCCTTTAACTCGTGGTCTCAGTAAACAGAGGTCAATGTTTCTTTTTCGGCCGGAAGTGGAATCCAAGGGGAGATAAGTTTATGTTATTAAACTCTTACTAAATAACCGAAGATGTGGGTAAACTTCTTTCGGGGCTTCTGTGATTTAAATTTAAGGTAAAGGACATATTTTGTTTTTATTAAGTTGTTCGCTATTTTATTTTTTGATGATTTGTCTACGGTTTTGCTTTGATAAGATCTCAATTTGATCTTGGTTGTTTTTATGTTGGTTTGCATGTTTGTTTGTTCGTTTGTTTGCTCTTTTTCGAGGAGGGAAGAGAGTTGAGAGTTGAGGGGGAATGGGACAAGCGTGAAGAAACAGGAACGAAAATGGGAACTGAGCTCCAGTGTGTAGTTGTTCCTGTGGGGAAAGGGGGTGGGGGCGACGTCTTTCTGAAGAGAATTAATACTTCAATCAGCGTGATCGTGAACATCAAGGAATTGCTTATTATTGGTCTTGGGATGTGACAGACGTGGATTCTCATCACGGAAGTTATTTTCGTTGGAAAGTTATCTTTTCAACAAAAATAACTACCGTAATGAACTTAAGAACTCCTCATAAAGCTGCTTCTTGAGGGAAATCAGTTGGCGGCCATGGCTTGCAATCCACTCGCTTCTTAGGGTGATTTCAATCAAACAATCACCCCAAGAAGCGAGCAAATTACAAGTGTATTAACGGTAAATACTGCAAGTGTGTCTCCTTAAAAATTTACACTGTAGGCTTGTTTGGAAATTACAAGTTTAAGTAGATAAGTTGTGATGTAGAAAACCCCTTTTAAACACGCCGATTATGTCAAAGGTGAATGCACGTTATTTACACCCATCAGGAAAGAAGAGAATGGCAATTTTAAAAATTGCAATGCCAAAGATGGTTGGACAACACCAACGAAATACAAAACGAAACCAGAAAACAATCAGACTTACTAAACGTCATGACACTTAAAAGAGTCTTCGGAAGAGTGGTCTGATCAGTTTGACTTGAGACACAGATTTCGCCTTTTTCTTGTGTGTTGCAAGACTTTAATTTCCTGTACTTATACCAAAACCACAATCTACCTGATCGGATCTCTTTAATTTCTCGAGTTTTAAGGAAGTCAAAGTTCACTCGAGCGAACGGTAGTCGTGGTGATTTATAAGGCCTTAATTTGACGTAACTTTGATAGACAATTTAGACTCTAAGAACTTGACAATCTTCGGGTTTCGCCGCCATTTTGAGAGACCCTGCGCGCACTTCTGATTACAACTGTGACTCCAACTCCGTCATAAGTAATAAACCAGCCTTTAGAGGGACAAACTCAGGTCGACACTTATCTCCTGCTTGAACGTATAGAACAAGGTGTTCACAAAACGGATAAAAGCGAAAAGTAATATCCAGAATCCGTCTTATGGCTGATCTGGGACATGACTTTGCCATACATACATGGATTTTTCTGGCAAAACCTGATTCTTTAGGTGTAAACAAATTATTTGGGCTGTTTGAAACGGGAATGGATTTGACAGATGTACAAGTAGAACTGAATATTTTGTATCACCGATTCAGAATAAGCCTAAAAACAGGAGGCGTTTTTCTGGGGGGAGAGGGTTAAAATTCCTAGAGATAGGCTAACAAAGTTCTGTTGGATAGGGTCGCATTTTCACGACTGCATCGACTTTTATGGTGTGGCATTTTCATATATTTTTAATAGAGTTACTAGAATGGGGTTACACATTTTTGAGATTTTAATCCTAAGAAAATTATGGCAAGTAAGGATTCATAAACAGGAAGATTCATGGTAAAAAAGTTGTTACCGTATTTTAATATTTAATAAACGGCTCCCATTCCATTCCGATCTTTCCAGAAAACGGACAAAGATGGGGTTTATAATTGGCCACAACACAGGCTTCACATACCCACCAAAATATGACCCATGTACCCCCCCCTCGGTATTTCCATCACATACTCAAGTACTATAATTTCTATACTTGCAACAATGGTTTTACTTTCTATCTTTTTTTAAACACCTTAGTTTACTGATAGAAACTTTACAAGTATATAACTCTTTAATACTTAAACCACGAGTTGGCCACAGGCGCCCTTTGATTTGTCTTACTTACGGTATATGGGAGAAAGAAATATTGATAATGTTAATTATATCAATAAGAATAATTAGAAAGGAACTTTTGCGAGTTTATACCGTGCGTGTTCGCTTCAACTATATTTGAGAGTAATTTATGTAATCATTAGTAGAGGAAAGTAATGAGCGAAGAGTCTTTAGTCAGGGTCTTAGTCAAACAACCATTTTTCTACTTACTTTCTAAATTATGTCTCTTTTAAAAATAGCATGCTCTTGAAATACATTTTTATGAAAAATAACCTTCCACTTCTCTTTCTTCGTGCGCACGTGGTTTGAAGCTCGTCATTTTAGTTCGCCTTTGTGTTATCTACTTTTTACTCTGGTACCCGTATGTGGAAAATATCAGTCCCACAGCGAAAAATTTTATTTTCACTTCAGTATAAGCATATTGTCTGTTTTAATGTATAGGCAGAAGGCTGAGAAGTTGAGTGGAAAAGTACTTGAATGTTGGCTTTTGCTCTTCGTAACAATCCAAGAGCAATTTGCTTTATTTAGATTATTTCAAAGAAAGTTCAGGGGAAAGCTTCCCAAAAAATTGACGCAGTTAGGAAGGGGCTTTTAAGAGTTACGTATGAAACTGAAAACTCGATGGCAATTTCGTTTTTATTTCCTCTCGGAAATCCGTTCATGATTAATTCATTTTCAACGTGCATTCTTGCAATTGATAATTGCTCGATTGCTACATTACGTTGATAAGAGTACAGGTCACGGTTTGAATCCTGCCACCTTTGTGCATCAAGCTGAAATTGGTCATGGTCAAAGGTTGAACAATCAGTCCTATAGTTAAATCTGTCGTGGCCAGCGAGTTGTTAGATTTTGTGCAGAGTCGTCGCTTTGCTTTCACGGCAAATATTACCAGAATAATCAGGAGAATGGCAAGAGGACAGGTGAAGATGTTCAAAGCAGCTCTTACTGCCAACGCTGAATAAAATTTAGAAGATTTATTTGAGAGAGAGGTGTAGTGTCTGCCATGTAATTTTTCTCTTTGGCGCCTGTGCGGAAAACTGGAAAAGAAACAATCCCAAAAGATCGGAATATATGAATGGAAAAGTATTCCAGATGTTGGCGTCCATTCTTCGCAACACTCTAAAACCAGTCTGTGCTTTCTTTAAACGATTTGAATGAGAATGCAGGACAAAAAGCTTGCCAATAAAATGATGCATTCAAAGGGGATGGCCTTTGAGGACCAAAAACTGACAACTTGATGATAATTTCATTCTGATTTCCTCTCGGAAGGCCTTAATGATTAATTTATTTTCAAGTTGTATTGTTGTCAATCAAGAAATGCAGTGAATGTAACTGAAATTATCCACAAGAGTGAATTGATTGAGAAACGATTACCAAAGAAACTGTTGTCGGTGTAAGCAGAGAGGTTAAAAGATCAAATCGAGCAAAAATAGAAATAAGGCTACATTAACCATATGGATGATGGGATGATCCTGCTAAGTAGAACAACCAAGATATCTTAGGGCAACACTAGTATAGCTTGATTGAGTCCAAACTGAAACCCAGGATGTAATTAAGGATAACTTTTTCACCTGTTTGGGTTTGTAAGTATGTTTTAGCAGCACAAAATAGAATGAGCAGCACTTGGGCCTTTTGTTACAATTTTTCTTTGTCGTACACAAAACGAACAAACAAGGGTGACGTAGTTTACGGCACGTTGTTTCTTTACAGCCTTGATTAGATCGCTGAGACTCTTTTCCCTTTCTGTCATTTACTGCGAAAAAGCCAAAGGAGCTTTGACAGATGATACATAGTATTATTAATTCTAGCCCTAAGCCTATTTCTGCTGATCCTAACGAGTTGAACGTCCACTTTACTAACACCACGCAAAGGATACTGGGAACCAATCCATCCTCACCAGAATGTCTGAAAAACCACATCACCTCTTTGTCAAATTATGGTAACGACCTCTTCTCACTAAGTCCAGTCTCCTTTAAGGATGTAGAACGACAGATCAAAAGTATAAGAACTGACTGTGCCACAGGTCCTGACCTTATTTAGCCAAGTACGCTAATGCACATCATAGACGAATGTATCACTCAGAACACCTTTCCCACTGCGTGCAAAAAATCCAGAAAATCTCCTGTTCCTAAAGTAGACAACCCGAAGGAGTGTGATGAATACAGACCAATAGCCATCCTTTCTGTTTTTTCCAAGGTGTATGAATGTTGCGTGCTAAAGCAAATGACAGAACTCATCGAAGAACACAATATACGCATTGAGAAAATCTCTGGCTATAGGAAAGGACATTCTACCACCTCAATATTGATGCGCTTCAGAGACGACATCATCCAAGGGATGAAGAAGGGCGAGCTGACCATGGCTATATGTGCAGATTTTTCAAAGGCGTTCGACACGATCGATCATCTCGAGATCTTGGAAAATTGCATAAAATGAAGTTCTCTAACCACTACAATGGTTTTTGAGTTATGTTAATGATAGACGACAGTTAGTACAAGTCAATTACAAAACATCTGAACTCATTGATACCAAATTTGGAGTACCACAGGGATCCATCTTGGTCTCTGAAGATTGTCGAATTTTTAGGCAAGTTCATAGAGTTATAAAAATTTTAATGAAGGTCGGCTGTAAAATTTTTTCGATTGTTAGACTCTTCATGACACCCTAACTATATTAATTATATTAGTTTGATTAGATTACAGCGTCCGACTTTTTCAAAAACTCAGTTTGACGTTGGTCGGTTTTCGCTTGACTCTGGCGAACAAATAGGCGATTTTTTGAGCCTTCCCACTTTCAAAGTTACGTCAAATTAATGTCTTGAAAAACGCCATGACTGGCGTTCGCTCGAGTAAACTTTAATTTCCGTAAAAAATCGAGAAATTAAAGAGATCCGATAAGGCAGACTGTGGTTTTATTATAGGTATCTTTCCTGATAGGTGCAAATAACGTGCATTCACCTTTAACATATTCGATATGTTTACAACGTGTTTCCTGCATCACAACATATCTTCTTAAACGTGTGATTTCCAAACAGGCATACAGTGTGAATTTTAAGGAGACACACTTGTAATATTTACCGTCAATACACTTGTAGTCTACTCGCTTCTTGGGGTGATTGTTTGATTGCAATCACCCTAAGAACTAGTGGATTTCAAGCCATGGCCGCCGACTGACGCCCCTCAAGAGGCAGCTTTATGAGAAGTTCTTCAGTTCGTTACGGTAGTTGGTTTTGTGAGAAAGATAACTCCCTAACGAAAATAACTTCCGTGACGAGCATTCACGTCCTCACAATGAGTCAGACTACGTTTACACAAGTGGCTTAATAAGAAGCAATTCGTTGATGTTCACGATCACGCTGATTTAAGAATTAATTCTCTTCAGAAGGACATCGCCCCCATCTTCTAACCCCACAGCTACAACGATACACTGGAGCTCAGTTCCCACTCTCGTTCCTGTTTCTTCAGGCGTGCCCCATTCCCCCTCAACTCACAACTCTCTCCTCCCCTCAAAAACAAACATGCAAACCAACACAAAAACATGCAAACCAACAAAAAAGAAGCCAAGATCAAATCGAGAACTCATCAAAGCAAAACCGTGAACAAGTCATTAAAAAAAATCAAACAACTCAAAAAGAAAAAAATACGTCTTTTATCTTAAATTTAACAGAAGCCCCGAAGGAAGTTCACGCACATCTTAGGTTATTTAGTAAGAGGTTAATATCATAAACTTATCTACCTTCGGATTCCACTTCCGGCCGAAAGAAAAACATTGACCTCTGTTTACTGAGACCATGAGTTAAAGGTTAATAACACCTGGCTGATCGGGTAATATCCAACCTTTGTCATATATGAGATTAGAAAAAAATGAGAATTATATGGTTTCGCCGTTATTGCAACCCAACAAAAATATGAATAGACCTTTTACAGGCTCTTCACATTAATTCGTTGTTGGAACTCCGAAAGAAAAATAATATCAAAATCACTTTAAAAGGTGCAAAAGTCTCTTTTTAAGAAGATTAAATCCCAACATAAAGACAATTTTTCAGTTATCTACTTAGATCATCTTGGATTGTCGGCTAGGTTCTGCATACGCATTAAAACATACAACTTCTTATTCACAGAGAAGAAATCAATTATAACCATTAGTACTGTAGGTAATGTTAGTTTTGTAATTATTTTGTAATGGTTACTGTGGTCATGCAGTAAATGACAGAAAGGGAAAGAGTCTCAGCGCTCGAATCGAGGCTGTAAAGGAGCAACGTGCCCTGAACGACATCACCCTTTTTTGTTCGCTTTGTATGCGATACAGACAAATTGTAACAAAAAGCCTTAGAGCTCCTCACTCTAATATGTGCTGCTTAAGCATACTTGTGAAACCCAAACAGGTGAAAAAAGTTATCCTTAATTGCATCCTGAGTTTCAGTTTGGATTCAGTCAAGCTATTACTTGTGTTGCCATAAGATTTCTTAGTTGTTCTACTTAGCAGGATCTTTCCTCCGTTCATAAGGTTCATGTAGCCTTACTTCTATTTTTGCTCGATTAGATCTTTTAACCTCTCTGCTTACACCGACAACAGTTTTGTTGGTAATCCTTTCTTAATCAATTCACTCTTATGGATGACTTTGTTGCATTCCCTGTATTTCTTGATTGACAGCAATACGCGTTAAAAGTGAAATAATCAAGGTCTTCCGAGAGGAAATCAGAATGAAATTATCATTAAGTTGTCAGTTTTAGCCCTGAAAAGCCATCTCTTTTGAATGCATCATTTCATTGGCAAGCTTTTTGTCCTGCATTCTCATTAAAATTGTTTAAAGAAAGCTCTCACTACTTTTAGAGTGTCGCGAAGAATGGAGGCCAACATCAGGAATACTTTTCCAATCATCTACTCAGATCTTTTGGGATTGTTTCTTTTCCAGTTTTCCGCATATACATTCAAACAGACGCCATCAAGAACCAACATGGCAGACACTATATCACTTCTCTCGCAATTAAATCTTCTAAATTTTGACATAGTTTGAAGCTACACTGATTTGCAGATTTAATGAATGTAACCGAAGAAGTTACAATTCATAGACCCAACGTTTCGACACTCCTGTCTAGTGCCTTCATCAGGGGTGATGAAGGCACTAGACAGGAGTGTCGAAACGTTGGGTCTATGAATTGTAACTTCTTCGGTTACATTCATTAAATCTGTAAACCAGTGTAGCTTCAAACTATGTCTGATTGTCCACCTGGTTGCCGTGTGAACTTTAATATATTCTTCTAAATTTTATTCTGCGTTCGCAATGAGCGCTGCTTTGAACATTTTATATTTTCCTTTTTTCCATTCTCCTCATTATTCTGGTAACATTTTCCGTGAAAACAAAGCGACGAGTCTGCACAAAATCTAAAAACTTGCTGGCTTGCTTGGCCACAACAGATTTAACTGTAGGACTGATTGTTCAACCTTTGACCGTGATCAATTTCAGCTTGATGCACATCGGTGGCAGGATTCAAACCGTGACCTGAACTATTATCAACGTATTATAGCAATCGAGCAATTCTCGATTGCAAGAATACACGTTGAAAGATGAATTTATCATGAAAGGGTTTCCGACAGGAAAGAAAAATGAAATTACTATCGAATTTTCAGTTTCATGTGTAGCTCTTAAAAGCCCCTTCCTAATTGCGTCAATTTTTTGGGAAGCATTTCCCCTCCACTTTGAAATAATCTTAATAAAGCAAATTGCCCTTGGATTGTTACGAAGAGCAAAAGCCAACATTCAAGTACTTTTCCAATCAACTCAGCCTTCTGCCTTTACATTAAAACAGACAATTTAAATATACTGGTGCCAAAATCAAAGAACAATTTCAAGTTGTTTCGCTGTAGTCATGCACCATAAAACACAGTTAAGTGAGAGACAAGGAAGGATTTACTCCACTCCACACGCGGCCATAAAGAATCAACATGCAAAACACTACATCACCTTTTAATGGTTTCGAGTTTATTTCGAAAAAACGCGTAAATATCACTTCTGGCGTTTATTCCGTGTTAGCAATCAGCGCTGCTTTCAATATCTTCACTTGTCCTCTCGCAATTGTACTGAATAGTCTGGTAATAGTTGCCGTGAAAACAAAGCGATGTCTTCGCACTAAATCCAACATCTCGCTGGCTTGCTTGTTACGGGCAGCACAAGACCCTTTTCTCCGTCGCAACGTCTTTGCTACCCAATTGAGACTGGACACCGGTGGTTTTACTCGTTAGAAAAATTAGGAATTCGGAAAGGTTAAGTTAACTTCGTCAGAATTTTTAAGAAAAATGCGAATAGACTTTTTTGCTCACCAAATTTATCAATTGTTAGAAATTTTGATTGAAGTATTTCTCAGCATTAAGCCAGCATTAAGACAACTTCCCACTTAGTTATCTACGTAGATCATCTTAGATGGTATACTAAATTCCGAATATGCATTTATACATACAATTCAACGTTTTCGTCAAAGAAAAAAAATTGGTCAGTATCGTAAGTAATGTCAAGTATGGTAAGTAATGTTATTTTTATAAATATTGAAAAATAAAAATTATGCATTAAATGTAAGATGGTGTTATTACTAAAAAAAAAAACTACTGGCTTCGTTTTAGTCATGCAGCAAATTTCGATTAAATTCGAGGCAAGGGGAGAATCCTTCAGCTCACAGTGTGGCCATAAAGAATCAACGTGCCATAGACTTCATCACCTTTTCTTGTGGTTGCGAATTTATTCCCACTAATATCTCTTCTAAGTAAAGATTTGATAAAGCATTTGACAATAAAAATCTGCGATAAAATATTATAAAGCATAACACGACGTTTCGACGTTTCCAGAACGTCATTATCAAGTGAACTAGAATAATAAAATCGAGTATCTATATAATGAAGCGGTGAATAAATTACAAAGCGTTAAAAGTTAAACAAAGAGTTTGGCCCTAATGGAATCGCTCTGGGTGTTTAAATTGGGCCTTATTGTTCTTATGTACAACATTTCATAAACAAGACAATCCCATTTCGTGCCACATTTTTTAAGCATTCTAAACTGGCTCTCATTGAGTAAGTCAATGTTCCCATGGGCATCTCTCAGGTGGCGACCAATGGCAGAGTATCGATGATCAGCAATGCGTTGAAACAAATGGCGCGTCGTATATCCGACGTAATTTGAATCACACAAATCACATTTAAAACAGTAAACAACGCTATGCTGATTTACGATGCGTGGAGGAAGATCTTTTGTTTAATGAATAATTTTAATTTTTCAATATTTACAAAAGTAACATTACTCACCATACTTGACTTACGATACCTATGAATTTCTTTTCTTTGACGAAAACGTTGAGTTGTATCTTTAAATGCATATTCGACAATCTAAGATGATCTACGTAGATAATTAGGTGGGAAGTTGTCTTGATGTTGGCTTTTGCTCCTAGAAACAAGAGCAGTGGGCAATGATTTTCATTCTGGAGAAAGCTGAGAAATATTTAATAAATAATTGATTTGTCGAGCAAAAACGCCTATTCGCATTTTTCTTAAAAATTCTGACGATGATAAGTCAACCTCTCCGAAGTCCTAATTTTTCACACGAATAAACCCACATGTGGAAAGCAAGGACGTAGATTGGGGGGAGAGGGTCCTGAGGTGCCCGTGACCAAACCCCGCCCCTTTGAAAACCTTTTTTAAGCACGGCATGAAGGTCGACATGACAATCTGGTGAGTACCCTTTATTTGACTCAGTGTGACCCTCCCCCCTCCTTTGAAATGTTCTGGCTACGCCCCTGGATAGAGACCTCTGGCAAAGGCTTTTCAGTATAAGATTTGATACAGTTTTTTGTTTCTTTCGTTTCCATGGGAGATTAATAAACTTCCATTCATTCTCTTAATTGCTCTAATTTTCTCATTCCTCTCGTTTTCTGGTTGTGTATCAGTTCATGCAACTCCCACACGATTTGCTCCAAACATCTTTTTTTCAAGTTTCTCAGCTTGAGCTAGGGTTTTTCTTGTTAACATCTGAAAGAAAGCTACGCGAAAGTGTCTGATTCTTGCCGTGTAGATGAGTGGGTTTATCGACGAATTTAGCGCTAGTAGAAAGATAATAGGGAAGAAAGAGACTTGTCGTACGTCAGAGGAGTTTTCTCCATTGAAGGAAATGAAAAGAATTAGCCAAATCCAAGTCGGAATGTAACAAAGGAAAAGTGTCAAAACTATCACGACAGTTGTGTTAAAAGCTCTCTTGTTCTTGAGTAAATTTTCCTTCACTGCGAAAGAAACTTGGTTAGCGATGATTTGCTGTGTGTTGCGACGAACTTCTTTGTATATGACAACATGACAATAAACTACAGTGGATATTACGGCTGAGATAAAAACAACTATTATTCCTGGAAGGAAGCTGATTTTGATGCCATAGACAATCGCTGCGCAAATCCAGGCCATACCGGATGCAGTAATAATACGGGCTTCAGTTACAAGGCCATTTTCGTAGGCGAAGGGGTGTTTGATCGCTAGATAACGTTCCCCGCTCATTAACAGCAAGTGGAGAAGCGAAGCTGCAGTGCATGTTTGGCCAACAGCGCTGGATACCCAAACAAAAGTACAGGTCACGGTTTGAGGGCTGCCACCTATGAAGAATAAGCTGAAATTGGTTATGACCAACGGTTGAACAATCAGTCCTACAGTAAAATCTGTTGTTGCCAAGCAAGCCAGCGAGATGTTGGATTTTGTACGCAGACGTCGCTTTGTTTTTACGGCAACTATTACCAGACTATTCAGTAAGATTGCGAAAGGACAAGTAAAGATATTCAAAGCAGCGCTTATTGCTAACATAGAATAAACGCCAGAAGTGATATTTGTGTGATTTTTTGAAAAAAATTCGAAACCACTAAAAGGTGATGTAGCGTTTGGCATGTTGATTCGGACCGCGTGTTGAGCAGAGCAAATCCTTCCTTGTCCCTCACTTAACTGTGTTTTATGGGACATGACTACAACGAAACAACATGCTATTGTTCTTTGATTTTCACTCCAGTAAAAGTGTATTGTCTGTTTTAATGTACAGGCGGAAGGCTGAGAAAATGAATAGAAAAGTACTTGAATGTTGGCTTTTGCTCTTCGTAACAATCCAAGAGCAATTCGCTTTATTTAGATTATTTCAAAGAAAGAGCAGGGAAAAGGTTCTCAAAAAAATGATGTAATTAGGAAGGGGCTTTTAAGAGCTATACATGAAACTGAAAACTCGACGGTAATTTCATTTTTCTTTCCTCTCGGAAACCCTTTTATTATCCTGAGGGATGATCCTGCTAAGTAGAACAACGAGGGAATCTTAGGCCAGTAACATTAATAGCTTGATCACGTCCAAACTGAAACCCAGGATGCAATTAAGGACAACTTTTTTCACCTGTTTGGGTTTCACAAGTGTGTTTAAGCAGAACGAAAACAGAGTGAGCAACACTTAGGCCTTTTGTAACAATTTTTCTGTATTACACACAAAGCGAACAAAACGAGGTGATATTGTTCATGACACGTTGCTTCCAAACAGCCTCGATTCGAGCGCTGAGACTCTCCCCCTTTCTATCACTTACTGCATGACTACAACATGTTATTGGTTGTTACTGATTTCTTATCTGCGGATAAATATATCTCAGTAGACGTTTTGGTGAGTGGTACGGCTGATTATTTTTTTTCCAGTTGTGCCGTATTTCGACGAGCCTGTAAGACGAGTCAAAATACAAACAACGAGTAAAAATGATTAGCGATACTACGCACCAAAACGTCTAATAAGTTATTTATTATGCAACTGCTTTTCTTTTTCTGCTGAGTCTTTCTACTCATTTCTTATAGGCGGGAAAAGCAAAGCGGATGGAGAAGCGTAGCGCGCGCAGCCGACTGGTTAAACAGGCTTTACATTACATAATAACCAACTGTCCAAATAACCGTACAATATCGCACGATATTTGTACCTTATTCGCGCGTTAATTGTACCCTACTTTGTGCTGTTGTATGATAAGAAGTTGTATTGTATGCTTTAAAAGATATGCAGAATTTAGCCAACAATCCAAGATGATCTGAGTCTTAGTGAAAAATTGTCTCAGTGTTAGCCACTATTCTTCGATAAAAGATCAGTTTGCGCCTTTTAGAGTTATTTTAAAGCCGGAAAAAGCTTTTTTTTCTTTCGGAGTTCGAATATCGAAATAAAGTGACGAGCCTTTAAAAAGTATATCCATATTTTTGTTGGGTTTCAATAACGACGAAACCGTAGAATTCTCGTATTTACTATCTCATTTCATATATGACAAAGGTTGGGTATTATCCGATTAGTTCAGGGTGTTATTATCCTTTAGCTCATGGTCTCAGTAAACAGAGGTCAATGTTTTTTTTTCGGCCGGAAGTGGAATCCAAAGGGAGAAAAGTTTATGTTATTAACCTTTTACTAGATAACCGGAGATGTAAGTAAACTTCTTTTGGGAGCTTCTGTTAAATTTAAGAGAAAGGACGTATTTTGTTGTTGTTAAGTTGTTTGTTATTTTATGTTTTTATAATTTGTTTTACGGGTTTTTTTTGATGAGTTCTCAATTTGGACTTACTTCCTTTTGTGTTGGTTTGCATGTTTGTTTTTTTGTTTGTTTGTTATTTTTTGAGGAGGCGGAGAGGAGGGAGCTTAGAGTTGAGGGGGAATGGGGCACACCTGAAGGAAATAGGAACAAGAGTGGGAATTGAACTCCAGTGTATAGTTGTTGTTGCTGTGGGGTAAGGGGGTGGGGGCGATGTGTTTCTGAAGAGAATTTATTCTTAAATTAGTGTGATCGTGAACATCAAGGAATTGCTTATTACTGGACCTCTTGTGTAAATGTAATCTGACTTAGGCTATGGTTTCAACCAGCCAAGGTAAAGGCCTTGGGATTTCGTTATAGGGTTCTTAATCATTCGAGGACATTAAGTATTTTTCCAGTGTTATCTATTTGCCTTCGTGACACGCTCAGATCAAACGTTTCACTCTATTGGAGATGGTTTATAGCATGGTTCTGCCAGGTGTGGTCACCAAACATCAAAGGTGCATAGTCTTCAATAAGAACATAAAGAGAAGAAAGATCAAAACAACACCAGAATGTATGCTTTAAATTTATTTAAAATAACCCATCACCGAAACATAGAATCCCAAAAACGAAGTTAATGAAAAAGAAAGAACCTTTTTTCCTAACGTTCTGTTTGTAGTCCTGATGAAACAAATTTAAAATCTAAAACTACAACTAAGCGAAAAAAAAATTGAAGAAATTAAATTATTAAAAAAGCGAAGCCGTTTTCCGTTCAGGTTGGTCTGAGTCTTTAGGTTTTGGTTCTTCAGTGTCTCTGCGAGGAAATCAGATAAATCAAAGTTAGATTCTTGATGTATTGTCATAAAAGGCCTGAACGCCTCGGAAGCTGGAACTACCTGACTAAGAGAAGGGGGAGTGGGGTGGGTGAATCTGCTGGATATTTTTTTTGTTGTTGTTGTGATTCTATCAAATCAATACATGCATGTTGCCTGTATTTTACCGTCACAAGATACACCTATAATTTCAGGATTGTTGAGTGGGTTATACATATTTAATTAGCTTTCAGGCTGCGATGTATCATCCATGCTTACGGATTATTGAAATAAAGAGCAAATCAGTTCTTATCCTCGGAAATGGAGTTTATTTTTGCATACTGAGCCAGTGTTACTCTTAAAATCAATAGTGGGTGTATTATTCCAAGAACTTTTGAACAAAACTAAAGTACAGAAAGAAACACCAAGGCAGGAAGAATGAGAGTGTTTCCCCAGATTCTGAGTTTCCATCGTGGAAAAGAAACAAATGCCTAAATAGAGATGTTGAACATTTGTGACAAGCAATCAACGAAGAGAAATTTACGTCATCCTTTGACAACCACACCCCGTCCGATTTTGCGGTCGCGACTGGGCTTCAGAGGAATCGTTACTGAGCTATCAGATGTACCATTTCTAAATTACGTTTCCATTTATCAAATCGGCTTAATGAAAAAAGCAAAAAAACAAAAAAGCGATGAGCTATCATCACCTTCAGCACTTTTCTTGCCAGGACTTGATGAACTGGTCAAGCCGCTGCACTTTGTCTTTGGGGTCTCTGTACTCATTCCATTGTTCACCATCAGCGTCACCGCACAAACCACGAACACGGCTGCGCAGAAAAGGCGAGGCGTACAGGCGAATCTGCTGATCTTGATCCATGGTAGCGTGTAGACTCAACTAAGCGAAGTTGCAAAACCACAGAGATACAATCAGCATAATATTATGTAACTCACATAGGAAAAGTGTTTTAATTACGAAGAAGGTCGAACAAAATTTGTTGTGTGGTTTCGTTCGGCGTTTGCTTAAAATTTGTTCAAGCTAAGGGAAACTGTGCTCTTCTTTCTTTCCAAGACTATCTGTTTCAGCGCGCCCACTTATAAAATAATCTTCTTCTGAAATGGCACAAGCAATGGGAACATTGTTAAAGTTTACCCGATATCATATTTCTGTAGATTAAATCAAATTCAAGAACAATAGTTCCCCTACTCGTTTAGAAGAATAAGCACCTTGTGAATATAAAATAAAATCCCTGTTACTATCATAGTGATATATATCACTAATTGATAATCGTTACATGTTATTATGAATATTTGTACCAAAACTTATCTTGAAGGCAAAAAAAGAGTGAAAAAATCGCTCAATTTTTAAAATAGAGACAAAAGCAAGATCACTGCTGTTATTTCTGAAAGTATGAAACGTCGGCTCAAATCACCTGCATTATTTGGTAAGGAATACCTCCTACCTTTGTCGACAGCTCAACCTGAGTCTTTCCATCAGCCCTCTGTGTCTTACGGACAGAAGCCCCACCCAGTTTTGATTTACATGCCTTCTGAGAACAATCGAGTTTCTGGCCGTCAATCATAGTGGTGCCGTCTGGTTTAACTACAACTGATTCCTGGTCTTGTTGTTGAGATGACTGGCGGATAATTGCTATCAGGGTCTTTTGACCTTGTTTGTCAATTTTCACAGAGACCTGATGGGCCAGTAGAGTCATCGATTAATTTTGGAATAAATTTTGATACGAACAGTTTGAGTCGAACGTAAGCCAGGCTATCCAACTAGCCCCTCTACTCCCATGAGGCAAAAAAAGGGATATATTGGTTACCCACGGAAGGGAAACATTGAATCTTGTCAGGGTAGGGAATATACTGTGAATTCCACAAATGCGAAGTTACGACGTGAAATGGTAAAATATGTTGACATAAAATGCGAGAGTTGAAAATTGTAAATACTAAAATATCTTTAGTTAGCTAAAGTATATCTGAAAACTTGAGCCTTTCCTTACACGCTTAGCCCACTTCATACAATACCCAAAAGCTTAGAACACCAAGATGGCATGATGCCGGAGCATCCGAGGGTTTTTTATTTATTATTAATTGGTCTAGACACCGGATAATATTATCAAATAGGCCTGAGGTGTTTTTTTCTCTTCCTTTGTTTTTCTATAAACCCAATCTTACCTGAATTCTAGGTTGCTTGTCTTTCCTATGTTCCTTAGCAAGAGTATAAGGACAACCGCCCTTGATGTTGTACTTGTACTGAAGTTGGTCAAACACTCTAATGCTGTCTTTTTGGACCTCACACTTGGCTAAAAGATAAAATATAAAACGTCGAGATGAACAATAATGACTCGTGACTTGTAGGTTTTCAGCCAAGACTAGGAGATAAAGTTCGAATGGAATGTAATAACATTTACCGTTGTCATTGTGGTAATGGTTGTCCATGGTTATCATGCAACTTATTTGTCTGTTTTTTATTCATCACAACTTTCATTAAAGAAAAAACTTCAAAATGTCTTCAGGGAAGCTCAACCTTATCTCAACAGAAAGCTACACACCCATCCTTTCCCGTGCCCAAAGCAACGATAAATGGTCTCGAAGTCAATTGCTGGCTTTGTTTTCACCAAGGTATACATATTTTGCTGAGACTACTAGTCGTCTTAACCTCTGTTTAAAAATCTGATTCACAAAGATTTAAAATAAGATAAATTTTAAGTTCCCGTAATTCCTTTCAAAACCACGCAAGGCAGATAATGCAATATTCTCTCTCTAATAGAACTATTAAAACACGAAAACCCTCAATCTTAAATGATGATCTCACCATAGAAGTAGTTCTTGATTTCTTGTAAAGAGGATGGGAAACGATCCACTCTCACTGGTAGGCTAAGGCCAGTCCTCTCAGCAGTAGCGTCTGGAGTTCTCATCCTCAGCGAAGCAGTCATGGGCGAAGTAAGAAAAAATTCAACTTCTACTTGGTTTTTGGATTGTTCTGGACGCCTGACCCAAGCAAACTGTTGAAGGAAATACCATAACTGTGGCTCCCAGTTGTAGAAGAAGGTCTTCCACTGCTGTGGAACCTAAAAATCATGGAAAGAATACTCAGTTAATAAATCTTGAGAAGCAATTAAAAAAATGAGCTAAGTGTTAATCTTCTCCGGGAACTAAAGAATTCGTGCTTACTTCTGCCCACTGCAGCATCAGGCGCGCGGTTTTTCCTTGATCTTGAACCTGCCAAGATGCGGAAACCTGATATCGAAGTTTTTGTCTTCCAAATTCTAGTTTCATTTCCCTGCGACCTACGGTAATTTTTGCCATTCCATCTTCATATCCTTTGGCCTGGATATTTCCTACATGGATCATCATCTGGTATGTTGCTTTGTCGAGGGTCATCCTGTAAGGGATTCGACGACGGGCGGTTTTCGAGGAAGCATCGATGAAACCTTCAACTCGCCATGCTGTAGGGACTTTAAAGTAAATTAAATTGATTATCATTACATTGCTCATCCTTTCTGAGTACATAATTTCACGGATGATTAGCAGGCCGACCTCAACAAAAAGCGACCTTCTCTTTAACGCCAAAGTTCATTTGCATTGGAAAATTAGTCATCCACCTAGAAGGAGATGGTTGTCCACCGCAGGCTAACCCCCATTGTGGTGTACTAAAGCTTTACTTGGAAATTTACTTATAACCATTACACTCGTAGATGGAGAGAACCTTTGCGAGACCAAAATGTCCCACTCAAAAATACAATAGAGTGATGCTGGCTTGGGTTTGATCTAGAAGCTCTAGCTTCAGATCCTGCACACTAAATTTGAGACCAGGACATCCTCCTGGACCGTGACATTAGGAGATAAAAAAGCCAGCAATAAAATTATCACAGAATCAATGCGTAATGATTTCCTGTATGAATTCCTGACGAAAAATTCAGACTACTGTCATTTTTTTTCGGTAAATTACCTTCTTCACTTTTTGGGGTGACCAGACCCGTGAACTGTACAGCGGTTGGTTTGTCTACGGCTGGTGCCATGGAAACGCGAAGCTGAGTCAGCGCAGCTGTTGGGAGGACTGGAACTTGTTGAAGCCTCAAAGAGGGAAGATCTGGGACTCGCCCTTCAGCGCAAATCTGAACTCCAAACAAATCTTGTCCTTTGCAAGTCTTCTGAACCTGAGAGAGAGAAAGGTAAAGAAATTGAATGCATTACTTCTTTTTCCTGCGCCCATGATACGAATTTAATATATTTTCACTCGCATGAACTGTACTTTTTGACAACCCTTGAGTTTGATCACAAATCATCTTCGTTTTCTCGGTAGTCAAATATAGATTGATAACTTCCCTTTATTCTCTATTCAGTCTATAAGAAGCCGTGTGCTAATTAAACAATGGAATAGAATGGACTACCCAATCTAGATATAGACCTTCCCTCTCAGTGTATCTAAACATGAGAGAAAGAAAGCTTTTATTGGCTAACTACACGCCAAACAGTGAAAACATCTCCAACAAAATAATCCTTTTGTTGTATTTAAAGTAATCTCGTATTGCATTGGGTTTGCTTCCTTGTGCACTGGAATTGGTCCAGAGATCTTGCACTCTCAGCCAATCAGGAAAAGACTAAAACTAGCGGCCCGCGTGGTTCCCCGCGCTTGAAGTTCGCATTGGCATACTTGACATTGTGTTGAATTTTCCATCCTGACTCCGTAAGCCCTCAACAATCGAGCTGCAACTATTTTTTACCTGTTTAAGATGTGGCGTCTTAAAATCAAAACGAAATTGCTTCTCCTCTTCCCGACAGCTCTCTGGATGTTTTTTCGCCACAAATCCATATGCATCTGACCTGAAAATTAAATCAGTCGTAGTGGTTACCATATAATTGTCCTTGCTAATCGGAAGAACGTGGTTTTGCATCAAAACAAATATATCTCAGCCGATAAATTGCTTCATTTTCAAAAAATTTTTGATTGAAAGTGTAGTGATATTTATCAAAGGGGATAAAATTTGGTTCGAAACGAGTCCGATGTGGTGCAATGTTATTCTTTAAATATTTTGTGTATTATACACTCCAACGTATTCTGGTACTTTTAACCACAAAACACGGCGTTCCATCGACTTCGTTGTCCATCAAGAAAATATTGAAAATGTGCATTCTTATCATTTTATACTGAAAATATTGCCTTCACAACTTTGCATTGATCATGCATTGCGGTTATAACAAAAAATGGAGAATTCAAAATAAATATTTAACTGATTTTAAGCGACAGAACTTAATTTTATGGAAAGGTATAGGGGGCTATTGAGCGCTAAAAAGTTGTTCCTTGTTGCCCCACAATTGTCTGTTCACTTTCTGCTGTGTCCTGTCTTTCCCGTGATCTCAAGGCTCCACACTTACTGTATATTCAAGATATCACGTTGTTCCTGAGGCACGTGGTAAGTCATTGAGTACCCTTGACCGGCTGCATAATTAGCATTAGCCTTATGTTCTGTGTCAGAATGCGCAGCAGCTTTCATTCGCACTCCCATGCGCAGGAAAGGAGTGTGGATACCGACTTGTGCATGTTCATGGGCGTCAATGCTGCAAAAAAGAATTGTGACCAAAAATTAAAGAAGAGGTCGCAAAATAAAACAGCCGTGACATGACAACGAAATTGTATTCAGTACATTGGTTTTATCTCTGTGGTAGCAGTAAGTGCCTGGAGCTGTGGTAAACGGCCGATGGACGGCTCAACGTTAATGTTGGCGGCAACGGTAACCTTGGCGACCGCTGCAGTTCGGTGTTGGAAGTCAAGTGAGATTCCTGCTAATGTTGGCACCACACGGCGCGCACTGTTGGCTAGGAAGGCTTTCTCAAGAGATTGCTTCATTTCAATTCCTTTCGATGTGACCACGATTGCTGTGAAATGAAAGCAAATGAAAACTTGATGAACTATACCAAAACATCTTCGCGCTTGTAAAACTGTGTTCAGCTTAAAGAGACTACTAAGGTCATTTTGGTGAAAAAAAAAACTCAAAGGAAGCAATTTTAATTGATATTTGACGCCTCTACATTTCTGAAGTTATGGTCTTCTGAAAATAATGATAGTGCAAATTTTTTGGCCGCAGCTAATTAAAAATGAGAAAATTTGACCCATCAATAATGATGATAATAACTGTTATTTATTTTTAACTCACTTTTGTCAGCGTATTCAATTCGATCTTTCTTCCCCAGCAAAAGGTCTGCGACATCTTGTGAAAACTGTTTGATATCTTCTTGCCTGATTTCCATGTACTTCACCTCGTCTCCAAACAACTTCATGAAAACTGAGACTTGTTGACGATTCTATAAATGATATTAACTGTCTATTTAGCAAGTTTCATTTCAATTTGATTTGCCTTTTTTCTCTGATGTAAGTGCCATATCTGAAATAAGTAATGTAATTTCAGTTTTCGCGACGTTAACAGAGTCAGGGAATCTAGGTGAGAGACCTAAATCTATACCCGTGGCGAAACCAAACTACTTTCCTCAATTAGCTGACAGAGAAGGGCCGTTTTGTTTCTTTGAAATTTTTATGAATGAGTGAGTGGCTTAAGGGAGTTGTAGAGCGGGAAAAACACTCGGTGCCGCATGCTTCATATTTTGTGTTGAATGTACATTACCTCATATTCAAAACAAAAATTTCCTTTTCTAGCTTAATTGAACAAAGCCAAATCTGTTTTACTTCAAATAGTGTGGCATTCAGCCCTTTCATTTCTACGATCTGAAAGGTTATAAGCTTACTTTCCGAGCATAATTCTAGCGTGATGGATCGTGCGGAGATTATGTTGACCTATCGAGGCAATATCACTTACTTGAATAGTGAATTGTCATTTACAATCTGTTTTTGTGTCTTGAAATTGCAATGATAATTTATACACTGGTCTCTATTGGGAGTGAGAGAGATAAACATGGTCAGGTTTGGTTACCTTTTGGTCGTGACTGGGAGTTTTTGTTGGCTGTGAACTAGGACGAGTAGCAGGACGAATTATTGTTGAGCTGTCTTCTGATATCATGTCTCCTGATAATCCATTTTCAGAACTGTCTTCCCCTGAATTATCATCTTCCGAGCTCTCATTTTCGAACAAGGAGCTGATTCTTCCCCACAGAGATCGTTTGTGACGTTTTCGAACTTCGGAAATTACCTGCTCAATAACGTCGTCCATGTTTTCGATTCGAGCGCCAAACTTCGCGAAGAAGAAATAAAAAATTAATCAAAAGGTATTCACTTTGATAACTTGCTGAAATTTTCAATTTAGTTTTAAAAGTAAAGTAGGATTTTTTTTCAAGTTCTTTAATGGTCTAGAAAACTCCATATCTTTCTAGACGATAAACTACACTAAACCTGTAAGTTAAGTAAATTTTCGTTATGATTTACCGTTTTTTTGCGGCACCAAATGAAAAATTGGGACATTCCCAAGCTAATTCTGAATACATAGGAGTGTTCAGTTAAGGCTTTGACGTGCATGATGATACCCTGATGTGTAACCATGTCACTGACAGCTACAGAGTACCAAAATTTTGTGAAGTGGAGTGTGGTGCAAAGGGTTTCTCTATCGAAAGAGGGCTTAGCATATGTTTCTTCAGTTCAGCTTTTTAGCAGTTCGTTATTGAAACAATTCGGAGAAGGTTGATGAGCTACCAGAACGTCAATACATTTGATACTATGATGCTGCATGATGAAGTCTGTTACCAAGACATTGTGCAGTCATGACCTAAGGGCTAATAGGACAATAATGAGGTCGATACGGCGTAATTGACGTATAATTATGACAGGAGTTACCTCTAACGCACTAATTTGGTAGCCTAACACGTGCAGTCGGATCTGTGTGTTGAGGTTTCGTGGCAGCATGCTGTCAGGAACATTCATTTTGTTTGCCTCCAACTCGAATCCTGCTTGGAATTTCTCTGTTTTTAAAGATGAAGGACAAGAACCGGGATTATTTCAAATCAAAAAGCCTATCGACATGGAAGCTTGATACATCGCGCATTTTATGGACACCTCAAAACGATAAATCAACGGATACAACGCTATTCGAGGAGATGGTAATCGCAACATTTTCAGTCGCCGAGTAGACAGACACTGAGGAGCATCGACAGACAAAACGAAAGGCGAATGATTAAGGATGTAGGTGAATAGCGTGGATTACCGACGATAATGAAAAATTTATTTTAGATTTTTTAGGAAGCACGAACAATATGACTCAAAGATAGCACTTTTAAATTCAGCAGTCTCAGGTCTGTACCTGATCCCACCCGTCAACTGATTAGGTCTTTGTCTGAATCAAACGCATGTTCAGTTTTCGTTGCCCTTGTTACCTTACCTGAATATTGTGCCCATCGAATTCCTTTAGAGTATCCAAGACCAAAGCTCATCTTTGGCATGAGACGTAGAGCCAAGCGAGCCTGCATACACCTGAGATTATAATAAGTGGTTCTTACAGACTGCGCATATTTCGAGAGAACAATTTGACGTCAATTTTGTAACCGTCTGCTATAATAAAAAAAAGCGAAGGGCGGAATCTTTAAATATATCTCATCACGGCTGGATGAGTAGGCTTAATTCCTAGTTGCGTATCCATTTCGTTAAAATTTTGGAAGGCTGGACTGATTAACAATCTTGGGCAATCTTCGAACTGCTCTAAAGAAATATTGTAATCAATTCTTCATACTTTACCCTGAGCAGAATTTGCAAATTGTCACAACACTTTTTTCTGTTAAGGGCAAACAACGTTTAAAGTATTTTTTGTCGGTCGCCCTTGAAGGAAATGTTCATAATTATATATCAACCCAAACAGAACACACACGTTTACCTAAAATCTCAAAGACGCATATCGAATTTTGCTTTTTTCCTTAAAAAATGGAAATTTGATAGACGAGCTATGAATAATGTTCTCGTTCTAAGTTACCGCATTCAAAAAAATCTCGTTATAGACTGTTTCATCAGGTGCTTGCCAGACGAGCTCAAGTGCTCAACCTCTATTGTTTTTGTCTTTTAGCTTGTTGCTTTTCAAAATATTTTTAAGTAAAAAGTGACTCAGTACCTTCGCTTTGTCAATACATTGTTCTGATAGGCCAAAGCTGCTAGATGAGCTCTAACAAATGATGCTACTTGGTTGCTGCGAGGGCCTGGGGCAGCATTAGTGATCTCCCTTTTCACGATATTGGCGAGAGCCTGCAGCGTTGCAAAGTTAGGTCCTGAGTTCAGCATCAAAATGAAAGCGGCCATGCGCAGTTCAGGGCTTTCTCTCGCATCAGCAAAGGTAGAAATCAGCGATGGAGTAGCCTAAAATAAAAACCAAGGGTTTCAAAGTAAAATCAGCCGTTATATGTTGTCCATTTGACTGCAAAAATACATTAGCACATAGCTGTCTCGAAAATTTTTAGTCTTCCCAAAGACGCCAAGAGAATGGGTTTTTGTTACAGTGTTGCCTGAGCCAAAAGAAAGTGTATGTACTCACATTAGGAACATAGATAATTGAGAAAAAAAAAATTTTTTTCATCTGAAGTGACATCATTTCCCTTCATATCGAATTGCTATGGCAAATCACTCCCTCTAGGCGTCTTCGGTGCTGTACTCACGTCCTCAATCATGGTCAAAATAGCGTGCTTTACCACCTCAATTTTTGTTGCAAAACCAGTCCAATATGGCCGACGTAAAGTATCGTGGCAACACTTTTTGTTTTTCTAAATTGTGTAATCCTAAGGACCCATATTACTTACAGTTTGCCTGGCCTGACGGATGATGTGCCTATGAGCCCAAACACATTCCACCCTGATGTAGAGGGGCTCATCACGGTCCTTGAGAATCTTTTGCAGGGCTGGTTGTGCTCGAAGGCTAGCTGAGTTTCCAATAGCTTTGATATACATTACTTTCTCTTGTTCGGTCGTTTTACCAGCAAGACGATCTAGTATCTTCTGTTTAGATAAAGTAACGGTTGAAAGAACAGTAATTATCTCCGGTTTTAAACACAACTGTGATATCTTTGAGATGGTTGTTGCTGAAGCTAACAATTTTGTTGCATGGAGATCATATGCTGGTATAGATGGACAAAATTATGAATGCAAGAAAGTTATGGCTTGGGTCGGTTGCTTAGAGGTTTATTACAGTTGACATTTCCTTAGTATCATGTGGCAAATGTAGCATCATGTGGCAACTCAAATAATCTCTCTCTAAAAGTGCCCATTTTTCGATCAACAGTCATTAATATTGAAGTCCACTATTGACAGGGGAAGGACATGTTATAGCATGACAACTAGGCCAAGATTGCATTACCTTTGTATACTCCTCACAAGCAGCCTTAGTTTTGGTGTCCTGTTGGAGACTGGGTCTTTGATGTATCTTACGTAGCAAGGCCCCGAATGTGAGCATGCACTGACGACGAGCTGACATATCCTTTTTAACTTCAGCGTGTTCGCACAGTTCCTAAAACAGCCAAAAAGACGATCTTCTTATTCTGATCTTTGAGTTAAAAAAATTTCGCTACAGACTATCAATGGACAGGGAATTAAAATATTTTTGAAACACCATAACTTCGTCCTTGAAGACGTGACAAAATAAAGCCGCAATTTATAGCAGTAAATCGATCGCCATAATTTGTTCTGTGAAGGTTGTGTCATACTTATGAGCTGTAGTCTTACCCAGGTAACTCTGATGTGGTCAGCGGAGGGTCGTGGAGCAGATGACATTCCCAAGAACACTTGTTTGAGTTCTTCTGCCTTATTGATTTTCTTCTCTTGGATCTTTTTCTTTAGAACTTGAAAAGCCTCACGGGTTCCCACAGAGGAGAGAGCATCAATGCAATATTTTCTAATAAACAAATTTTCCAAACGTTAAACCTTAAAACTTGATGTTATAAAAGACTGTAGATAAAGGAAGATTGAAATTCCAAATTTTCAAACCATCTTATTGAAAGATGCTTTTCGTCTTGTCACGAGCGTGGGACAAAGAAAAAATTCCGAGTCCCCATGAGAAATCGAACCTCAGACCTTCAGATTCCGCGCTCCGATGATCTACCACTGAGACTCTACAGTGAGCGAGGTCTATTACGAGGTTCATATGACCCGCGTCCTGCATATAACTAGGATCAGCAGTGTCGATGTTTTTCGTCTAGAAGAAAAGCATCTTTCTCCATTTCTTTACCAAGCTCAAAACTTACCATGTCTCTTATTCTTTCTATATTGGTTTTGAAGCTAAAAGTTGGGTAAGTCTTTGTTATTAAGTCTGAACTCTTGATAAGGTATCCCAATAAAACACATAAGTATATTAACTAATTTACCTCTCGGATGCGTCTTGCCGGGCTAACATGTTATCAGCAAGTTTCTCGGCTGTGTCTTGGTTGCACTTTTTCAGCTGCTGTACCAAGTTAGCAAACATCTCAGCTGCTCCGTCCCTCTGTTTGATGGCTTTGCACATTTCTTCGGTAGCATTTTTCGCCTGCAAGCGAGTATGTTATGGTATGTTACGTCTACTTGAGAATGATTAAAAAAAAATCATTAGGTAATTATGTCGAGCTGACTGAAACTCTTTTACAATAATGCTTTGGTTGCCCATACAAATTCATGCATCCGAACACCACCGGGACAATCAAATTCAGACTTGTGTTTCATGTTTGTGGAGTTGTCGTTTACCAACCTCTGGTCTCACAGAAATCCTCTACAGCGCGGTGCGTGCCAAATAAAAGATACTTAGTTGCACATCGAAGACCTTTTCACCAGAAAAAAATTGAGCTTTTCCAACTTTTGATTAGTTTAAAAGAGGTTAAATTCGATGTGAAAAGCGAAGGAGTACTACTAACTGACACGAGTGTTACCTGTCTAGCAGTTTCCTGCTGACATTGAGCGTTCTCGCGGGCTCGTCGCTCGGGATTCTCAACAGCAAATCGATGGCTTGTAGTCCTGGTAAGTTTTGCAGCTGCTTGGAGCAAAGAAAAAAAAAACGGAGCTAAATCACAGTTTGTGTTTCCTGGCAAAATTGAGCCCACTTTTCAAATTCGTAACTTTCAATCCCTTTCAGTCTATTCCATCATTACCATTTTTTGTTTCCTCTATGATCTTTTGAGTCTCTCTATCCTATAAAGCTAATGTTCTGAAATCTCCTAAAAAGGGAGGGTAGTTTGCACTACACAAGGTAAAAAGACACAGAAAAAAATGACTAACTCGCTTCTTACTTCGCCGTTTTGCCATGAACTGAATCAATGTTCATCCCAATATTATTTCTGAGAACTGAGCGTGAAATCAAATTGTAATCCCAGGTGAAGATTTCCTTGAATCTCAATTTTTATTTTCTCGACAGCGAGTGATCATTTAGTGAAAGAAGGAAGCGAATTGTCCTAATACTCACATGCCTGTCCAGCGTCAGATGTTTTATTTAACTCCAAACGTTGTCTGTTTGCAAGAAAAAAATTTAATGCCATTGTCAGTAGTGAAAACATCGAAGTTTGAGATATTGAACAAGATCTAATGGATCTCTGAAGAACAATTTTTAAACCTGCACAAACCCAGACTGAAAGCAGTTTAAACTACACCTTTTAACTAACATATAAAATAAGGCAAGAGCAACTCAGCCAACATATATCCTGCAACAACGATGCGGTTAGTCAACACATTTTGCATACTTACTCATACTTTATTAATAACGTTCTTCAATTCCAAGCCTTCCTCGACCAAAAATTGTTAGTAAGGTCTTCTTTAAGCCCAAGTGATTTTCTATAATGAAATGTAGTTTCAACACTGTGATGGATATCGTTACTGGGACTGTACCTTGCTGAGGCAGTCAGCTGTCCTCCGGCTTGACTGAATGGTGTGACTACATGTTGCTCTATAGCTTCAGCTCTTTTGATGGTGTAACCGTCTTTCTCATTTCCACTCAGGATAAGTTCGATCTGACCAGCTGACTGATGGTATGGCACATTACCCAAGCTCTGCAAGGAAAGAAATATCAACATAGTATGAGGCCTTCTTCTGTTAAGGTGTGCCATTTTTGGATGGCATAATTCTCTACAAAAGTATCACAGGAGCGAGAGTGGCAAATCATTGACCAATCCATTTTTTCTCCCCTCAACTTTCATGATTTTCAGTCATTCCTTCGTATAGCACCATAACTGTTTAACTTTATTATTTTAAATCTTCTTCGTCCTTCGCCATCCTTACTTCCTTACTTCCTTTTGGAATATTCTTCGCCCATTTGGTGTCCGCTTACCCTGACGTATTAAGGCATCTCTCCACAACGATCTTCAACGATTCCGGAAGACAACTTAAAATATCGCAACCTTTCTCCTCTTAGATAATTCGCAAAGGTAAAGAAATATGTTTTTCAATTGAAAAGCCTGAAATTCTCGAGGAGGATACTTTTGATAGGAAACATCCCAACCAAGTAAGAGTCTCTTACCTGTTGGCATCCGTCGCACCGTCTTCCATAAAAATTACTCTGACTAAATTCCGGTCGGTGTCGACATTTATGGTAGTTGATGACTTTGGTAACCTTTGTTACTTGCTCCTTGTGTCCCGCTTGGCAATTTTCACATTGAATTACGTAAGAGACTTGGCAATAACCGACTGCAGTGGTCTAAAGAAAGGGAAAGAGGTGAGACATTTTTCGCCTAACAAATTTACTGGCGAACCAGATAGTAGAGAACGTTTTTCTTCCAACCAAGTTTGCCACAATCTCAGAAACATGTCGCTACGGGATCTTGTATAACCGTCATTCTTGTTTTCCAAATTGATAATAGCGGTGATTTTCAGCGAATCATTCTCAAAAAATTTTGTGACCTTTGTTGCTGTTTCTTCCTTACTCGAAATATGGATATGTCAAACTGGAGAGGTATATTGACAAAGCATATAGACAATCATGATCACTATTTTGTACCATATCTTTACCTTATTTATTCATGCTTTGATACAAAACTTGACCCTTTAAACTCACATAGATGAAAAGGAATAGAAGATCAGATAGGTGGTCAGATCACAGAAAAAAAGCGTTGATATAAGTTATAGCTAACTTCTAACCTCAAGTTGAGTAACAAATCGTTTGCCATTTTTCTCTTGTTGTGATTTACGTTGTTGTCGCGGTGACACCTGGAAAAGGTTTGCGAGCCCACGTTTAATGTTCAGCGACCATTCCTGGTCTTGAGGATCTGCATAGACTTGTTTGATACTGCCATCTTGTGACTTAAATGCAAGTCTCACGGGTAGGGCGAGGAAATCTTGCATTTTTTTCACGATCTTGGGGTCAGCTGCTTTCTCATTTTGTTGTTTTGGGCCCTGAAGGTTTCCTTCCACTTCTGCAACTTGAATGTTTGCCAACTGAGGAGACCACAATAAGGTAAGTGTTGTAGCCTTCAGTCCATCATTTGACCCCTCAAATACCTTATCCATAGTTGATTTTAATGGACCCGTTTGCAATGAATTTACTCTGTTCAGGTAGTCCCTTCTTAATAACCTTATCCTCCGAAAGGCGTGTCTTAAGTCAATTTATATTATGAATTTCAGTTATAAATCACTAAAGGCAGACAAAACACAGATAAAAAAAATATACTTGTGCTAAATCAGTTGGGACTTTTAACCTATGTTCTATGAAATGCTGAAAATAAAATATTTGATTTGTCGTGAAAACAGCCAATGTGGATCAAAGAGAAGCGAAACTTCAATTCAAACTTAATTTTTTTTTCTATGCTAAGTGATATTAGAAAAAAATTTCTCACGGTTAGTTGAAGCTCGGTTTTCTTCAGCACATCCACATGAGCCTGACACCTCGCTCTGAGTCCGAGGGTCTTCGTTGATCCGCCGGGTATGGCATGGTATACATCAGTTTGGTAGTTGTAAGTGTAACGCTTTCCCTTTTCGAAAGCTGAAGAAGATACAAAGCTATCAAATGAAGGGTTCTCGACAGATTTCTATATTGAGTTGGTTTTGCTTCGCTAATGCTTTGTGACTGATCTCACCCGTCAGGTTTGCTTCATGCAGCCCAACTAATCAGATACAAAAAAATACGCGACTTGGACACATTCGTTTTCCATAGCTTGTAGCCGGTCAAGTGAAATTTGCTCTCAAGTTTTAATTGGCTCCCTCTGAAAACCATTGTAACTGCTTTCAGTTCGTTTTAGCCCCTCAAAAATAAACCATCTTCAATCAAAAGTATTTTACCTAAGTGGCATGGGCTAATACAGGAGCAAACTGGATGAATTTTTTTTGTTGTATGGGAGAAAACTCTCTACCTCCTGCATCAAAGACAAATGAAACTAACTGACGCTGTTTTGAAAACAATCAGACAATATTTTTAAAACATTTACAACATTTTTCCGCAAAGAGAATAATAAGCTACATGCTTGTTACAAACCTTGTCGAAAGCATGGAATATTTCAGAGAAAATCTGATTTAAAAACGAATCCATACGTAAGTATACAAATGAAATGAAGTGAGTGATGTCACATCCAAATTTAAATCAAAGTTCTAGTCAAGATCAGTACCCTTGCATGCGACCCACCTAAGTTCGTTTTATCTTATTTGTATTAACCAATGTTAAATAAATATAGGGTACGATTAACACAGAACTCTCTCTCTCTTACCTATGGGCATTGAAGCTAAAAGAGACAGAAGGGAAGAAAAAGAGAGACATGAATGAGTCACAAGTGATACTGTTACGGAAACTGAAAGAATTACTGTGACCTGTACATAACAATTTACGTATCTTGAGCTGGAAGAATGGCCAATAATTGTCGGCCAAACTGCGTCAATCTTCACCATCATCAACGATTCATTCTTCTTCACTGTTAATTTGAACCTCTAAATAGTTTACTTTTTTCTTATGTTTTATACTGTGGTCTCCTTTGATGCGAGAATAGTTTATTCAGCTCATCAAGAGCAAGTGCTGGAAGGTTTTCTGAACATGATGAAAAATTGGAAGAAAGATAATGAAGGAAAAAAGTAATAAAACTTGTTTGTACTTACAAACTGCGCCAAGCGCAAGGAGAATCACCACAAACGCATTCATAGTGCAAGGCTTTGCTCGCAGCAACTTCCGTCGCAGTGACGAATATGGCAATGAAGTCAGCTTTTATAGTTTATGTAGGTGTACGCTTGCACACGTTGAAAGTGATAGCCAAAACATCAGAGTACCGTTTACACGTTTGAACTTGAGGACTTTTTTGCCAATAAGACACCCACTAATCATATTTTTGCTAGTCATTTGGGACAGAAGAATAGCAAACGTTACAAAGTAGCCACAACAGTTCTAAATTGGATTCAATATTCGCTCTACCCGGTGGTTCACGAACCTCTTAACAGGCTAGTTTTGCTGAGCAGTCATAACATACGCTAACCCATAGCCATGGCGTTTCATTCTCGAAGTTGCTTTTCTTGTTCGATATCGTAAACTAGACAGAAGAGAATTTGAAAACAACTTTCAACCGCCATGAAGAATGTACTAAGTCGTTCTTGGTCCTTAGCGTTCATCTCTGAATTTTAGGAGTCAAATTTTGAGAGCTTCTCTCAGAGTTTGCAGGTGGCCTAGTGTTTTTGTGGAATGGTTTCAAATTGGATGAATTTTGAGTAAAATGACGGAAGTTACACAAGAGGGGAGATTATTTTGTGCACAAGTTTACTAAAGTAAAAAAAAAATTGTTTGTATAACCTTTGTACCCATGACTGATCTTATAACCTGTCATATCCTCGGTACTTTTAGTTTGATAAAGTGTGCTTCTTCAGCATCCTCTGAATGGAAGTTACTGAGTCTAAATTGTTTAAAAACGTCATGTAGATGATATAAACGGACCGAATTTCAAATTATATCCCAGTCTTCACTTAACTTTAGGCAGGCGGAGGACAGTATGTATTCAGCAGAGACAGCTTCCGATCGAAAAGGTAACGAGGGGCGTAAACAACAATAAACTTGGCCCATATCAAAACGCAACCGCATGCAGTGCTTTTACCTTGGAGTACACATTTGTTTGTTAACGCTTTTGCATACGTTAGCTTACGAGTCAAACCATTTCGTCTTATATTGTTAAGTTTCATCGGGGGAAGAATGTGTTTGGAGAACTGGCGTCTACATAACTTAGAGCACTATATTTATATTCCCTACAGCAGTCAGGATGAATTTGTCCCATTATTCTTTATTTCTGTAAGATTTGTAAAATGTTAAACGAAGTTCAAAACACAACCCGGCTCCGGTGAGATCCTTGTATCTAAAAGCAAACTTGTAATTAGAATTTAAGGAAATTATAGTGCTAAAAGGTGTTAAAACTTCTGCAGTATCTGCAAACAAACCTCAGAAGAGTCTTGGGATCAGAAGACATCGTAATTTTATTTCCAATATGATCATAGAACCATCAAAACATGAAAGCCTTTTTTTAAACGTTTGCTTTCTTACTCATAATAACTTTAGGATGAAGAAATTGAAAAACGTTTAAAAATTCCATTGCTTAAAGTATTTAAATCACAATGGAAATTCTCGTTATTCCGTTGGCCAAAAACGTCTCTTAATACATACCGAAAATATTTACCTTTAAGTGATTTTTTCGGAGAAAAGCTAAAGGTAAAAAAACGGACTTTGAACAAATGGCAATGTGTATTCTGATTGGATATTTGGAAGCGTGATGTCACGTAAGGTAAGTATTGATTCAAGCAGGAGTTAAAATTGGGCTATAGTAAGCTATTGTAGCATACGTGGACAAAAAAGGGAAAAACGTAAAAAAAGAAAAAAAAGACTAAATAAGTGAGCATTCTAATGTCTAAAAAACATCAAAAATTTGTCAATATGAAAGAGCCTCGAAAATTTCATTTTTTTTTTAACGTAGAAATTTAAGCTATGACATCAACTGTGCTCAGCTGATTCTTACGATTTCACATCACGTGTTGTTTCACTCTATTGAAAACAATCTCTTTTATTCAAAATTACCAGACTAGGAGATAATTTTTTTTCAGATTTCATTTCAGAGTTGAATTTCACATCAGCCACTGCAAAATGATGAGCTTTTGAATCCCACAGCGCGAAAAAGAGAGATGTCTACAAAGGCCTATAAATATCTGACCTTAATCGAAATACCTCTCCATCTTTAATTTTCTTTCAAAACTCAGCCAACCAAAACAAGAAACGTTTAAGCCGAACCAAAACAAGACACTTTCAAGCCGAATTTTCCCCCCACACACCGTCTTTAAACAAACAACTTGTCTTGACAGGAAATCTATCATGTTCCCACTATTGTTCGTGACTAATCTCATTACCAGACATAGCAATCTGTTTTTGTGGATCAACGGTTTGTTTAGATACGAAAATCTTAATAGAGGAAACGTGCTGGATTGCAATAAGGAAACTTGACTTTTAAAATGAAACGCCATAAGGAAAAGGTTCCATTTCAAAGCCGAAATATTTTGTGATTATTTCCGTTTTTAAACCGATAGCTGCAAAATGTTGGAGAGAGAAAATATGATTCTTTTGGCAAAAATGGCAAAAAAGCGTGCAGAAATTGAAGCGTCAGTCCTCGATGGAAATTAAAATCATGCAACTGAGATGCCAGTTGGGTGCAAAGTCACATGTTGGGAGCGAAATTGATTTTACACGCGCGGGTTACAATTTTATTTATGAAACCACCCCTACAGTGGCATTTAAACGGAAGAATATAAATTTAACACGATGAAAGTGAATAACTTAAATCATAAATATGAGCTAGGGTCTGCTACATTTTGGGAAAGGAGGTTATTTCATGGCTGGTGTCAACCATTTCCATTCTCACTCTCATGGAGATCACAAAACTGTGAAGTCTTGCAAAAGAAAAATCAATGATAACAGCTTTGGATGGGAGTTAATTTTCTTGTGGTGAGTTTCGATCCCTTGAAATTCCTAGTTTACTGTGTCAGTCATTGAAAATATATCGTCTACATTCATTTCTGCATGTGCTAACTGGAGATGTGTGAATAATTTGTTTCACCAATCGCCAGAAGCTTTGTTCAATTTTTTTTTTTTTAAACATCGATCTTCTCTTTACCAATGTTTACACCTTAGAATAGCGTGTTCACCAGTTAAGTTTCTATTTCCTGTCACCATGACTAGACTTGAAACGTCTTTATCGTTATCGTGTAACTCCAGATTCAAGAGTTCAAGAGGATTTTATAAGCTGAATTTCCGCTGCTTTCCCTTTAATCTTCTTAAGGCCTGGCTCCCTTGCCAAACAGCGGTAATAGTCAATGAATGAAGATATAGTTGGAATGCTTATGCACGTTCTTAGAAACTGCACATAAGTAAAAAGGTATAACCCTCAACTTACGCCCAGATGCTCATTTGACATTAGTTCGTGGTTTAGTTTACCTGAATAGCCACAAGACGTGCTTATGCAGCACAATTCGTTATCTATGAAATGTGTTCACGCTCTAGCCTATCGAGCTGGCGTCCCAAAGGGAGCGCCAGAGTCAGAATGTTACACGCTCGCGATCGTACAGCGAGGCGCCGTGTATGATTTGGGCAACAGTAGACAGGGAGAGGAGGCGATGAGCATACCTTCCTCTCCCATCGTCAACTCCTTCCATAGAAATTCATCTCTCTTCCAAATCCTCTTCTACTTTTAAAATCCAATATGGCGGCCAATTTTCTCACGAAGAAATACTGAGCGATCGCGCACCTATGCTCGTTATTAATGACGTAAGTACTTTTTCAAGAAGGATGGCACTGGTAATTGGATGGACTGGTAACCACGCGAGAGAATTTCGTATCAGTTCTCTAAAGTTAAGCAAATTGATACAGAAGAGAAAGGAGAATGAATCTCTATCATCTCGTTTTCTTTTCCCTTGTCTCCGGCCTTGTCTCCCGTGTCTTCCAAATTGCCCTTGTGTCATTTAGATGGGGCCTGGTGACGAGTTCTGGGGAGGTCGCATCTCAGGTTTCAGTATATCCACTGACGCGGTGGGGTTTGCCAAACAAGCCAAACCATCTACAGCTAACACCACATCAATTTATTTTTGATAATTACTTTCCGTCATTATATTGAATTTGGTTACGCTTTAAGACGAAAAGCGAAGGATCATGCAGGTATCGACTGTCTATCTCAACTTAACGGAGAAAAAAGAAACGTCCCACGCAAGACCCCCATCATGCCTTTACCGGACACACACAAAAAAATCGGTTTGAATATATTCTTGAGGTGACTTTGTCTTCTCAAAACCTAAATTATGTTGGCTTGATCTTTCAAATCGGCACGATTTTACGAGCATTTTAGCTCCTTTGCAAACCTCAACGTGTAACAGTCAGATACATATGTATTTGGTGTGTTAAGGTTGTTATAGAAGAATTGCAGACTAACATCAAACGTAACTGAGATTCGACATACTAGTTCATGAATAGAAGAGCCTTTCCCTTCCGTTTTTCAGACTCCACAATCCAATGTGGAGACAGCACAGCCAAACCTCGTCGGAAGCAGGTGTGCAATAACACCGCAGTGGTATCGCGATATAGTCAGGGGCTAAATTCCCTTTCAAGTTTGCTTATTTATTATAAAGGAATGAAAATTCTTTCAGAAATTTCTTCCCTACTACTTAAGTTACGTTCCTAGCTGGTAAGATCTTTCGTTACTCGTGTTACATCTTTACCACGCAAATAAAACGCGATTTTCATGCATTCTGTCTAAAGAAGTCTGAAATTGATCGAACGAATGCCAAAACTGACAACCATAGTCTACACGTGGGGTCTCTTTGTCTGAGAAACATGAAACTAAGTAGATTCCTTGGCAGTTTCGTGATAAACGCTATCGGAAACGATCCTAATCTGTCGCACTCCCGGATAAGGAGGATAATTATTAATTACTTGCATTGAGCGCAACCTTATTATTGTCGACTTTCAATTCCCTTCCAACGACGATAAAAAGGTTACTTAGAACTTCGCGTTTGAATATCACAAATTCAGTAGAATTATTTACCGCTGTTTCGCCTGAGGCCGGTGAACTGATGGGCTGCTTTAAAGGCACTTGGCAGGTCTTATTCGTCTTTGGCCTCAATCCTTCAATTTTTCCGTTCGCGATCTATTCTAGTCCCTAACCACCCCTGTTTAATTTAGTTTCTTCTTTTGCGTTTGTCTAATCCAGCAAAATATCAATGTTGTCATCATAATTATTCTAGTACTGCGCCGGTTGACCATCTTTGAGCCCGTGTTATCTCTTAGGAAGCCTGTCAACAACAAGTTGCTTAATGTTACCCGCGGTTCAAACCATCCTCCCCCAAGACCCCTATTACTCAGTGTTCAAGATTTTAGTGGTTCAAAGGAGAGGAGCTTTTTGCGTGAAGTCGACTTAAGTGGCCTCATCAATAACAGGCTAAACTTGTTTTCCAGTCGTTTTCGGACTGTTCCTTACGCCTTCAAATACTACTGGGACTTCCCTCTTTCGGGCAATCTATATTTTACCAATCTCTCTTACAAAGCTATGTTATTTGTCAACCTTCTCTCTTCTTTTTCCTTGACCCCACGTTGTCTGGTCTGGAACTGCGATGAAAATCGTATGACCCGCTTCCTCCCTAGATCTTGCTTGTTCATAACCACCATTTCAATTACTAACATCATTGTCATTGTCATTTGTCAGCTTTTATTCTATCCGGAAGGAATTATTTTTTTAAGCTTTAAAAAAAAAAAAACAGCAACATTAATAACCGCAAAACGAACAAGCGGACATAATACGAGTAAACGTCAATACGAACAGAGAAACAAATGCAATTAACAAAAAAATCTACAGACATCCTATTGAGTTGTAATAGGACAAAATTAATTTGAATGACTTATTTAATAATTCAATAATTTTAATAACTAATTTAATAAGGTCATAATTTTAATAACTCATTTTAACAACTATTTTAAATGACGATTTTTAATGATAATCTTAATAACTTGTTACAGTTAGTTCGAACGAGACTGCTTCTCCTTTGTTTTAATTAAGTTTACTCATTTTTTTTTTTTCATTTCAAAAGTTTTGGCGCTTTCCCCCATTCCTTGAAAAATCTACTCATTAGATGAATAGGTTCCTACGCCGAAATTACTCCGCCTCAGTCTTCATTCACTTCATCGTTATCATAAAAAAGAAATGTTTGAAAAGGGGCAAGACAAATTAGTTTACTTTTAGCCATAAATGAAATAATCTTGAACGTTGGTACAAATTCCAAAGTTAGCACCAGTTTGACGTTTTTTCTGGTCTTACTTCAGTTATATATAAGGAAAAAGTTGAATGACGTCATTCACCAGCAATTTTAAGGTCATCATCACCATAAATTAATTTCATGTGTGCGTTGAAAATTGCTTAATTGCATTATACTTGAGCATTAGAAAAAAAACATCATCAACGGGAGAAACCTCACCATAATTGAGACAGTTTTGCGTAGAAAGTTTTTGATAGTTTTCTTAAAGGTCGTTTTTCCAGGCCGGTTATCATAGATCTCGTGAACGTCTCTAATCTAGAGCCTAATCCTACTGACTAATTTTCATTACCGCTTACACCACATACAAACTGATCCGGCAAGCCGTGCATTCCCTTTAGTCTTTGCGCGTTTGAGTTTCGTGGTGTGTGGTAAGGTTTTCGCTTATCTTTATAAAACATTTCTTGGTTGAAGTTCAGCCAAAAGTGGTAACTGTTCATAATTATGACCAAAGAAAAATGAAGACATTTTCTGCGTGAGTCTCGAGAATTGATTGGCCATGATAAAATTTGTTTGTCTAAATTATTCAGTAACAATTTAGTCGTGGAGACAGAAGTCATGTGAAACACATCAATAAATTCAAACATCCTCTTCGATGGTTTATCATAAAGAAACGAGGAATAAGCAAGATGTCTGCTGTTTGTATGTTAAATCGTCGAATGAAGGAAATATTGTATTCACTATGATTTCATTTAAGTTTAAAAGCTACATCCCACGGTATTATCTGAGAATCGAATCATTTCGATCGCGTAAGGCGCGCATGACAACCACAAAGGGAAAAAAAAGTTTGAAATCCAGTCGATATGCTGATCGGTTTTGCACATACTTATGTCCTATGTTATACAAGAGCTTTTAGCTCCGATTCTTTCCAAAGAGTCCAACTTATAAAAATTTAAAGCAGTTCCGGTGCAGTGGTGAGTGGATTTTCACCTTTAATAGTGGCTCCTCATAAGGTCACTAAATTATTTGGTAAAGGTAGTGTGAGTTGCGTCAGCGTAAGTTCTCATGAGGCATTATGGAATAATTGTCTCGATCGTTCTTCGACAAATATGTAGTTGTACGCTTGTGATCAACGAGTATGCATGTTTTTGTCATGGGAAATGGCGGGGGGGGGGAGGCGGGAAGGGGCTCGTATCATTCGACAAACTGCTGATCAAAATCTTGTTGTAGCTTTTTTAGGAAGAAGGTTTTGCACGAAACAAAACAATCTGCCATAAAAGATATATATTATGTGCCATCGAACCTGTAATACGAGGTTTTTTTTCTTTCGTTGGTCAAATACAACTAACGCCTTTTTGTTTGCGTGTACTTTGCTGTGAGACGTGTTTCCTCTCATTTTTATTATTTTTTTTTTTTTTGCTATTTTTACGGCCCAACTCTCTATTTTTGCAAACTTTCAATCCATGATCAATTTATTCTCAATCTTATTCATTTCAAATGTTTTCTCTAAAATTTAGAAAGCACTAAGAAGAGAAAGATTACGGTTCTTATTGTTATCACATATGCGGCTAAATTAAACTAGTAGTCAGTTTCTTTGGTAAATGCACTCTTCGTTGTTTTCCTCGATGAAAAATCTTCCCTGAGTCTGTTTTAACGAAAGAAATTTGTCGCAAGAGTCGTAAACACTTTTTAAGAGAAATCTTCTCTAGAGGGAATTTTCATGGCTTAACTGACTTCCCTTCTTTTCTCGCTTGCGTGAAAGGTCAGAGATTATTTTTGCCCAGGAAGAGATATATGAGAAAGGAAACAAAGATTACAGATAAAATTTTGTTTGCGTAGCTTAAATGGTTTTTCTTCATTGATCTAATCACATGACCCGACAACAATCTAAGCCTTAGGATCACCGCATTCTTGAACGATCTTAAAATTCCATAAATTTTGGTACACTTTGAGATAGGTTTTTTTTACATCATTTTATGATTAAAGTCCTACTTAAGTGAAACACTGAAACTGGTTTTGAAATAAAACATTTCTTCCGACTACCTCCTATTTTGGTGTAACACTTTTGTACTAGATTTCTCAGCAGCTGCCACTGACAGCAGTAATTAACAAGTTCATAATCAAGCTGTTAACGAACTCTATAATAGACTATGCTATAATTATATTTTCTAGCGTCTAAAGGACATCCGGAAAGAAAGCTATTTCCTCACAAAAATTTTTTTTGATAGCAAAATCTCTACGAGCAACAGATTCGTGATGCATTTAAAACGGTTAAATAGATGTTCACTTAATATTTGTCTTGGGGATAAGCCATCTTTTTCAACGAAAGTCGGTTCATTTTCCCCTTTTCGTGTGATAACTTCCCCGACAGCCGCATTCTCGCTGAGGAACGAAACATACCCGCATTTCATAAATAACATCGGTACTAATTGGATGAAGACAACGTGACAACTTAATTGAAAGTGATCATTGATCTTGAAAGGGTACGACGCTAATGTGGCACTGTTTATCATATGCTGGACTTGAATGGTTCTGCATCCTCAAGTTATTATACAGTTGGTTAAAAACCGTTTACAATGATTAGCGCTTAAAGCGAGATCATGAAAGATCTTGATCAGCCGGAGGTGATAAAAGTATAACTATTTGTGGAAATGATTTCTGCGAGAACTGGACTTTGATTGCAACACTTTTCGACCAGTTTTAATCAGGTCCATTGGAATCGCCATAAGGACTCATCAAACGTTACGAAAAACTTGATTGTGACATTTTCAACCGGAAAATATCAGTCTAGATCACGTTTTTGAAGGAGAGTCACATGTAAGATTTGTGCTATGGAGCATAAACTTCTATTTCATTTTCCAAGTGTTGCTTGTAATTGGATGAAAGCATCTGTTTAAGTGTTTACTATGCTATACAAAGTAGTTCCAACATTGAATGACTTTGAAGATGAGGTTCCAATGTATCACCACTCAAAAGAAAACTAGTGAGAGGTATTTTCAGTTAGTATCATGGTTGAAATTTAATTTCAATAAATTGCAATCCAGCATAGTTTGCGCCTTTGCAAATATTGACTAAGTTAATCAGGTCAGCCGGAGGGCGACTTATTATCTCAAAACTGTATCGCGCGTTCGACATCCAAAATTTGATTAAAACGCTGCGCCATTACAACCTCACGCTTATATATCACGATGTAAGTTTATGAGGTAAATTTTCGCGATATTTTTACGGGAAAAAATTATGTATCAAGGGCTTCAAAAAACTGGTTTACTGTCACTACAAAATACAGGGTTTTTGGGTAATAGAGCTAAAACATGCAAAATAAGCCATGAATTGTTGGCATGATTACTGGAGATGGATTAGGGTTTGAGAAATTAAGAAGGATTGTGAGGTTAGTTCTGTATCAGGCTAAACGATCTGACATCTAATGACAGCGGTTTACTGGGACAGATAAAAAGAAGCTTCAAGTCAGGCACTCAATGTTGACCAATGAAATTTGGGTAGGATTTCTAAACGATTGTTTTACTCCTAAAGCGCTCCCAATTACTGTGGTGATAAAGAATAATTGTTGGATGTTTTAATTCCATGGCTCTAATGGAAAGTATGGTAACATGTTGTCCCATCAGAAAGGGGATAATCGAAATAAATTGCAATCGCTGAATAAATTTGTGATATTTAAAAGCGTGAATTGGTTTGAAAATAATGAAACTTAATTAGATTAACATGCTAATGTTTCAAACACAAGAGAAATTTAAAGGACCATAATTCTTTCCAAAGATATTTGAATTAAAAGTTTCACTATTTGAGGATCATCCTACAAAAGTCGTTGAGCTGCTGAATGACATTATTGTTAATCGCAGGCTCGAGGTTACAAGTTTATGTTAAATCGACGATGGTAAATATCACTTAAAATATCATAGCTAAATATTTTGTGTCCCATTACAGAGCGCTAAAAGTATCATTTGTAGTTACCAAACAACACAAATAAATCACTCATCTTAGCGTTTTAATCGAAACTGTAATTGTTACTTCACCTCAAACAATATGTACATCAATCGAAATAAAAAGCGTCAAAACCTTTAAGATCTACAACTCGAGATGTCTTGTTGCACAATCTTATAACATGTGAAGGAATAACTTACAACACTTTGCGACACATATTGAATGCCTAAATGGTAATCATTTAGACTACAAAAGAAGTAAATTCGTTTAAAAGAGTCTTGTAAAATAAGGCATTTCTCTGAAATGTTATTTGCAGAGTAAAGCGTTATCAATCATTGGCGGAAAAGAAGAACTTCAACATCCGCAGGGCCTCAGTCCAACCCTGTAATCTTTACTCATTGTGCATAAAATTAATGGATTTATAGCACTATTTGCATAAAGAAGGGAAAGACATGTTACCAAGCCAACGTTCACATCGGAAGTTCGCTCCATTCCCGTAAACTCCAAAACGAGTGCAAATGTTACATACGGTAGTAAACACAAGCTAAAGGCAAACACAATAACGATTAACATTTTAACGAGTTTTCGCTTCTGCTCGAGTCGCATGACTGTGATGGAGTTCTTGGCCGTATTGTGGTTATCATGTATTATTCTTACTTTCCACAACGCCAAAACAACTCTGATATAACAGTACCCGATAAGAAACAGTGGAAATGTAGCCAGACACGCCGTTAGCACTTTGTGAATTATCCGTTCCATGTTACTCCTCCAGAAAGGAAAACAAACTTTTACGCCGTTTTCTATTTCGACAAGTTTAAGAATGAAAGACGTGGGAATTCCTACGACAAGATAGCTAAAGATCCAAATGAACAAAATGCAGATTTTTGCTTGTGTTTTCGTGAAACGCGCTTTGAACGGCGTAACAACTGCTCGGTAGCGATCCAAGGCGATTGCTGTCAAGGTCATGATGGAAACGGTCAAAAACACATCGCCAAATGGAAAGAAAATCTTACAAGCAAGTTCGCCAAACGGCCAAGATGCAAGTTCTTGCAACAGACCGACGGGTAAACTTAGAACCAGCACAGCCAGGTCGCTCAGGGCCAAGTTCGCAATAAAACAACTGCTTGTTGTCTTAGATGAACCCTGTTGAAGAACTCCGTATATCACAATGGAATTACCGAAGAATCCAACCATGAATATAATTGTGAAGATGACTAACTGTAGAATTGCATGAACTGGAAGACTGTCCGAGTAAAAACTCTCGGCGGGCATCTCTTCAGGAACAGAGTCATTCGATGAAATATGAAATTCATGCGCCATCGTCCAATTCAGATGCCTGTTTGTTATTTGATTAAATCTTGTGAAGATACAATTTGGTCCACACAATTGCGCCAAATACACCTCTAAAAGCTTAACAACGAACTCTTCGCCAGTAAAGACTGACTATTTCATTGCAGGCTGTGGTTGTAGGCATTTACAGGAATGCTTAAATTTATCAGTCGCTGCAATCGGCGCCTCCGCTGTCACAGCTAAAATTTCCCTCAACTCGGGTAATTAAACAACTCGTCTCAAGCCGCCGTTATCAGATTGATCCAAACAGTCTACGACGAGGCGGAAATCGTGATTAAAGCCGAGCTCTCTTGAAGTACATACAGCACACCTTTAAGATTTAAGACTAAATTTAGTCAGAAACACCTCGTGGGCCAAGTTTGTTCGACAGTGAGTCAGTAGATACGCAGTTGACATTAATCACTGGCTTGTATCGACAATGAAGATTGCCAGAAATGTTTACATTACACAATAGTATTTTTCTTGAAATCCGACGCCTGGCTGTGTCTTTCTGCGATTCCGGGCCTGTTTTTTTAGATTTTAATTCCTGGCTGTTGCAAACAATTCACACATCTTAACGTAATTATTTTCCACTTGGATTTTGTCATGCGAAAGGGCGCCTCGAATTTCGCTCGTGCGCAGTTGGTTACAAGTGTGCTCTCTCCATTAAAAGGATTCCTCTTTTAATCTTCACTGTTAAATCGCTTATTTTTGGCGAAATCGTACAGTTTTAGGGACTCTTGAAAGCTTCACTCTATCACACGCTTCCGACATGTCGGGAAGACACATTGGCTCCAATATTCCCGATGATAAAATGTTACTGATAACGAAGAAAAATAGCCGGAAATGCTCCTTTTGTTTCGTATCAGTCGGAATCACGCAATCCCTGTTCCCATGGATTCTTTCGGTGTAAAGGCGCAATTTTTTGGAGGATTATCCTTGCATAACATCAGCTTTTGATTTAAATCAACAAGTATTTTCTTCGTTAAAGGCTGTTAACACGCCTTTTTTTAATTCCAAAACTCGACCGAATCCAACTCAATGGGAACTAAAGGTTTGCTCCATTTTTCGACACTTATGAAATTTCACACCTCGAGGACATTTGGGTCATGGCGACAGACAAAGGTAGTTGGGTTTACCGCTAGAAATTTGATCTTGAACACGTTTTTTTCTTCTTCTTTTAGATGGTAATCCAAGGCTTGAAACGGCTACAGACAAACTTTCGCCTTCGAGCGAAACAGCGAATGTACAAAGCATTGATCCATATCAGTAATTCGGCTTAAGCTGGCGTCTCCATGACTAGAGTACCTTGAACGTCCCCACATTAAAATTAATTTTCCATTCGTCAAACACCGCAATAATAAAAGACTCATTCACGGTACATCCATTGAATTAAAATTCCAATAATGCCCACAAAGAATTAATAAAATACGGCTCCTCGTAATCGGGGAATATCTTGTTCTCCACGTACGAAGTTGTTTTTCATTATTCTTGTAAATCCTAATAAAAATCCTGTTTCCCAAACGCTCATATTTATTCGCCGAAACTTCCTATTGCGTGACATATTATTATTGATCTGAAGAACACTGCGAAATGAAAACTTTCAATTTTTGGTCATTTCTAATTTTCTTACTGTCGGAAATGTCTCAAACACAGAGGTTAGATTTTCAAAATTCTTGTAAGATTTTAATGTAGACAATATTACAAGACTGACCCAGTGTACAGCTTTAAAGTGATTTATTTCAGTGGAATGATGCGAACTGCAATAACTAATTACATAAAATTGGTTCCTTCTTTTAATTAGCAATTATTCACTGAGGAAGAGGTTAATATTAGTGGATATTTACCAAGCCGCGAAGCGGTGATGTCTGCGATGTCCACAACTTTCAACGGCGGACACTGAGGTAAATTAAAGTATACCACACACAAACAATAAACGAACAATTTTTTTTCTTTTTTTATGTCGATATACTGTAAAATGGTCGGAAACCATTGACGAACGATTTTCTCTCTTCGGTTGCTTACAGGTGAACAGTTGCTCGCTGATCATTTTCGAACTTGCTTTTAAGTGTGCGCGAAAAACACTACATGTATTCAACTGTGTCACGCTATATACTAATTGACGACATTAATACATTTCTTATCGATATTACGTTTTTTTGAAGCAAAGATTAATATATATTTTTTTGACGCAATTTCGTTTCTTTGTGTTAATTTATTTCAGAATTAATTATCCAAATGTCTGGGTTTCATATGCTCGCCCCGATCTACGGTTTCATGAGATTGTCTGAGTTTTCCAGACCTTACTCGAGGCGATCCTTTTTTTCAGTTTGGATCATGTGGAAACCAGGTGATCGCCCGGGAGAGAACGTTTAGCCTGGTTTCCATATAATTGTCCCGATCGTTTGAGCATTACTTAGGACGACCTAATCTGCGCCAGGCCTTCCGTTTACGGAGATGAACGAAAACAGAGCATGCTAAAGCTGGAAAACGAGTTGACGTGCAGCAGTTACGGTTGTGATGTTTCCGCGGGTGCCATTTCTTGAGCACTCTGCACCTTTTTGCTCATCTTCACTAACTGAGAGCCTGAAACCTGCTTGGACGATCAAGGGAAACCCCAGAATCTCTGACTATGACCGGGTGGTACTGGAAAGCGATTGGATTTTACGCAGAAGGAAGGACTGTAGCCTGTTAGTTTGACGAATTTTCTGGGGTTTTTGATCGCTCAATAAACATGGAGCCATCACACTTGATGTCAAAACCTACCATTCAACTTCTTATCATGCAGGCATTTGAAGAGTTAAGTGGCAGGACTATCAAGGAAGAACACTTTGGAACGTGCCGGAGCTCCTAATGTAAAAACGTTTCGTGTTCACACTAGGCACTCGCCAAAGTATTAGGCTTTAGCAGCGGCGCAAGATGGTTTCATGCTTACCTACTGGGTACCTCACAAAGAATACCTTCAGACTCACATCTGGTAATTCATCATGGAGTTACGAATGACAGTTTTTATGACACATAAGTTTCATGTTGAATTAATAAAGCGGGCCTGTGAGAAATGAACGGCTAATAGTTATCGGCCGTAGTTGATCTTTTTCCAGAGTATAGGATGCACTGATGTATAAATTAAGCTTGATGACACTTTATGAATAACTACAGAGCGTGCATTCTCTTCCAAGAGCAAATGGCAACTTTTATACAGCATTAGGTTGTGGCTAGCTAGGTTGAACCTGTTGTAAATCTAAGCCTTTTACATAAGCATGTTCAATTGGTCAGCGGTAACCTGCGGGTCCACCTCCTTTCCTATGATCAGCTAGCGCCAGTATCTCTCCGTCCTTCTCTCTATAGACGAGTTGAACCACTCCAATGATTTGGAAAGGAGTTCCTGAGTAATTTAAATAAACAAGTGAATAAACAGATAGACGAATTAACAAATTCAGTCAAACCAGTAGTAGGGGCACCGTATTAAGCGGTCGCCCTGTATTTAGTGGTCAGTTGTCAAAGTTCCTAATTTGTTTTCCGCTAATCATATGATTTTTACCTCTATTTAGCGGTCACCTCTGTTAAGCGGTGGCGGTCACCCTTAAGTAAGTCCTAACAGCCTGTTTTTACTATTTTCCAAATGGTCACTGAAGGTGGAACCATTCCAATGTTACTAAGAATAATCTTTCACTTGTATGAAGCGGTTAACCTGTAGTAAGCGGTCACCACGTCATTCCCCGTGGCCGGACCGCCTAACGCAGGTTCAACTGTAAGTAAATTATCGAATGAATGAGAGTTAAATGAATGAGCAGCAGAAAGATGTACTAGTCCATAGGGTATGTATAACAATCCCCTTTGCGCACTGGAGTCCATGTGTATGATTACCCTTTGCTCACCATCTCATACCCAGGCCTCCTCTCCCGCAACTGCTGGTACAGCCACTGCTGCAGTAATACGTTTGTGCGTATACGCATGACAAGATGTTAGGACTGATTTTGACTTTTGAAAGGTTTTCGCGAAACTGGGGAGTTTAGAGGTTTAGTCAAGAGTGGCAAATGTCTTGTCGGCACGGCGTGAGTGCTGTGGAACGGTCAAATGCCATTTAACACTAGACTTTCAAATCCGTTTTTTTTTAAATAAATTTACATTTTCGTTTAGTTTATATTCCTGTTTAAAGACATTTATAGCTCTGGTAAAAGCAAAAAATGACCTCTTTTAGTACAGCTTTTGTTGATAATCGAACCACCGTTGTCAGACACAACGCACAACACCTTGTGCTCCAGACTTTCAGCCGCCTCTCAACAATGGCGCCGTCGCTTCTAGTGACGTGTGCATAGAAAGTTTTTCCTGGTACTAAGAACATTAACATTAAAAAAGCATAAATTCACGGTGGTCAAAAATTGGAAACAAATTAAAAGCTCAGACTTGTTCAACCTCTTAACACACCCTCTCGGAAACTGAAATAAATGTTTCTCTAAGTCGACTTCTCAGTTTTCGACTCGTCGTGACTTTAAAAATGCGTGCAGCTGCGATATGTTGATTGTTTTTTGGGGACGAGAAAATCACGTTTAATGTAAAGAAATAACCACGAAATATAGGTTAAGCAAGATAGAGAATCATCCAAATGTAACTAAAGAATAAATGTTAAAATACTTGAAAGGGTGGAGGATGAAGAAGATTAAAGTTCAAGAATTGCAAATCACAGTGGGAAAAACATTTAAAAACTGTGACAGCACGGTAGACACTCCTTGTCTGGTTGTATTTGTAGCCAATCTGATCTCGTTAAAATTAAAATGGCTTTATAACAGTTTAGGCGAGTTTCTAGTTTCATTTAGTCAGTTTAATGAGGTTATCTTAACTTCATCGGTTGACAGATTTTATGTGATCGAAACGACACAGTGAGTAAGAAAAGTAACTGTCCAAATGGAAACTAGAGTTAACCAAAATGATCCAAAATGGCTCAGTATGGAGCAGTTTGTCATGGGTTTTAAATGGCAATTGAAACATTGAAACATTGAAACACCGACCGTGATTTAACTTTCATTCGCAGCTGATCTGATCTCGTTAACTCGCGAGATGCTTTATTCAAAAACAATCCGGCGCACAATCTTTTGTTAAGTGATTAACGAAGTTATCTTAAATCCATTGTTAAACTAAAATTGTTAACAGGATATTTTTTTTAAGCCACGGAAGACTATAAGAAAATATCCACAAGTCATTTTCGTTTTTTCCTGGAGACTTAATACCAATGAAACGGATGAGTGAGGTAGAAAACTAGGAACTGAAATTATTCAAGAATGATTCAGAATGGTTAAGGACGATGCAGGGCGTCACGGGTTTACAATGACAATTGAAACACCAAAACCTAACTCTGATTTAGCTTTCATTCACAGCTGATCTGATCTTATTAACTCGCGAGATGCTTTGTTCAAGAGAAATCCGGTCTGTAAGGCGGATACAGCCTTCTCCTCGATCATGAATCAATTGTTCCATTTTAGATAATACAATTATTTGAACACTGCGCTCTACATGATTGGTCGTTGCTTATGGTACAAATGATCTGTCAAAGTTCAGATGCTCAACTGATGTCATAAAAAAAAATTTTCAAGTTCTTTGCTTCTTTAACATGACGCACTATTTTAAATCATCGCAATATTTTTCCTGATTAAGTAAGAGTGCGACTCGAAAAAAGAATGGATCGAAAGCTGTTTAAGAGCTAACAGACCAAAATCATCCTGGTCTTAATTATTATCTATGAGAATATTTATCTTTTGCACAACTGTAGACGCAGGATAAGACTAAACAGTGAAAAACAGTGGCGTATATTGAACTAATTAAATCATCTGAATAAAACCAGCTCAGACTAATAAATCTTCCGTTTCCTTTCCCTCAGTGGAATCAACTTTCGTCCCTAATTGGCTATCTCAATTGGGAATTGGTTGAAATTTCCATTGCCCTGTAATTTATACTTTACTGGCGTTGCGAAATTCATTCATACCAAATAGTGAGGTATGATCTAATCATTTATCAGGAATCAAATTTCTTATTGAAAGAATAATTTATGTCATTGAACTGAACATATTCTTTAGTCAACATTAAGAGGACGGAGAGATGTATAGATGTCAGCTGGCCACGAGTATCATGTGTATCGTACCTAGAACTCTTTTTTCTGACTTACAGAAGTTAGGTTATATTTGGGTGTAGCTTTTCTTAGAATTGTAAGATAAATTGGTATCTGATGTATCGGTTATACTGTTTATGGGTAAAAATTAGATATTTCAGGATTATAAAGTCCTTTTTCCTTAGTCAGACAAAGCCTGATTTCTTTAAATCATTGGTTTTGCATTTGGTTGTCCTTTAACAGAGGGGACATCAGCCCTTAATGACAAGTGCTAAGGGGGGAGCGGGGAATCTTAAAAGTGATGTGAGTTAGGAAGTAGATAGTAACACTGGCTTTTAGTGGTGGCTGGGAGAGAAGACGGAGGGGGGAGAGGGATCATGAAATCTTCCACCGTCAATATGGTGGTTCAAAAAAAGCACCATATACTTTACGGGTGGGGACACTTAAATTCTCCGTTGTCGCGACAAAAATCCTCCACACCCCCCCCTCTCTCCCCACTCAGGCGATAAAAAAATTACCGGTCCCCTACTATCAGTGTTACCGTGAATGTTACCGTGAGCCAGCTGTGATTCGTTTACACTGTACAATCGAGGATCACAAATCGTAAAATTGTCTTTCCTTTTCGCTCCTACCTGTAATTTTTACGGTGTCGTTTGTAATTTTATGTCCAAAGCGTTTAAGCTCGTCAATGTACTGTTTGGGAAAGTCTTTTTCGACTAGGACCAGATTCGGAAACAGTTGGCTGTGGAGACGAGACTTCGACACAGCGTCCCGTAAACTCTCTCCAAACCAAAAATGGTTCATCAGAACCTATGATAGCAAAGAAATAGGATACATGTATTCAGTTTTCTTTCCCTAACATAAATGAGCCTTGAGCCTTTAAATGGGAGCCCTGCCCGGAGCAAAAGACCATTTCGCTCACCTCACAATTAAAGATGAAAGGCTTAGTGTATTTATGGATTTTAAGATGTTCCTGGAGAAGCAGGGGCTTAAGAAACGACTCTCTGTTTAAGTGAGAAATAAACTTAGTTCTCCAGAGACAAGTCTGTCAGGTTGTCCCGTTCTTGCCTTTCACGCTCCAAAAATTGAAATCAAAGTTAAAGAAGAGGAGAAGAGGAGGAAATTGCTAGAAATACTTAACACAAAGAAACAAGCAAACGAATAAAGAAAACAAAGTATTTTAGCACTCAAGCTTGCAGCGTAATAATTATAAATGAAAGATTGATATTCACTCACTTGTGCTAAAGCTGTTGCGATGTATTTTCCTCCGGCGGCTCCAAAAACCATTTTCACGTCCCCTGCTTCATCTAAGATGATGGAGGGTGAAGCAAGAGACACGGGTCTTTTGTAAGGTTTAAGTTCGTCAATCGCCAATTTAAATTCCTTTAATCTCACATTCTCGTAAGTGTCCAGCAGCTGATCGTTGTAAATTATCCCGAGCTTAGGACTTCTAAGTTTTGCTCCGAAACTGTAATTTAAAGCAATAACCTTGTTTTAATCACTGTGTTAGCGCTGTGTTAGTACAGAAATCTCGTGGCACGAGAAATTTGTGGTTGCTATGTTCCGCAGATTGGTGCCTTCTTTTCTACATGGAATAAATATTATTCTAGCTCGAGCTCAGTAGTTTACAGAGCAGACATTGGTTTCATACCCGGATTTAACCCCACAGACTTGTTAGTTACATCTAAATTTAAAAGTATAATTCCTATTTGAGCTCGACTTGGGAGAGCGCATACTATTCTTGTCGTTGACAGTCCCGCGGATTTTATGATTTCCCACGGATGTCAATCCGCAGCCAAATCGCCATCCTGGACTGACTGACACACATGGCATCGATATCATGTGCTGGGTAAGTGAAGTCCCGCGAGTTGACTCGCCACGTTCAGGATGCATGGGTAGATTTTTTGCAACCATTAAATTGAACGAAATGGTCACTTCAAATCAGAACTGCGAGCCACGCCACTGATCAATGTTTGTAGGTTTAATTAAACACGGGAGTTTTTTTAGGCCGAGACAAAAACATTAATCCCCTAAGGATCTTAATGGGGGCAACCGTTAGCCGTAAAACGTCCAGAAAATTTAGCCGTTGGGCGTAAAAATTGACAAAAAAGTCCCAAAACTGAAAAGTTAAGCGTAAAAATTTTTCCTCTCGAAAATGTGTCATTTGTGTCATTTTGGGTCAACGGTAACCGTAAAAAAAAGCCATCACCTATTGAGACCCTCTGGCTAAGCTAGATCAAACGCACCTCAACAACACTTGATTGCTATGGGTAATTATTTGACCTTATCGAGCTGATTTACAAAGTCTCTTAGTGTAAGACTCGGAGCAGAGAAAATTAGTTTCCGGTGAGTCTTTCGTTAAATTAATCAACTCACTATTTATTGATTGAAGTTGTCAAGGAAACAGCATTTCCTTCTGCATCGAGAACAGACAGGTGAGTCGTGCCATCTGTGATGTCGGTATTGTAGTTGATTGGTCCATAATAATCAAAAGAATGTGTCTCGCCGTTTATTAATCTGCGTATCTGCTCGCTTCTCTCCGGATCCAACATTTCCTTCACAACCTGAGACAGGGGAAAATAGGCCTGGTCGTGTTACTGCGCCAGAGTATAAATAGGTTTTAACGTGTACATGTAGCTACCGCATCAAAGAGAAAAATTTGTTCCGATGTGTAAATGTAGTTACTGCGAAAGAGTACATATGGTAAATTTGCCTCGATGTGTAAATGGGGCTATTAACCTAGTAAAATACATAGGCCTACAATCTGTAGATCAGGTGTACTAAGATGTAAATGGTCTCCTATGGTGAATATGACTCGATGAATTTACGTGATTGCTCAACGAGAATAAAACTACGACTCAGCGAGCAAATGGTGTTACTGGAGTAAGTAGCGTTATTGGAGTAAGAATGGGCGTTGGTGTGTAAATTTTGATTGGTCAACTAAAAAATCTACAGGTCCGCGATGTGCAGGTATGCTACGCTAGGATGTAACACTTCTGTAATGTGTAAGTGAGCAAACAGCTTTTCTTCACCTAATCAATAAATAAAGTCATGAGGTTTTATATAAACCTAAATATTAACAATCTTGCACATTCAGGATCTGAAAAGTTGACTGCACGTCAATAACAAATCCGTAACGACATTGAAACACATCGATTCTTTTACAACATCTGATGTCTCACCTCTTTCACGTCTTCATCAAAGACAGGATCTGTAAGATAGGTCTGTTTAGCTGCCACGAAGTTGAATGCTTCGATCATGCGGTGATACGTCAAAACAGGATGATGCTTCATATCATTTGCACTAAAATTGAAGCCTGAACAAAGAAGGATCATTTAGTTTGTTGATAACCTATGGCGTGAAACCAAAAAAATATATTTTAAATAAACTTCGGCCAAACAAAGTGACTTTGTTTGGCCGATGAGATGAATTCATTAACATTACATATGGAGTCACCATGATCTCTGGGAACATTACTCAAAGTAGGAAGGCTTTCTACAGGAGTCAAGCTTGGAAAATCATAGTAGCTCAAGTCATCGTCACTTTTTGGCTTATCGTTACCTTACAAAATAACTGATATACTTTAAAAATTGGTGGAGATTGAGATAGTTGGGGGAAACAGACAGAGCGGAATTAGCTACTCTGTAAGGCTATTAAACTTGAAAGAGAGCGCTTACCTTTGAGACATGACAGGACGGAAAACGCGTGCACTGTAAGTACCTCCCGTTGTCCCATACAAAGCCTTAGAAAACTTTTCTAAGGCTTTGTATGGGCTTTTTTTCTGGAGTATCTGGTAGCGCTCCAGGTTGCTTCAATATGCTTACCGCAAGGCGTCATAATCTCGTCACTTTGTGACAGAAATGTCGTTTAACTGAAAGTGAACCAGAACACCAACAGACCTATACATGTCTCAATTTTCCGATGAGGGAATGTTAGGCATCAATGACACGTCATCGCTTGTCAAACTTTGTCAGTAAACATGACTTCCACTTACGTAATTGGCACAGGATATACTACTACCGATGAGGGAATAATAAATCTGATCAGAAGTCTGTGGCAGGTCGGGTGATATTGAAACGCATTTTACATTTAAAAACTTTATACTTGGAGGATTTCAACTGCTTTTTTTTTTTTCCTGGTAGTCCTTGCATAAACCTTGTACCCTGTTTCATCCACATTAATTCTTCGTAGTTGTACATTCACTGCGAACAAAGCTTTCCGGTTAATTTTTATCGTTTTATCGCGTTGAGATAGGCCGCTGTCCACTAGAATTTTCTACAACATTATATCAGTATGGAAACGCGGGCACAAACTCAGCCAAAGGGAATCGAGTACCGAAGACGATCGCCAACAAAAGCGCGCGCTTGGCGCGTGCTTGGCAAAGTAATCATGCCACGACGATCTCGGGAAAGTACAATCGAAAAAAACGCAGCATGCGAAATCAAAGGAGGAAACGTGAACGATTGTCAAGGACAGCTAGGGAAAGGAGAACAGAGAAATGAGAACACAAAAGGAAAGAGATGCATATTCTTGGCGCGAATGTATTATAGCAAATGGAAAGCATTAGTCGAACAGAATAAAAAGACCCTGGACAAAACCAAGGTAGGTACTCGGTTAGCGTCAAAATAGAATAAAATAGATATCAGAAAATGAGCAGTTGGTTACAAAAAACGATATCACCGAACTGACGCTGAACGTAATCAAACTAGCATTGTCTTGCATTGTACAAAACGTCCTGGGGTTGACTTCAACATAAACTCATAGGGGGAGGGGAGAGTGTAGCCCTCAAAATTTTTCTCCTTTTTATGATGAAATGAAAAAAAAACTATAATCATTTTCGTAAAATAGGGCAAGGAATCCCCACTTGAAATTGCCTCATTCTGAAATGATTTAGCGGGAATTCATTCATTTCTGTTTGCCAAGCAGACAGGCTAAACTTTCGTCTGAAAAGGACAGTCATTGAGCTTTGAGCATTTTCCCTTCCATCTTGCCATGTAGTGTTGATCTTGCTCTACCAAGGTTACCACAGATCAAAAAATGGCCAGGGATAGAAATTTCAAGGTCAGGGAAATTAAAGTTTTTACACCACTGAGTTTCATACCATGCTGGAAGAAATATTTCAGATGATCTCAGCAATGTTTTAATGAAGAAGAGGAGACTGGACATTTTGTATCCATTTCATCAGGGAAATTTTATTTTTATCATGGATAGGTCAGTACCTTAATAGTCAGGGAATCTTGGAAAGTTCTGTTTGTATTATATGAAAGGGATAAAGTTTATCAATAAATCTATTAACATAGGAATTACAATTTCCTCGATTGTGATTAGTTTTAAAAACTCCTATTTTCCACTAATTCACTTGCCAAGTTGTTGTTGGACAGTTCAATAAGCCAAATACATTCAAAGTTGTAGTTTAAGTCAACCAATCACATTCAAAGTTGTGGTTTAAATCAATCAATCACAACCTCGGTTTCAATCACCATAGAAATAGTGTACAGATTCCTAAATTGGGGCTTTCTTTAAAACAGAGAATTGGTTTCCCTTGAGCAATGACAATATTTAAGTGTTCTTTTTAATTTGGAAATTGTAATTTTTATGATTAATTGGTAAAAGGACTTTGTGTCATTTGTTTCGGTCTGTAATCACACTTGTGATAAACAAATTGTACTTCCACTATGCAGTCGTCTGATTTTGTTATCACTCATATGATTACAGACCAAAGACTACTCAGTCCTATTACCACTTATTACACAATCTAGCATGTGAATCTTATTAAGCTGACCAGCTTCACTTTTCCTCTGTTTATTACTTTATTCCAGATTAGAGACAGGAATACAAAATCAGGACCACCCAGTAGCAAATTTGCTACTGTTAATTTAATTGATCCATCTGAGCTTCAACCAATCAGTGAAAAGGAATTAATACTAGGACAGGGTTCATATGGCCGGTGCATTTTAAAACCTTTCAAAAGATTAAACGTTCTTGTGGTAGAAAAAAATAATAGGAATCCAGCTTGAAAGAGAGCCTATATCTCTAGTGATGGAGTTCAAAGGGGAAGAAAATACATCCGCAACAGTCAGTAAACTATTGTATTGCAAAGAATCCAATGGTATATTAGAGAAAGTTAACAGTTCACTGACAAGCAAAGACTGGCTGATCATTTGTCATGATATCACAGATGCTCTCGCTCACATTCACTCCAAATGCTTTCTTCGTTGTGGTCTCAAATCAAACAATGTTAATATGTAATCCAAGGTGGTGGCTCTGGGTCCCAGAACCTAACTTCTGAAGTTTGGTTTTATATGAGACAGGCAGAGTGAAACAAAGAACATGATTTTTACAGATTATGTGTAATACCCAAATGTTATGAACTGCTGAAATTGGCAATCTTCTCTCAGTTCTCTAAGGAGCTATTTATGACGAATTATGTTATTATTATGCTATTTATGTCAAACAAAAAGAAAACTGCATGTAGGCTGCTGGTGGAAACCCTCTGTATTAGTCTGCCCTCTTCCACAGTTAGCAGTGGGATTAGGGAAAGTCACACCACAGTAAATTAAAAACAAAAAAAATTTATCACAAAAACAGTTCCAGCAGCACAGAAAGGCCACAATGTTCGATGGATGGCCAGGTATACAATTGGAAAATAAATTGCAAAATGTGTACCAGCATGTTTGTGTTAATCCCATATTATGAAGTATGAGTTGTTTTCAGTAACTCAGTGTCAAATTTTATGGTATAGTTTTCTGTAATAATAACTAATTATCATCATATTGGCTTTCCATTGTTAGACATTAATGCCAATTTCTTGACCAATTGGAAGTAAAACCAAGTATAACTTGTTTACATATCTAAAAGTAAATAAACAAAGTTAAAACTGGGTGGGTTGCCTTGAGAACCCATCTGTTTTGGTGTGTTGTTTTCTGAGTTCTTAGAAGTAAGTGCACACTATCTTAACTCTGGTGTAATTTTGAATATCAGAACCCTGAAGAATAGCTCTTACTAACAGACCTGGTGCATGACACAGTAGTTTGGGTGTGTTTCTATCTGACCAAATGATAGGCTTTGACCTGTTTTGAGACTTATCTGTGTCAATGGTACTGTCCATCTAGTGTGTAAACATAGTACTTTTAAATGAATTCAGTAGACTTATTCATTTGATCATTATCATCTGCCACACAACTGTGTTCCCTATTACATTACTGTTCACTGTGAGATCTAGAATGACATAAATGTAAGCAAAAATGGTATAATAAATTATTTGAGCCTAAGCCTTCTTGTAGTTGAAATATTGGGAAAGAAAGGAAGAAGAAAATAATCAAGAATAGAAGAATTAGGCATATGCAAGATAACATTCTGTTTCCATTGTTACTTTAGCACATCAGTATTCCTGTTGTGAAGATGTCACATCTTTTATCAACAGGACTGCCAAGATGACTCATCTTTTTGCCAGTTTCTGTTTGCTATTGTAACAATAACTCTTGCAGTCCACTGGCAAAGGTCAAAAATTAACTTAGGAATAAAACAAGGATGCTGTGGCTCAAAAAACTTTGTATTAGGACACTGCCAGCTTGAACCTAGGAGTCAGCATTTAGGCTTTGAGTTTAAGCAGAGACTTTTCCCTTTTTCTAAAATTTATGATCTATTTGCAAGCATTTTCACAAGCCAAAGCCAAAGCCAAAGCCTTCTCTTAAAATTAATGATTGAAAAACCAAGGTATGTTAGTTAACATTTTCTTTCAATTATTAAGTTTCATTGTGGCAACTTCACCTTCACCTAACTTCTTCGCGCAAAGTGGCACAGAAGGCCTCATCACTGAAACATTTTTGTATATTCATCTCTCATCTCGTACCTATCCTGTGTATCCGTGTATGTAAGCTATGTTCGCGCTAAAAATCTAAAGGTGGGAGGATAACCGTAACTCCACTGACTCACCTCTACAAGTTAACATTTCTCACAGTGCTAGTTCCTCTCATATTAAATAAGTCGTGCTGATTAGACATGGTCGAAATGTAAATGGTATTTTTGACAGAATATTTGAAGACAAGTACGCATGCGTTAAGGGTGTCTGGAATCACGAAATCACGAAATCAATTGACTGTGAAGATCTGGGAGAAAGCCGTTTACCAACAGGCTACTGGAAAGCGCTTTTAGTTATTCACCATACGGGATAGCTGCATACCCACAAATATGTCGTAGAAAAGCCGGTTAAGACAACAGGCAAAAGAATGGAGTCTTTTATTAAGATTAAAGAATCATATTACGACATTCATAAAATTAACCAGGACTCCATTCACGAGCGATGACACATTGATCTCTATAGTTTGAAAGGTTATGGAGTCGCATTACAACACTAACCAGGACCCCAATAACTAGCGATGATAAGTTGATCCCCTACAGTTTGACATGTTTTCACACATTCCCAATAGACCCGGGGAAATAACGCTGCGGGAGATGATACTTGCAGTAAAAGCCATATCCGTCCTCTCATGTATTCAAAATGTTGATTAATGCGGCACCACCTGCAGGGGGTGGAACGGTCAAAAGTTTATATCCTTTGACCCCAGGGAGAGAAACCTCCAACGGTTTAACTTCAGTAGCTCTGTAATCTTTCAGGTCCGTCAGGGAAATACAGGAGCCGATGGATCTGACATCTTTGACGATCTGCCAAGAAAATAGTCCACACTCTTCTTAAATAAACCCAGTCACAGCATAAAAAATAAACTTTTAACCCTCAGAGAGATCAATCAAGGAACTGAGTCTTCTCAGTTTTTACACAATTCTCTCGCGGCAATTTTTGATCACTTTCTTCATTAGACATCCCACAAGAATGTAGAAGTAGAACGCTAGAGAATATACCAGATATACAGAGAAAAAAAAATTATTAAGTGCCGAACAGATCAAAGCCTGATATGGATGAGGCGGGAGGCCGTTGCATAACAAAATTCCACAACCATAATATGAAAGTACAATTTTTGATGATTGATTTAAATATTTAACATTTACAGACTGTCATAATTTTAGACCTGTTGTTACCTTCTTAGCCATTTTACCAGTGTAGAAGAGATCGGCTCCTGAGTCAGCAATTTTACGGAGAGTTTTTCCATATTTTGTTCTCTTGATGACATCTCCTTCTTTAATTTTTCGACCGTTTTTCCTGAATAACTCTCTGCAAAGAAAGCGAATTAACTAGACTACAGGCGTTTGTAAGTAGGTAAACTTAAATCGAGTGAGGTACAATTTACTTGAAAGCTAGAGATTGGAGAAGATTGCCGAGCTCCTTCTTACACTACTCTAAAGGCCTTGATACAACAGTCACTTTCGTTAGGAAAAGCATGACTGCTTTTTGACCTAATCTGATTTCGAGTAACCAACTTTCAAATAGACTTAAAACATCTTGTTTTCTGAAACTCACAAGGAAAATTCACTTAAAGGTGCAATGTTTCCTTATCGTTCGATCCCTTTGTGGGGAAGATAACTGGCTTAAGAGAAAACGATAATCGCGGAGATGCCACGATATCTCGTTCGGTTCAAACGAGATATCGCCAGGCAGTAGCGATATCTCCTTGGATTCGATTGGATGTTAGCGATATATCGCGCGGCGGAAACGATAATGCGCAGCTGTTAAAACAATAGCCTTGCGATATTCCGCCAGAAATACCGTTCCTACTACGATATTGTGTAAAAATCGACGATAACTCACGGCTTGCAATTTCCACGATAACGTCCTCTATTATTGTTTTCCGACTTAGGCAAAGTACTGTGTTGCCATGTGCAGGACATAACTCCCCTTTCAGTTTTGGCATTTGCTTTAGACTTCATTGATCTTCACCTATTTACTTTTTTTTTTCACCTTAAAACGTAATTGTCCTTTAAAGTCTCGTATCTGTGACCTTAGTTGAAATAAAAAGCGTAAAAACAACATCCTGTCCCAACTTTCTCATTTTGAAGCGGCATTATGAGTCAAGCTCCTCTGGATTTAGCTTCTTGTAAAAGACTTAATTGAACGCCAAAATTTGAGTATACATTTTCATCTTTTTGGCCATTTTCGACACACGTTTTTAGAATAATTCCTTATGTGTAGAAGAAAACTTGCGGAAAACTCGCTACAGTGGTATAAAAGTCGGTTAAACGTCGGTAAGTTATGTTACCTCAATCCAAAGTCGTGCGTAACATTCAGCCAGTTAATTCGCACAGCATTAACGAGTGCGTGATTTGCCGGAAAGCCATTTGTTGCTATTTCGATAGCTGGTTGAAAAAGTTTTCTCCAAGGCAGTCGGCCGTACTTCTTCCAAGCCATTTCAAATCCACGAAGCTCGCCAGGCACGCCGATAAATTCTCCTTCGCCTGCTATATTTTTTTTCCTTTCTGACAAAGTGGAAATCAAGTGGTTTCAGTGAGCTTCTTGAGGTTATTGAAGCCCTCTCTCGCCGTGAACAAGTTTTGTAAGTGTTATATGTAAGGGGACGGGAGGTGAGTAGCAGAGAACAGTGAAGGTGGAAGGTGTCCTAACTTAAACTGGTGCCCAGACTCTACTTGCATCATCACCGCTGGGATTCTGGGATTTAGCGTGAATGCCTTAAGGTAAGCCATAATGGACAAAAGTGAAATTCTGACAACTAATCGAGAATTTTTTTTGTCGAGTCGAGAATTTTTTGTCGGGTCGTAAATTTTTTATTGAGTCGAGAATACCCAACATGCCATGCAGTCATTTGCCGCCAAAGTGATTAAACAATATGGCGGTCTGCAGATCTGTAGCTTACGTAGCTTTTGTATACATCGTTGTCGTTCTTTAGCGTTTTCTTGGGTTTTCGCCTATTTCCAAGGCTCTCAGAGACCTCCATTTTTCACTTGAAGAGATTTATCAGGTCTATGGATGATCACCTTCTCAGTGGGTTTCCACAGTTTGTGACTGGTAGCAATATCATCTCTTTGGATAGGATACAGGTATCTTTTCATGCTAATGACAGTGCTCTGCGATACCCAGTGGCACATACTTGTGGTCCTCTTCTCGTCATACCATCAACCTATCAGTCTTACAATGAGTTTTCATTAGAGTATAGTAATATATACCGTCAAGCTTGATCTTTCAGCATTGTTTAGGAGATATAGAAACATATTGTGCCCTTGTCAACGTTACTAAGCTACAGACTGCCATAAAGAAAATTTGTGGTTTGTATTTATCATACAAGTTCCTTCTTTGCTTTTTGCAAAGAAGATTTTTTTATGTATGATGAATATTTTTTGCCAAAAAGTGAGTTTTTGAAAGTTACTGTTGACATGTTTGGGGATTTTTTGGTGACATGCCTGAAGTTTAATGTTTATTACAGGCAACATGGTCTTTGTTCTTGTGGATTATTCATAAAAAGTGTGCTGACAAAGCATATTGCATACCAAATATGAATTGTGCTGTCTTGCTTTCCTACCATTTCAAATTTATATATGAGTATTTTTGATGGACATGGCGTTATCCTACACTTGCAAGAACCACTGTCCCTTCAATTTTGTGAATAGTGTTTGTAACGATAAATAATTTCATTTATTGCTTTGAAATTAGCTTTCTGTCGGGCAGCTCAGGGTCAAGTTGTTCAAATCAAGGTTAATGGTTGAATTTTAAGGCGGCCGAGAGGTTTGACGTAGGATTAGCGTTAACCTTGTTTTGAACAACTCAGCCAAGAACTTGTTTCCAGTAGTCTGTTGTGTGGGTAGTTTTTAATGTACAACCTGTGGAGGATTTTTTCTCTCTTCCATAACCCCTTCCCACCCCTTGTCCAAAGACTGTATGTCTTTTGTTCAAGTCATGCTTGCAACTGTCCCAACAATAAAAAGTAATCTGATAAATACAACAATTTTTTAATAACCATTCAAGCTTCTTCGATTACCATACCTCGGCCTCAAGTCAGTCCCTTTCTGGTTCTAGGAAGCTTTTTTCCAATTCTCTACAAGAGAATGGTTTATCACTATTATGCGAAAGGAAGGAAGTGGTTATTGAGGTACAACCAGTCTATAAGACCATGCTAGTTTTATCTTTTATTAATTTTAATGTACCAAATAAACAAACCTCCAGTGGATTAACTTGTGATCTGAGTCAATGTGCCATAGGTGATTTGGTTTTTTAACATTGTACAGACGTCGTTGAATTGCACATCTGCGCCTTATGGCGCGGTTTACAGGATCGATTCTTTGTAATGCTTCCCAGATTTTCCACCTCTGAACATAAATGCTGCGTGCTCTTAAAGCTCCTCGTACATACGTTTCAGCAGAGAAAGGTGTTATTCGTAAGATATCTCTTACATTCCAATCAAGTTCCTCTTCATTTACCTCACTGTAATCAAGAATACCAAATTGTATTCTTCTTCTGGACAGAGTACTGGCACTAACACTTAAACACTTTGCAATAGCTGCCCACTGCATGCCAGTGCTGCGAATTACATCACTTTGTTCTGCTGTAATGTTGTATTTTGGTCTTTCTCATGAACATTTTTCGCGGGAAGGTACATTACGTAACTCAGCACTGACTTGAAAAGAGGCGGCAAGTTTATCCCTGTTGTGGTTTTGTAGCTCACGCAAGGAGTGTGAAAGGTCGTCAATCAACACTTTTATCTCTAAAAATAATTGAAATTTGGCGAAAACCAAAGAAAACGCTGCGATTATTTCAACAAAGCCTTTCAACAAAGCCCAAATCGTGGATATATTCTATATTTCTGTCGTTTCCGGGAGCTGTGCATTGTTCCATATGGGAAATACAATCCTGTATGGACAACAGAAACCGCTCCAATTCCTCCACATTACCGTCAGCAACTTGAAGAACGACAACGATGAATAAAAATGCTATGTAAGCTACAGATCTGCAGACCGCCATATTGTTTGATCATTTTGGCGGCAACTGACGGCATGGCATGGTTGGTATTCTCGACTCAATGAAAACAATTTCGACTCGACAAAAAAATCTCGACTCGAGGAAAAAAATTTCGACTGGTTGTCAGAATTCGACTCGAAGAAATAATTCTCGACTCGACAAAAATAGTCTCGACACGAGGTAAAAATTATCGTCTCGATCACAAGATTCTCAACTCCATGAAAAATTCTCGACTCGAAAAAAAGATTCTCGACTCGAGAAAAAAATTCTCGTCTTGAAAAAAAATCTCGACTCGACCACTTTTGTCCATTATGGCTTGCCATAAAGGACAACGACCCACCTGATGATTTCTTACGACAATCGCGGTGCTTAGCAGAAATTGCTACATGTCGCGAATGCAATTTCTGTGACTTTGTTTGTATTTGTAGTAACAGATATGAATGGATTTGCTGTAGTGCCTGTTAATGCGACTTTTCGCATCACAAGCAAGTCAGCGAGTCAGTTGCAGATATTTAATAGCATTAATTTTCAGAATTTAGCCCCTAGAAAGCAAAGGTGAAGAGCCGTATTGGCGGGTGGGTCGCCGGCCTTAGATGCATATTTACCAGTGAGCTCTAATTTAAAGATTGAAGTGGATTAAAGTTATCTTTACCTCTTTCTTTCCATTTTTTTTTAAGGTTTAGAAAGTCCTTCATCGTTTCAGCATTTTCGTGATGAGAAACCACCTCCCTAAAGTTGATTGCCGTAGTTTTCGCTGCAAAAAAATAGGAACCTCGAGACAAAACTCATCGTGCTACATTAATTCTCCTCAGTTGGCAGAAAATGTTTGGTACTACAGATACTATTTCTAATGCGAGAGGATCACATAAACTCCGATTCCCTTCTTATGGCTCTTTTAGTGTCTCTTCTAAATTATCAAAAGCTTATCGGTGTGCACTTACTAAGCTTACGAAGTTTTAGCTATTGCATGATATTCATGCGCGGCATCCTTATAAAACAGGTCTAACTTTTACAACTATTCTTTTTCTAGTTAGAGTAGGTCAGTTTGTTTTATCCCTTAAACAATTGAAGTCTTTCACTGAATGGAAATGTCATGTAAACATTAAGTTTTACTACTACTACTACTACTACTACTACTACTACTACTACTACTACTACTACTACTACTACTACTACTACTACTACTACTACTACTACTACTACTACTACTACTACTACTAATACTACTGCCACTACTGCTGCTACTACTATTACTACTACCACTACACTACTACACTACTACTTCTGCTACTAATACAACTACTACTCTTATTGGCAGATGCAATCGCAGCACTTTGATCATTGTTTACAGTAACTCACCCCTTTTCTTGTCATGAATGATCATGAAACCTCCACCTCCAATACCTGCTGAATGGGCATTCACTACACCCACACACAGAGCAGTTGCAATGGCTGCGTCCACGGCATTTCCATGATGATCTCGTAAAATTTCAGCTCCACGTTCTGAACAGTTTTTATAATCTGCTGCAACTGCTGCAGTTTTGAACTTGACAGGCTCGGTGTACTTTGGTAAAAGCGACCTAGACGGAAGCGAAAGTTTTAGTCAACGTCTTTTTAGATAGAAGATATTTCAAGCACCCTGCATTCGAATAGCTAATAAAAATATCAGAAACTTATAATATTTTGCTCAGTCCATAAGATCCTTCCCTCGTCTATGGCTGGATTGAATGCACCAAGTCTGAATACGCCTCTGGTAAAACTGAGGACTGTCCAATGATTTCCTCCATTATAACCCACCCACTAACTTCCATGCGATTCTATTAGCTTCTTTATGACACATGATGCAAAATCGCGGGACAAGTATCATGTAATAACTCCCGTCTGCCTCGATGCTTTTCATCCGGGTATTTCCGTCGATAAGAATCAAAGCCTGCGGAAAATAGTCTGCTCAAGAGTTTCACCTTTTCATTTTTATTATTTTGCATAGAAGAATAAAAAACTCGTTTCACAAAGTCCATTGATAATGTAATAAGAAAGTCGGTCGCTCGTGCTGTTCCAAAGAGTACAGATAAGTTACATTTGCCCTCAAAGCTTCCCCTCTGTGCCAAATATTCAATTTTCGGACAATATCTCAGCCCCGGACATTGTCAACCGACACACCAGCCGCCTGAAGGGGTTTATTTACGAAAAGTTTAAGCTACACGTCCACTATGCGTAAACATTCCCATCTCGTATTTATTTCAAGGAAGGAGAGACTTTTGTTATCATTTTAATACGTTAAGAAAGACGTTCGAAAGATAATGACCAAAGTGACTTCTATTCAACAAGAGCTTTGCGCTTCTAAGACCGAAAAAATAATTGATCCTCCAAGTATAAGGCTCTGTAAATTTTACTTTCCCTCCCCTCTCCCCCCTTCATCAGCAGTGAATTGGCATACAACTATCTATAGCAACACCTTTATACTCTGTTGGTGACAACTGATCCCCTCCCCTTCCCCCCTCGTTTCACAATTTACACCTTATACGTTTTCCGTAGCAGTGTCAAGGCACTTCTCAAATCTACTTGTCCAAATGCCGATGTGCCGGACTATTTTTGAACAAGGAGTTTCAAAAAGAAGAAAGTTTTCAAGAACGACATTTTCTTTTCAAATGGCTTGACAAATAATTTTACGCAAATATGTTTGATGGGAAAAATATTTCTGACTAGCGGTGGTCTTAGCTAGATTTAAAGTATGCAACGTGTTCTTTGATAAGTGCAATAGCCGAGGGGAAATTGGTAGTGTAATTACGGTTAATTTAACTGTTCAAAGGAAAGGATACAACGAAAAGCCTTTTCTGAAATAAGTGATTATATATTTCAATGTTTGTTTATTACCTGCTCTGTTGCATGCCAGCTTTATTTCTGTGCTCCAGAGGCTCTATAATTTGTTTTCCAGTGCCAGTTGCGTCAGTAGTTCCCCCGAGGCAACACAATAAGTTGAGAACAACCAGGCTTGGTTTCACAAAACACATCCTTCGAAAAATAACATTATTTTTAGCCCTGCACTCTGCCATTTGAATTGAAATTTGTTCAACTGAAAATCTGTGGGTTAAAACGCTTTTAAGATAATTTTAAACCCATATAATTTTTAGTTGGGAAGCTGACTTAAATATCCTATTTGTTAGTAATGCGTCGTTATGATTTCTTTCTTAGCCCTGATTGAGGTTTGTGAGTTATTTGCTTTTAAAACCACAGTAATTCAATTAATTATTCAGCAAGATAATGGCCTTTTAACAAGAACAGGTTGACAATATTCATTTCAGTTCATTAATTGAATCACATCCGCAATCGTGGAAAAACGCTTCGTTAAAACGGTCTAAGGCAACTGCTATGTTAGACGTGGGAAATCGGGGCTTTCTCTCTCTCTTCATTTCCTCTTCATTTTCTCTCTTTAGTCTTTTGATATGTGTTTTTGGAATTTTTTTTTTCAGAAATTATTTCGTTTTTTGAAAAATTTGCTTCTGTTTTTGTAAATTGAATTGTGTTTTAGGAAAATTGTTTTCGTTTTGAGAAACTAACCTGTGTTTTGAGAAATTGATTTATGTTCTAGGAAAATGATTTGTGTTTTGGGTAAAAGTTTAAAAACCACAGTTTTCAAATGAATAATTCAGCAAGTTAATGGGCTTTTAACAGGTCGACAATATTCATTTTAGTGCATTTCCGGACGGAACAACGGCTTCTGACGGAAGGAAGACCTTAAGTCATAGAAGGAGTTGTCTTTCAACCCAATGTGGTGAAAATCGTACAAAGTTTAATAATCCTGTCTGAACGATGTAGTCACTTCCAGAGTGTTGTAAAGATGTTATTATATACTGCTTCACTTTCACTTCACTTTGCTACTTTGTTAATAGGGTCGACTGGTTACACAACCGCCGTGATTGGTTGGTTTTCTACATGTCTACCTATCTAACAACAGAAGGTGCATCTGAAACAAATGCGCGGTCTCAGCCAAGCCTGCTGAGTAAAGAGGATTTGTAATTAGCGCAAAATTGACAACATTGTTATCTTGCCTTACGACTGATTGAGAATCGCTGATAAATAAACCAAATTAAGCACAACGGTCAACAGGAGCGTTGGAAAATAACACCAGGAGTCAATGAGAACCCAAGGCGCGGGAAAACACGGGTGCCCCATTGTATTAGTTTCTGTTTTGCATCTCATTGGTTGAACAATTCGCTGGAGCTTCCTGGATCAATCAGAGAGCAAGTTCGAAAAAAATCCAATGAAAACTGGGATTACTTTCGCCAATCAATTGAGCTTTTTTTAATTGCGAAACATATTCTAGAAGATGAAGTTGTCATTTTCAAAAAACAAAAAACTGAATTATTCACGGAAGTTTAACATATATAGTGTTTGACGAGGCATTTTTTTCACATCATTTTAAAAATACTAAACCTATATCAAATACAGCTCTCTTCGTGTTTATATGTAATACATACCGACACTTTTTTTTACAATGGCTGTAGATATTCTCGTGCGAGAGCCATTGTCAATAAGGTTAAAGCTGACAAAAATAACCAACACGTCACATATATCGCAACACTCAGCAATCCTCACCATTTCGCAGAAAAAATTCTCTCGTGAAAAACAATTGCAAATTTTTGAACTATGGACCGTGACGACTTCCCGAATTTTAGATCAGTAAACTTGGCTACATTTTTAAAGAAGAGCTTTATTACATACAGATTTTATACTATACATATATGCACATGGGTTAATACCAGTTAGTCTTTTTAGTCTATCTGATCCATTAATTTGCAATTCAAATAAGCTGTTGTATTGTATTGTATTGTAAAAAGTGGAGGAAAACATCCTCAGAAAAAGAAAGCCAGTTCTCGGTTCGCAACGTTGAAAGAAGATACTTGCTGATGCGATCAAAACAATCCAGGGTAACTGAAATCTATTAAAAATCATTTCTTACTGGTATTTTTATGAAGAAGTCATTACATAACTTATATCAAAACGACAACGGTAGCTCAAACAACAAGGCAATTATCGATCACATCGGGCGCATGTGATTTTCCGAAAACTTTGGCGCATTAAGCTGGCAAATCAACAATAATTCTCCATTGTCTATAACCTGCTGCGCCTACTGATTTCATTTTAGTTTTGAACCTTGTGACGTCATTCATATCAACAATAAGGTTCTAGAGAAAGGAAAACTGTGGTAGATTTGTCAAATGTACAAATATACAATAAACCACACATTTTCTCTGTTTATAGGGTAATTAAGCACGCGAAAACGCTTCTTCCCGAGTGGTTTTTATTAGCTGGTAAACCGATAGGAAGTTTAGCTCATTGCTTTTCTGACATAAATATGAGTGAAGTTTGTCAAAAAACAATGATTAAGTTATTGTTATTTTGTGATGAAGTCGCTGATTTACGATTTAAGAATAACATGAAGATTTTGTTCAAAGCCTTAAGTAAAGTTTTGCACGTTCATTATGTAGCTCTTTGATACCGAAACTTTTAGGTGGTTGAAAAGCACACGTGGTTCACTTCTCAGGAGTTTAAGCGAGGCCAGCGTGACCACTGTGGCTGGTTCTTTGGGGCTGATAACTTAACAGTGTATGAGGTTTTTCTTCACTTCTCAATACGGTCATGGTGGATTCACTGTTGACATTCAAATAGAACTACTATAAAAAAGATTACGAGTATAGGCTGTCACAAGGTTAGATTTAGAAAACTAAACTGCCCTCACGTGCTACTTACACAAGGTACCAGATCACCCTATGGTCACGAGCACTCTGAGGAATTCTCACCAGTTCAAAACTTAAAAGTTTCTACAAATTATATCCCAGAAAAGCTACGTGACGTATTTAGTGTGGCAGCTGGCAGCAGCAGTGTTGAAGAGTGAGTCACTTTACGACGATTTTCCTCTACGAAGCACGTAAACAAGTAAGTGAGCTATTTTCTTATTATTATCAGTTTTCACAACATAATTTATGTTACGTTGACCGGTTATTCATTAATTATTTTCACTTCATGTTATCTACGATTAGTAAATGTAACGATTAAAAGTTAGTTAACGCTTTTGAAACTTCGATCCAAAAAAATAAAACCACAGCAATTGAGATCGTGGTCATGCAAGCATTCAGTAAAAAGCTTTGGAAACTAAACAAAGTCCGATTTATCTTCATGGCGTCTGGTTTGTAAGCCTCGCCATAGCCAACTGATGGGGACGCTCCCCTTTAGCAAATATCCTGCCTGTAAGCCCTTTGACATATGAAAGAGCATTTTTCCTTGTTTGAATGAGATTAAATTGGATTCTGTTCAAGCTAAAATTTTTTATTGATTCTGCAGATGAAGTGGTCCGTCGTCTCATCGCCAGCGCTACTGCTCCTGTATTTGGTGACTCTCTCTTCTGCTGAGGAAAGTAACGGGAAGACATCAGTCGACTTGAAGGTTCCATTAACCTCGACTTTGGTATGTTTAATTTACGAATTCCCCTTTTTTTGTACGACATTTGTCTCCTTTATTGAAGATATTGTCGCATTTTGTACAGACACGATGTAGCATATCTGTATAATGTAAATGTTCTTTACAGAGCAGGTTTTGAAGAAAACCTCTGACGGTTGCTATTGTTTTTGTTTATTTGTCTGTTTGTTTAATTGCTATTCATATGTTTATTTTTTCTAGAAAAGGATCAGGAGATTGAATGAGCGTGTTTTTGTAATTTATGGGAACTAGTGATGTTTTGCACAAGCCATAGGCGAATGAAACGTGAAACCAAAAACATCACGAGTGACCACAGATCATAAGACACAAGAGCAATTCGAGCGATTTTTTAAAATATTATCTTATAAAATTAGGTATCGACAATATTTTGTACGTCTTCGGTGAAAATTACGTGAAGAATTTTCCAACTGGCCGAAAACTGCTTGTGGTTTCTTTTGATTGGAAGAAGAATAAGACGCGACTTTGCTAATGCTGAGCTCAAAATGAACGCTGGGATTAATCAACCTGTATGTTTCGCGTGGCCTGGATCTATGTTCACGTTGTGTGAGACGCAGAGACAAAAAAGCTTCGCATATTCTTTAAAGTTGTGTGTTTGCAAACCTTTTTCTTTCCATGATGGGACTATGAAAATGGACGTAGACATCGGTAAAGGTACAAAATTTTAACTGTGCTGCACGAACCCACGAATTGGCAATAGAAGGTTTTCGTTAAAATTTTGTACCGTACGGGATGTCTACGGTGTGCGAGGCTTTTTTGGCTCGGCATCTCACGCAACAACAGCAAAGATCAACGCGAAACAACATGCCCCTTAAGGGACCTGGTACACGGTTGGCCAATCTCAGCATTCATTCTAACCTCAGTATTGGTAAAGTCGCGTAATGTGTAATGTTTTTAAAAACATGTCAAAGTAAAGCATTATTTTTTTTCCTCCATAAAGGCCCCGATTGGGAGTCGGAGGAACACCGTATGGCAATCTTTGTTTAATTCACATGTAGGCATTTTTTTATTAACTATTCATAAAGTGGATGTTTTGTCTAAGATATATTGAGTAAACCAATCGATCGATGAAATGATCAACACGTGCATCTATATTGCAGGACACTGCATCATTAAATGGTACAAAATGGAAAAAATGCCCGGATGGAATGATATGCTGGAGTACTTTCACGTGTTGTCCATGGAGGAGTCCTCGGATGTATTCATGTTGTCCTCTAACAAATGCTGTTTGTTGCCCTGACCTTAAACATTGTTGTCCGGAAGGGCAATCTTGTTCAGCTGATTTAAAGTGTATACCTGAGCACAGATTTCATTAATATCGCTGAAGGAATACGATGTTTCGGCATTTATTGTCGTTGGCTGAATACAAAGCCAATTCCTCTTTACCATGACAATCAGTCGGATAAAATTATATGGCGTTGATAATATTTAATACCAGGAAATAAAAAAGTATACTTAAAAAAGAAAGACCGAAAAAAATTGAAGTATTTTGATGCAAATGACGTTTCGGTCATGAAATTCTTAAAGATAGAACGCAGAGTCACAAAAGAAATAGAATCGCAAACGATAGCACAAAATATCTCATTTATTTCGTTAACAATTTAGGTTCTCTGAAAAGCACTCAGTTGCACAAATGTTTATTTGAAAACCCCAAAGCAAGCTGTCTGTAATGTATATAGCCACATAATTTCAAAGTATCAGAAAAAATTCAATTACAGAACTAAATATTTGGCCACAGTTTGAAATGGGCTCAGATCTTGGCGAGCCTTAGACTTTGCGATGCGGGATCTGCAGAAATGAAGCACATGAGAAAATAGAAGATTTATAGTCGCTGATTTAAATAATCCGCACACGTCTTTCAGATTGACGCAGGTGGCATTGTCATTACAAAAAAAAACCAAAAAAACCGCTGCCAACTTCATACCGTGAAGCTACAAAACACTGAGAATAAGATAGGGGTAATATTTCCTAGCCTTTCTAGTTACATCGTCTCGTATCTCACTAAGAAAAAGTTCAGAAAAATTGTATGGAACCAGTTCTGAGCTAAACGGACCTATCGCATTAGCGTCATGTATACTACTGCTGAAAAAAAGGTAGTTGTAATTTCCTAAGTTTTAGTGTATCATTGATACTGGTAACTGTTTTTAACATTGGCAAAAAATAGCTTGGAAAGTGTTGAAATTTGCAGCATTTTGCGGCTGATAAATCGGAAAAAAAATTGTGGCAAAGCAATTTTATAAAAGCTAGATCTAATTTGTTGAAAATTACTCAACAGTGGGCCTTACTCCAAAATAAAGAAAATCCTAAAAGAGCGATGAAAAAGTACCTAGGACTTTTCGAGACCGTCCTCAAAGACTGTACCGAGAGATTTCCCAAAAACATTGGCATTATGACAACGAGTGCCACACCACACCCACTATTTCAAACTTCTATCCGTTCCTAATAACATGTGTACAAAATCGGAGAGTTGATGTTTGAGCGCTCTGATATTGCCGGTTAGAACTTAGGAAAAACTGTTTCCATCAACCTCAAATGCGGTGGAGGTAGACATATTTAGAGACTGCACAAGCTAAGTGGTAACATCCTCTTTAAAAGCAAAATGTCGAGACTAGCACCGTGATATGTATTGCCAAGTTGGGAATTACATGTAAGCAGGAGATTGGGGGTTATATCAGCTGTTACTGTCAATTTGATCAGAAGATCACTCCAGCTTATGTTGTCTTGTGCCCAATTACGAGGTTAGATTACGGTTGAGTTCGAAGAACTGACTAAGTGCGGAACTGGGCTCGGCATTTAATTTCTTCCGTCACCCATGCCTTGTAAGGATCGTATTGAAGGCCTTAATGTAACAACTGTCCTAAATGTAATTAAGTCCTAAATGTAATAACATTTGGTCGTAAATGTAATAAGCCTTAAGTGGAATCGTTTAACTGCGCTGGTGCATTGTTGTTAAAGCGGGCATTCACATTGAGATGTTAAAGTGACAGCTGTTGCACCAAAGAATCCTCTGACCAATATTCATGGTATATTGCGGGCACGCTGATATCACTCAGCGTGTATTTATAAACCGCATTTTTTAAAACGCTAAGACAGTTCATGCGATTATAGTGCTTGTCATTGAGTTCAGTCGTTGATGACATGCGCAAGATTTTAGTTAAACGTCAGGAGAAGTAATGGGCTCCTGTAAACGTCTATTTTGTGATTGGCAATCTGAGGTGGCATTTTCAGATTATGTACTGGTCAGCAGCTTCTTTGCATTTACGCTGGTAAATTTAAGTCACTGAGTATGTAATTTAATGCAGACTCATGCGATACCTTATTCGTTGATCGGATTTGTCGCATGCATTACAAGATCGAGAGAATGTAATTGTCCCAGTTATGTTTTCTTGGGAAGAAACATTATTTTGTCCATTCACGAATATATTCGAGAGTTTGAAAGTAATAACCCTCTAGAGTGCTGTCATGAGGTCCGAATTGGGAAATAAAATCTGCATGCTCACGAGGTTTATTCAGGCAAGGAAAGACATAAAATGCATATCTGAGCCTACAAATTGTCCGACCTAGAAGTCAGCGACCTCCCTGGTCCGAGTTTGTAATTTCGTTTATGACTTGTTAACTCCGTCACTGATCACAAAAGTATTACGTTATCACATTTTTCCAAAATCTATTGCACTTAAGGGTCTGAGCCAGTCATTTATGGAGAGGTATTGATTAGCGTACTCATTGTTTTGTCAGCTGTCATTTGATGCCAATTATTAATCAGTTTAATGGTTTGCAGCCAATGCTTCTCGACTTAAGTCTAGCAATCAAAAAAAACGCTGATTGATATCAGCGTGCCCGCAATGCGACATGAATACTGGTCAGAGGATTTTTTGGTGCATCAGCTGTCACTTTAACATCTCAGTTTGAATGTCCGCTACAGAAACAATACACTGGCGGCGTTAAACGATTACATTGGAGGCTTATTACATTAAGAACTAAATGTTATTACATTTATAACCAAATATTCCACATTTAGGACTTTATTACATTTAGGAAAGTTATTACATTTAGGACTTCAACATCGTCCGCTCGATCGACAGAGGGTCTCAATGGGGTGATAGCTATTAACGATAGCTTTCAAAATTCTGGCCAAATTGCGACTAACGGTTAATATCTTTCCATTGCGCTAATCACAATTCTTTTTAAGATCGACTTTTTTTCTAAGATTAACGCTTAAAATTTGTCAATTTTCACGTTTATCGTATAAATTTTTGGCCACTTTACGGCTTACTGTTAACCCCATTGAGACCTTCTCAACTGTGCTATTACTCCAGGCTGAGTGCAGAATCTCTCACAATCCGTAGTTGGATCAAGATTTTTCCTTAAATGCCTATAATCAACCAGTCATATGGACAAACTCACGTCTAAATCCAAAACCTTACACGAGTTGGACGCCATAGCCGCAGAACGAGCCAAAAGAACGGTCTTGGTTTCTTGATTTCGTTCCCCATTACACTGAAATTGTGAAACACCGAAAACTTTTATGTATCATATATTTTAATTATTTATCAGTAAATAAAGCTGTAAGGAGTCCCCTTTTAGCTTGCAAACCAATGATCACAAGCGATCCAAAGGGCCACTTTCAATACATCAAAATTCTAAAATGGCTCTGAGGCTAGGGGGGAATAAAGTAAAAGAGAGTTCGCCTACTTATCCTTACAATTATTATTTCTACAAACTCAGTTTGTAACACAATCACCTGATGAGCCCTATCTACAAAATGGACCTGGGGCGTGACAATGTGTTCTTACAATTAAAAGTTCAATATGATTATCAATAACAGTGCAAGGTATTTACTTTAACTAAAGCTAATAAAATACAAATAAAAGCAATATATGAAGCATTTTATAATCATCAACATTACGTTACTGCATTCCAGTGCACACTAGAACTTGAAATATTTGTTTTTCTGATAGCGTTCTTCAGAGTCAAAACATTGGGTAATTGCTTGGGGTTTCGTTATAGAAATCAAAGGGAACAAGAACTGAATTAGCGACTGGGTTTATTCTTCTCTATACCTAGAAAAAATGAAGGTTGTGTGATCGCTTCGTGTTCCGTCAAGTGAAAATACTAGTCAAAAATTTAAAGAATCAAAACTTGTATAGCCGAGATGGGAGGTAAGGAGGCGCGATGGCCATGTTGATACAAGCCATTGAGATTCGAGGATAACTCTTGTGAATACCTCAGACCAACCTAAAATTTTATGGAGACATGGTATTTTCAGCCGCTGCCCTCGGGCTATAGAGTGTTTCATCTATAAACCTTAAATTGAGTCCATTAGTTTCTGTTTTTTGAGAAAAGATTAAAGACGCATTTTTTCAGACCTACTTATGATTAACTGTCAATTTACAACTATGATAAGCAGCTTTTTGCACGTACCGCGATATAGATTGAGTCATTATTACTATTATGATTGTTATCATCATTGGTTAACTAGCCGATTCTATAGAATCAACTATTCCTATTTTAAAAACACGCAAAGAAGATCAAGCAAGAAAAACCTGAACAACATTTCGCTAAGCTCTAACTTTAGAATGACTACTTAATGCTGAATAGACTCAATCGAGACACTGCTGTTTTTTTTAAAGTTGGTACTGTATCATTACTGTGCCATAAACATGACAGTTCAGAAATCCCCTGGTCTTATTTTCATCTCGGTTCTCATTAAAGAGTAATGATATCCTTTCCAGTGAATCCAGTTCACTCCATCAGCCTCTGAGGAGTGACTGCCACGAAGATATAAACCATTGAGTGGTGACAATCCTTGTACCACCAGGCTCCTTTGAACTTAATGGCGCAGTTTTCACCTCCATTATTGTTACTATCTTGATCTTTAGTGGTAAACGGCATACCGCGATGGAAAGCAAGAGAGTCACCAGAATTTCCTGACAAAACCAGCCGCACTATGAGTATTACGTTTGACTAACAATGAGCAGTTCGTAATTCAAGAGAAATCTTGAAATATCGGATAAGTATAATCAAACAATAATGATATGGAGTAAAAGTATTTTTAGTAATATCTATGATTCATGCCGAAGATTCTAGGGATTGAATCATTAAATATGATTATGCCAATAAATATGTTTGCTGAGGCAAGCATCAGAGTTGTAGTGCTTCGTCAGGTTAACTGCGCATTCCACCGGTGAATACATTTGCACCAATCAACGTCCGGTATGCGCTGTCCAAGATTGCATATCGATGAGCTGAGGTTATGCCCTTTTTTCGTTTTCCAAAGCTATTGATGTAAAAAACGTTAAGCATATTTACATTACTCAGCACTCTCCTCCTCTCCCTCCCCCCCCCTCCCCCCTCCTAGAATAGAATAAAAGCGACGAAATGACGGTTCTACCTGAATAAGAACCAAGGATCAGCTTATACTTGTCTTTCTCGCTCATAACACCAAAAATTTTATACTCGGCATAAGCTGTATTCCCTTCAAAGTCTTCCAAATCCACACGCAGCATGCTGTTATTATCTGAGGTCAGCCGGTGAATCTTGTCCAGTCCCAACCAAAATTCACTTTTCAGATCACCAAAGCCATGTTTGTAGTCGTTCCAGTAGCGGTAGAAATCAACCGAGCCGTTCAGTCTTTTCTGGAACACTGTCCAACCACCACCGCCTGTTTTTTGGTCACAGAATACTTCAAAGGCAGGAAAATTATCAGGTTTGATGGTGTACACACCGTCAATTGGTTTACCCGCGGATTTGTAGATTTCTGCGCAGTTCCTTTTGACTAAAAATCAGAAAAAATAAACAAAAAAAACAGACAAAACGCCCACGTTAAATTGTTTGGATTTGAGTGCTTTTTGTTTGCTTTCCTGACTATTGCTCTGGCTGATAAAACTTAATTCTGAACTAACCTAGTACTATTTCTTTTTCGTTAATATCTACCAGTTATATTCATGTAAAGTTACAGGAATAGGCTTTTCTTTTTCAGCTTTACTTCAGTGGTTACTATTTTGCTCTTGAAGTCAAGTTTGAGACTTTAGTGAGTAACTCCTCGAGTACTAAACGAAAGTCTAGCCCACACAATCCAGCCATTTCACCTTCAACTTGGCAGGTTTCTCCAATAAATCTTTCCCGACAGACACAGCGAAAACCTTTATAGGTGAATCCAGCTTGACAGGTGCCACTGTTTAAGCATGGGCTGCTGCTGCATGGATTCTGTTGAAAAAAAAAAGTAAACTATTGTGCAGATCTTCCTTGTGTCAAGAATAACATCACTTAAGCCTAAGGAAATGAAACAATCTCTTCTACCACCTAAAACTCGTAAGAATGTGAAATGCTACCTCGATTGCAAGATAAGTGTAACTTAGATTATTCACGAGAAGAAATGGAGCATGTTTTCCTCCGTGGCGTTATTCAACTCGCATTTTTGGTTTCCTCCTGCAACAGGTCCAACATTGATGGACATACAATTAGGCTCCATCAAACACATTACTTTGCAGCTCCCTTCGTTTGGCACCTCTGCACTTTTGATCGCGTGATTTTTCATGGCCATGTTCGGTATTGGGTCCTTAAATTTGATGTGTCGCCTATCGTCGCCTGCGGTAGGCAAAACAAATATATCATTTAGTTTCCACTCACTCGAGATAATTTATTATTTTCATCGATGAAAAAGGCACATTAAACCTCTTTATTTCAAAACTTTATAGACGAATTTTCCCTAAAGGTAATTCTCATCTCTTGAAAATTCAACGTAACTGGGAGGCTATCATTACCAAAAATTAACCTTTGATTGTGAATTAATGAGCGGAAAGAAAATATTACAAAAAATACCAAGAATATTTTCGTAGCGTCCGTTAGCACACCACGATATCTGTGAATCGTTTGTTTTAATTCATCATTTTGAGCCATTGATGCACACTGATGTGATGAGGTCTATTTGAAATCGGACTTTTTTGTATCTTTTATTCCATAGTTGAAGACATTTTGAATTAGATAAAGCGGATTGTCTGCTAAAAGATTATTCGCTTTGATCAGCAGGTAGCATATGTAGCTCGTGTAATGGTTTTGAGGAAACGATACCACGAAGATGGAACAGAAGAAATTTAAAAAGGGATTTATACTCACCAGTGCAACAGAAACACAATGGGAGAATAATTCCAAGGAAGATATAGAGAATATTAATGATCGGTTGAAGAGAAAACTTGAACTGCATCGCTATAAAATAAAAAAATTGTAAATTCAAGATAAAAAATGTGATATTGAGCGTCCCAAAATATAAACCTTCCTGTTTTCCTGTAAGTTTGAATGTTGACAATTGTTACGCAGGTGATCGACATTATTTGCCAGCTTTGTCTACTTAAAGGGACTCTTAATTAGCACGACATTTCGAAGGCAAATATATACTTCGTTCAATTATGTTATTGCTCTAAAACACGTTGTTATGCTAACAGGCTTGTGTCATCCCTTGCACAAAAAAAGCCTAATATGAATTTATTCATATCAAATATTCATTTTCGAAGGTGAATTAACAACTGCAAAAGGCGCAGAAAGGGGAAAATAATAGATCGTTGTTGTTGGTTTGCATTGGAGTATTTTTAAATTCTTAGTCTACCTTGTAAATTTCATCTCATTCTGATAAGCCATAATATTTTATAAAGCTTCGGAGAAGAACGAAATAGAGCGCATCGACCTCATCGGAGGTGACAGGAGTTTATCAATATGTTTATTTTCAGCCTGTTTAACTTTGAAATTGCGGCAATAAAGTTAAGAGCAAGAAACAAATTTTTGCAGACTTGCTACTGACAAAGGTGTTAGATCACTTCTGAAATACAAACTTTTGACAATTTATCCTTATAACTTGCGGCAATTAAGTTAAGAGCAAGAAACAAATTTTTGCAGACTTGCTACCGACAAAGGTGTTAGATCACTTCTGAAATACAAACTTTTGACAATTTATCCTTATAACTTGCGGCAATTAAGTTAAGAGCTTGCGGCAATTAAGTTAAGAGCAAGAAACAAATTTTTGCAGACTTGCTACCGACAAAGGTGTTAGATCACTTCTGAAATACAAACTTTTGACAATTTATCCTTATAACTTGCGGCAATTAAGTTAAGAGCAAGAGCAAATTTTTTCTGACTTGCCACCGACAAAAATGTCAGATCACTTCTGAAATACAAAATTTTAACAACTTATCCTTTTTATCACAAAATACTCTTCCGTACGATAGAACAGTATTGCACTCTATTAACGTGAATATTAACTTTGTAGCAACTTTATATTGAACAATGCAATACAATGTATTTAAAATACAGAGGCCTAAGTTTTTATGGCTCGTTTTGCTCATGGTAGTTGAAAATGTTAGTTAGCATTAAACATCACCGATTTTATCTTAGTAAGACAGGTCGCAAGCATTCTATGACTTTGAGAACTTCAACCTAAAAAGATTCAAATTTGTAACAACTTTGAGTAGAAGAATGTGACAGAATGTGAAATATCGTGTGGCTTAATTTACAGATTTTACACAAAATTTTTCTCGATCATTTCTGCAATCAGCGAAATTGGTGTGAGCAAGAAAGGCTTGGTCTAAGAAATATAGACAAGTAGCTCACAGAGATATTCCTTACCTTCTTACCGAAAAAGTGTTTTTCGTACTTGGTTTTGTTCTTGGGGGTATCAATAGTGAAAATTTTTTTTTCGTGGTTTTCTTTAATATATAGAACTGTTTGAACTTCTGTAGTTGTGGTTACAAAACAAAACCACTGATTTATACGCCACAGTCCTTCTTCCTGTTCAGCTGTTCTAACTGTTGTTAGTGATCAGGTCAAAGCTTTAGTGTTTAAATCTAAATGACTGCGGAGTCTCATCTTAGCACCACTGGATATGACAGTCAATCAAATACTTCGATGGAAATCCAGTAGAATGTTTTGAAAAACTTATATGGCAAGTCCAACTCTTAAACAAAGCTGCAAATTATTTGGTCAAAACACTCAGCGAGACATTTAGGAAGTTTTAGAACTGCACAATGTTTTCCTATTTTCCCTGGAGATAATTAAAGCGTTTTATGTCTTTCTTTTGAAAATATTAATTTTTAGAACTACACAATGTGTCATATTTTCCTCCAGAGTTAACCACGGTGTTCTATATTAGGTTATGATTTTCCAATTTACAAGTATCTTGCAAAAAATGCTCTCGTCAAAATCGCACTTATTTTCCTAAGGAACCAGGATGAAGAAATGATATCATGAGAATTGTTGACATTTAATAAAACCGAAACAGCAAATCGAAACATGCAAAACCACCGAAATGACCAAAACAAAAAGATTGAAACGAAACGAACCTAACGACTCAAACGAAAAGACCAAAAACGACCAAAATAGTACACAAAAAAAAAATCAGAAATTAAAATAACGCCCAGGGGTCATTTAAATTATGTTCTACTCCTGATCTACCTCATGGGGAAATTTAGTTATCTCTATATTACCATCAGCTTGACGTGAGACGTCGAGGGAACCTTTTTGAAAAAAATATCAATACAAAGGTCACGTACATAAATGTTGTCAATGAATATCGTTATTTGTTTCTTCCTCTCCTAACGCTTTGGTATTCAATTTGGCTGGCGTTCCGTCCTGAAAACTACATATAAATGTCAAATTTTACTTTCAGCTGCTCGCGTGGTGGAAGAAAATTAAGTTTCGTTAGACAGCCATCATATTTAAAAACAATAAATGCGAGCGAATATCTTAAGTGAAATCTACATTTCCTGCGGTCGTTTCGCTTGTTTCGTTTTGGTCGTTTCGTTTTGCTGTTTCGGGTCTTAGTACATGCCGAAATTATTAACGATATCATCACAAAGTAAATATTTTGACTCGATATCTGTCTGCTGACAAAAGTGATCTTGCCAGGAAGTGCTCAGAAGCTTAGAAAAAAGAAAAGGCCATAAAATGCAAGGGGTACATGTCGACTTTGAGGGTTTTTTTTTGGATGTGTCAGAAATAAAAATCATGTCTTCTTACCCTCTAGAGAAGTGTTTGAAGTGCTGTAACTATGGTTAAAAACAAAAAAGAAAAAGAAACAGAACGGTTTCATGAGTGGTGAATATAGACGCCACAGGCCTTCTTACTGTTCAGCTGTTCTACTTATAATCGGTAGAATACAGTTCAAGCACGTGATAAATTGCCTAATGTTCATGTGGTGCAATGATTGGGTATGTTCGGATTGCATTTTGGACCTTGTTTTCATAGTACGTGATGGGATGTAAATTATTTGGCATGTGCGTTGTGAGAAAAGAAGCGGAAAAACACATTTTAACTTGAAAATTATACAATGAAATGAATGCGAACCTTCATTCGATTTCATAGCCCGATAAATATCGACCTAACTCGACGAGGCTCCTGCAAAGGCCAAAATCATAACACTTATAAAATGAGCCCAAAATTTCTGGTTAACATCATTCTTTGTGCACAGCCCCCAGATTCCATTACATCCGATTTACAAGAAAACAATACCCAAACGCTGTGATTGGTGCATGATATCCAAGTACATTAGTGCAAGTACATTTCGCGAAAGACAATAGAATTCTGAGCGATGGACTTGTTCAGCGGCAAACATGTGAGTGGTTATAGAAAGATTTCTGGTCGGAGCATCACTGCAAGTTTTGGAAGAGTGTTCCTTTACTTAGGCGCAGCGAGAAAACAAAGAAGACCTTTGGACACAAAAAATCACGGAAAATAGCCGAAGTATTTCTTCTCACTCCATATTTTAACCTTCAGTCTTTTGATTGGTCAGCGGTAACCTGCCGCGACTTCACCCCTGCGATAATCTGTTCTCTTCGTTCTCCGTCTTCCTTTCGCACAACAAGTTGAACTACGCCCATGATCTGTAAAGGCGTTCCTGAAAGAGAAACAAACGCTTCAGCTTAATTCTAACCCTAGGCTGAACGTTCCTGCTGACGGAACAGTCCGACCAACTAGTTCTAACAAATTCAAAGTGGCCTTAGAAGTGGCCTTACGTGTTTCAAAAATAGTTTAGTTGTTCTCCAGTTCTCTTTTTCTGCGTCGCAACAAGCCAAAAATCATTTTTAGCTAAGCCACCCGTGTAGACAGCGATCGAAAATGTAAATTTCACAGATTTTTCCCAACGCGCAGAGACTGCAATAATGTAGCTCACAGAATTCTACCTTGCTACAAGTTACAAGATGTATTCAGTTAGTTCACAGACAAAATATGAAAACTTCGCAAGAGGAGAACCTTCTCTTCGACCTTAATTAGCATATCAAAAATTCACCAATTTGTACGAAAGAATTCTTAAAATGCAGGCTTTTGTCGGGCTAAAAAAATTATATCCGTGCATAGTTTATACACTAATGAGGTCACTGATGGGTTTCTCTCTAGCTTTCATCCACTAACATCTTAGAAACAACGCAAGTTTGCTTAATTGCGCTTGTGTCAAAAATTATTTGCATAATTCACAAAATTGACCGAGGCCTCCTTTGACCATTCCAAATTCGTTTGTATATCTTCTATGTTGAGGATTTTGGGTTTTCATAGCAACTGAATGGAGACAAAAAGGCCGAGTTGTCCTAAAACGTTGCGTAAATGTGATCGGTTTTAACGCTTGCGCGCTTGCGTGACTTACAAAGTAAACAAAGGTGATCGCAAGGCGCCTTCTCGATAATTTTCGTTGAAGTATCAAGTTATGAAATACTCACAGTGTGGAGAAGATCAAATTCAGAAGATAACATTTGGTACTCTGGTCATTACAGACATATCACGTCGCTAAAAAGGACACACAAACAAGTTAAAATACGTTACAGTGTTATTTACAAAACAACACGCATACGCTCTGAAAGAATTCTTGCAGTGTCAAGCAGAATTATTCACAAAAGATAAACATTTATAGTGCTTGACGAAGCATTTTTTTTCATATCATTCCAGGAATACTAAACCTTTATCAAATGCAGCTCTCTGGACGTTTATATGTAATACATACATACATTTTTTTCTACAATAGCTGTAGCTGTTCTCGGGCGCTTCTTGGCCATTGTCAATAAGGTAAAAGCTCACAAAAATGACCAACACGTAATCTATATCGCAACACTCAGAAATCCTCACCGTTTCGTAGAAAAAAATTCTCGCAAATTTTTTAAATATGTACCGTGACGACTTTCTGAACTTTAGATCAGTAAACTTGGATTCATTTTTAAAGAAGAGCTTGTCGAGGTAGAAGAAAAATTGGAAGGAAACATCTTCAGAAAAAGAAAGCCATTTCTCAGTTCGCGACGTTTAAAGAAGATAATTGCCAATGCGATAAAAACAATTCAGGGTAACGGAATCTATAAACAACAATTTCTTACTGGTATTTCAATGCAGAAGTTATTACACAACACAAATCAAAACGACAACGGCAGCTCAAACAACGAAGCAATAATCGATCAAATTGGGCGCATGTGATTTTCCGAAAAATTTGGCATATTAAACTGGCGTAAAATAGACAGTGTTATTGATGTAAATAAATCGACTATAATTTTCCATTTAAGACAGGAGTTAAGGCTGTCACAAGGTTGGATATAGATAACTAAACCGCCCTAACGTATCACTTACACGAAGCACCAGGTTACCCTATGCTGCGCCTCGTGATTTCATTTTAGCTTTGAACATTTTGACGTCATTTATATCATCAATAAGGTTCTAGGAAAACGAAAACTGTGGTGGATTTCTTAAATATATAATCATACAATAAACCACACATTTTCTCGGTTTACAGGGTAATTAATCACGCGAAACATTTTTTCCTAAGTGGTTTTTATTAGCCGGTAAACCGATGGAAATGTGGTTCATTGCTTTTATGCCGATAAATATGAGTGAAGTTTGTCAAAAAGAATGATAAAATTATTATTATTTTGTGATGAAGTCACTGATTTACGATTTCAGAATGACATGGAGATTTTACTCAGGGCTGTAAATAAAGTTTTGCGCAGTCAGAATTTTGCTCTTGGATACCGGAACGTTTAGGTGGTCGAAGAGCTCACGTGGTTCACTTCCCAGGCGGGTTTGAGCAGGGCCAGCGTGACAACTAGGGCTGGGTTTTTGGGGCTGGTAACTTAACAAATGTATGAGGTTTTTTCTTCACTTAATATTCAATAAGGTATGGTGGAGTCACTGTTGATATTCAAATAGAACTACTGCCTCATCAAAACAGATTACGAGTCAAGGCTGTCACAATGTTAGATTTAGAAAACTAAACTGACCTAACATGCTATTTACAAAAGGCACCAGGTCACCCTATGGTCACGAGCGGTCTGATGTATTCTCACCAGTTCAAATAATATCCCAGCAAAACGTATTAACTGCGGCAGTTGGCAGCAGCAGTGTTGAAGAGTGAGTCACTTTACGACGATTTTCCTTTACGAAGCGCGTAACCAAGAAAGTGAGCTATTTTCTTATTATTATCAGTTTTCGCCACATAATTTATGTTACGTTGACCAGTTGTTCATTCACTTTTTTGCTACATGTACATGTATTTAAATGTAACGATTATTTTTATTTAACGCTTTTGAAACTTCGATCTTCAAAAAAGACTCACAGCTTTTGAGATCGTGGTCATGTGGGCATTCAGTAAAGTGCTTTGGAAAATGGAAAAAGTTCGATTTATCTTCGTAGCGTCTGGTTTGTAAGCCTCACCATAGCCAACTGATAGGGGCACTTCCCCTTAACAAATGTCTTACCAGTAAGCTCGTTTTGATATAAAAGACCATTTTTTCAAATTGGATTTTGTTCAAGTTAACAATGTTTTATTGATTCTGCAGATGAAGTGGTCCGTCATCTCGTCACCAACGCTTCTGATCCTGTATTTGGTGACATTCCCTTCTGCTGAGGAGTTAAAAAGGAAGACACCAGTCCACCTGAAGATTCAATTTACCTCGATTTTAGTATGTTGCATTTTCGAATTCCCCTTTTTTTGTACGACGCTTGTCTTCTCTACTGGAATATTGTCGCATTTTTTACAGACATGATTTAGCGTATCTGTCTAATGTAAATGTTCTTTACAGACCAGGTTTTGAAGCTGACAGCTGTAATTGTTCTTGTATTCATTCGTTTGTTTTTTCTGGGAAAGGATCAGAAGATCGAACTTGCGTGTTTTTTGTTATTTATGGGAACAAGCGATGTTTTGAGAGTTTTCATAATTGCACAAGCCATAGGCGGGTGAAATGTGAGACCTTTAAAAGCATCACGAGTGACCTCATATCATAGGACACAAGAGCTGCTCGTGGGATTTTTATGATTATTATCTTAAAAACGACTACCTGTACCTTTACACTACATTGTACGTCCTCGGGTGAAAATTACGTGAAGAATTTTCCAACCGGCTGAAAACTTGTTTCTTTGAATTGGTCATATAATAGAATGATACGCGACTTTGCTAATACTGAGCTCAAAATGAACGCTGGAATTGGCCAACCCTGTACCAGGTCTCTCAAGGCGTTTGTTGTTTCGCGCGGCCTCGATCCTTGTTCTTGTTGTCTGAGATGCAAAGTCAAAAAAACTTCGTAAGTTCTTTAAAGTTGTATGTTTGCAAACCTTTTCTTTTCATGATGGGCAGAGGAGATCATCGATCTGTGTAGGAATGCGAAAATGACCTTAGACATCGGTACAAGGCACAAAATTTTTAACGAAAACCTGTTATTTCCAATTCGTGGGTTCGTGGCGCAGAAGTCCGTAATAAGTTGTTACGCCATAATTCCGTTCCATCCCGTTCAAAGTAGACCTTAAAGAGCTCAAATGAGAATTATATATTCCGAAGAATAATCAATTCTGAAAATAATGGAAATTTAAGACGTTAAATTGACGAAATTAGCCCTGCGGTAACAAATAATGCGATTCTCGAAAGCGCCAAGGACTATGGCTGGAATATAAAAACAGCGCCTACCGACTTCAACTGAGGTTTTGCGACATTAGGGCTACTATTTGAACCGGTAAATATTATTTTGATTATTGAAAAGTATATTTAAAGTATTGTTCAGTCATGGATTTTGTCTCTAAACGATTCTAGAATTTTTAACGTAACGCTACGCGATTTGTGATCGTGAAGTTATCTAAACAACGATTCCATCATGGTGAATCTATCGCTTAGATCCTGTAAAAGCAAGAAATTCGTTCGTTTTTTGCCAGTGAACTGTCAATTTTAGCACTCTTTAAAATAAAGGAATATTTCTAGGTCGTTTATCTTTACATATATATAATTAATAGCTTCAGGTACGCGATCATCTCGTAAACCCGACAAATTTGGATATTGAATTGAGAGCTAGTTGTGACTTGAGTGGTAAATAGAGAATATTACATGAGCGCACGTAGATATAGAATTTCTCTTTCAGTGTTCAACTCGATAGCTCACCATGTACTATTTTGTTTATCGCATAAACACCGTGGCTTTACTGACAAGAAAAGTCGACTTTACTAATGAATGAAAATAAAAGAATCGACAATACCCTGATGAAAATCGTAAAGCGCGTTAGCGCACTCAAGATGAAAACATGCGTCGAATCACTGAAAAAACAAAAGTGGTCGTAATATTCAATATAAAAAATTCTCAATTACTGACTTTGTCCATTGCCAGAAATCAAGGACATTTCGAGCCCGCTAACAATTATCAGCTGTATATCGTATTACACTCTGGAACAATAGAATATCAAGAGAATTCAATATGGCGGCGATCACGGCTCGATCTGTAAAGAAGCGTGTTTCATACCATGACTTATACAATTTGAGCTCCGCAGATCTTCTATTTGATGAAAAGAAAAAGAAAAGAAGACCTGCAAGTAAATCTTTGGGATTTTTCGAGGCAAAGCGATGACATGATGTCAGAATTTTGATTTGCTTTAATTTAATTTTCGCGCTAAGACTACTGAATTTGCATTCAATGCCTGACATATTTTTATTCCGAAAAGGACCGAGAACTAATTTATTTCCCTGCAAGAACATAAACAAATATGGCCGACGATTCGAAGATCAGCGTTGCTCGTGTTTAACTATTTCAGTCATAGTTTTCAATATGGCGTCTCGTCACTTACTCAACATGGAAAATAAGGGATATTCTGGCGCGTTGGGAACTTTTTTGATGGGAGGAAATGGCAATTTTACAGGATATTTGGACGCTTCGAACTCTGTAGCAGTCAACTCGATCGAGAGCAGTTGACTTTATTGATGCACTTTCCTGTAATAGGCGAGTGTTTGGGATGGAGAACGACGGATTTTGAAGAAGTGTATGGCGACCTAGGTCAATAATCAATGACAAAAGAACTGGCTCGGGAAGTAAGTGGCTTTTATTTATCGAGTCCCTGTGAGGTTTGATGAATAGCTGAATCAGTACTGAATATGTCTCGATCGAGAGCAGACGGGACCATGAGCTCCTGATTGTTATATTTTAGAAATTTTACAAATTTCCTTACAGTTTCTTATATTATTTAGACGTCATTATGGACGAAATGCGCAAGCGCGGCCGCCATCAGAAATCTGTCAGGTACAGGGCCAAAATGGGCCTGTGACAAAACTTCCGGCTGTCGATTCTCGTTCTTTGCGGCGAGAAATACAATTAACCAAAGCCACTGAATATGTAACTTTCGATTTGTCTTTTCGTATTTTGGTTTTCTTCACCTTCTAGAGATGTTGAAACGTCACTGTCTGTAAGAGATACGGATTTTTCAGTGTTTTAGCAGTCACAATACCAGAAAATTCCGACTAACGACCTTGGATTGAGTGACTTTGCCGTCTAGTCATCCACCTGACCGAATGGCACGAAAGGCAAGTGACGTGTCAGCAGCTGGTTGGCGAAATCACTTACACGAGAAAAAGTACTGGTTTTTTTCACGTATATTATTACGGCTGTTCTCAGGACTGGAAATCCTTGTATAACACCGTAGTTTATATGATAAATGTGTATTTCTGACGGAAACCAAAGAAGTAAAGCAGTCATTAAAAATCATGCAAAGAAGAGAAAAACAGGCCGGATTGTGTATCAAGAAAATGCTGATACAACTGTGATGGAAGCAGAAAATGTCATAAACGTAACGTTTTATTGTGAAATTAAAAAAAAAAAAAAAAAAAAGGTTTTCTTTAAATTTACGTAAGTTACAGGATATCTTGGTTTGTTACATGTGCTCCTCGCCCCATCATGGAGCGAAAGACGGTCTGCCAACGGAAACTTTTTAAATCATTTGAGAATCTTTTCGAGACTATACACAACGAAAAGGATACGAAACGGGATGGAACAGAAAGCGTAACAACCTATTACGGACTTTTGCACGAACCCACGAATTGGAAATAAAAGGTTTTCGTTAAAATTTTTAACATTTCGTAATGACTACGGTCATTTTCACATTCCAACATAAATCAATGATTTCCTCGGCCCAAAAAAATTTGTCAACCTACAATTTTCAAAGAGTTTGCGAGGCTTTTTTGGCTCTGCATTTCACACAACAACAACAAAGATCAAGACCGCGCGAAACAACATGCCCCTTGAGGGACCTGGTACACAGTTGGCCAAACCCAGCATTCATTCTAACCTCAGTATTGGTAATTAGAAAGTCGCGTATTGTGTAATGTTTAAGAGTCAAATATTATTTTGTCTTCCATAAAGGCCTCGATTTGAAGGAACACCGTATGGCACTCGAATTGGGAGGAACACCGCATGGCACTCTTTGTTTAATTTACATGTAGACATTTTTTATTAATTATTGGTAAAGAGGATATATTCAGTAGTCCAATCGATCGACGAAATAATCAACACTTTCATTTATTTTGCAGGACACTCCACCATTTGATTGTTCAGCACATAGATTATGCCCTGATAATTTGGAATGCAGTATATTTGACACGTGTTGTCAAAGGTGGCCTCCTTGGAGGTATTCATGTTGTCCTCTACCAAATGCTGTTTGTTGCTATGACCTAAAACATTGCTGTCCGGAAGGATACATTTGTTCTCCTATTGTAAAAGGGTGTATACCTGAGAACAAATCTCAGTTATAAAATATAAGCTGGAAATAAAAAAGGAATGCTCAAAAAAAAAAAAAACTATTGGAGTACTTTGATGTAAATGACGTTTTGGTCATGAGATTCTTGAAGTAAACACAATAAAATCACAAACGATAGCACAAAATATCTTATTTATTTTGTTCAAAATCTAGGTTCTCTTAAAAGCACTCAGTTCCACAAATGTATATTTGATAACCCCAAAGCAAGCTGTCTGTAATGCATATAGCCACATGATTCCAAAGTTATAGGAAACATTTCAATTGCAGAACTAAATATTCGGCCACAGTTTGAAACGGGCTCAGATCTTGGCAAGCCTTAGGCTGACTCGTGCTAGTTCCCAGCGTTTTAAATTTCCATTGCGATGCAGGATCTGCAGAATTAAAACACATGAGAAAATGCAAGATTTATCGTCGCTGATTGAAATAATTCTGCACGCGTCTTTCAGATTGACGCAAATGGCATTGTTATTACGTAAAAAAACAATCGCTTTCAACAAACTTACAAAAAACTGAGGAAAAGATAGGGGTAATATTTCCAAGCCTTTCTACCTACATCGTGTCGATTTAAATAAATTGTTTTTCTGAATTAAAGTATATATGTTGTGCTTCACGTACAAAAAGTTCAGAAAAATTGTATGGAGCCAGCTCTGGGCTAAACGGACCTAACGAATTAGCGTCATGTATACTACTGTAAAAGAAGAAAAAGAAAAAGTAGTCGTAATTCCCTAATTTTAATTTATCACTGATATAGTTACTGGTTTAGCAAACAATAGCTTGGAACGTATCGAAAATTTGTATCATTTCGCAGCTGATAAATCAGAAATAAACTTTGTGGCAAAGCAATTTTACAAAAGCTAACTGGTTGAAAATTACCCAGCGGTGGGACCTTACTCCAAAATAAAGGAAATCCTGAAAGAGCGAAAAACAACGTATCAAGGATTTTTCGAGACCGTCCTCACTGAAAAACTGTACCGTGGGATTTCCCAATAGCATTGCCAGCGATTGCTAAGCCACGCCACACCCACTATTTCAAACTTCTATCCGTTCCTAATAACATGTGTCAAAATCGAACGACTGCAAAGGAGGGGAGTTGGTTTTTGAGCGCTCTAGTGTTGCCGTTAGTGCTTAGGAAAACTGTTTTCATCAACCTCAAATTTGGTTGAGGTAGATATATTTAGAGACTGCACAAGCTAAGTGGTAATTTCCTCTTAAAAACAAAATATCGAGATTAGCGCCATAATATGTATCGCCAAGTAGGAAAGTACATGTTAGCAGGAGATTGGGTTTATATCAGCTGTAATGATCAATTTGATCAGAATATCACTCCAGCTTATTTTGCCCAATTACGAGGTCAGATTACGGTCTCAGTTCAGTTGTAGTTCGAAGAACTGACTAAGTGCGGAACTGGGCTCGGCATGTAATTTCTTCCGTCACCCATGCCTTCCAAAGATCGTCTGCTCGGTCAACTGAGTGTCTCAATGGGGTGATAACTTTTAAAATTTTGGCCAGATTACGGCTAACGGTTAATATCTTTTTTTCTACGACTAGCAGTTAATAATTGTCAATTTTTACGCCTAGGACACATGTTTCAAAAATAGCTTAATTGTACTCCAAGTCTCTTTTTCTGCGTCGCCACAAGCCAAAAATCACCCGTGCGGACAGAGATCGAAAATGTAAATGTCACAGATTTTGTCCAGCGCGCAGCGACTGCAATAATACAGCTCACGGAATTCTGTCTTGCTGTGATTACAAGATGTACTCAGTTCACACTCAAACATGGAAACTTCACCTGAAATATTTTTCATACCAGCGTGATCAGAGGAGACCCTTCTCTTCGACCCTAATTTGCATATCAAAAATTCACCAATCTGTACGAAAGAATTCTCAAAATGCAAGCGTTAATCGGGCTAAAAGAGTATATCACTGCATAGATTATTCACCAATGAGGTCACCGATTGCCTCAGACCCACGGGTTTATATCTAGCTTTCATCCACCATCATCCTAAAAACAACGCAAGTCTATCAGTGTTTTTCTCAATTGTGCTCGTGTCAAACATTATTTGCATAATTATGAAAATTGACTAAGATCTCCTTTTGATCGTTCAAACTACGTTGAGGATTTTAGGTTTTCATAACGACTGAATAGAGAAAAGATGCCGAGTTGTCTTAAAACGTTGCGTAAATGTGATCGGTCGTAACGCTTGCTCGCCTGCGTGACTTACAAAGTAGACAGAGGTGATCGGAAGGCGCCTTCTCGATAATTTTCGTTGAAGTATCAGGTCATGAAATACGCACAGTGTGGAGAAAATCAAATTTAGAGAATAAAATTTGGCACTCTGGTCATCACAGACATATCCGTCGCTTAAGAGGACACACAAAAAACTTAACATACGTTACAGTGTTATTTACAAAACAACACGGACATACTCTGAAAGAATTCTTGTAATTTCTCCCGAGATTTAGCACACGGAACGTAATGAACAAGTCCATCCTTTCTGCAAATTTGTTCCCATCATTAATGATTTACGCTGTTATGGACCAAAACATTTTTGAGCGACAAACTTAACATTTCCCGATCATCAAAAACTCAGCTAGATTGCGTGACATGTAATGCTAATTTTTTCCCTGTCATAAATTTTATGTATTTTCCAAAAAACAAAAAACAGAAATATTCACGAAAGATAAACATTTATAGTGTTTGGCAAACCTTTTTTATATATATATATATATATATATATATATATATATATATATATATATATAACAAAAATACTTAAACTATATCAAATACTCTGGACGTTTATATGTAATACATACATGCATTTTTTTCTAAATAGCTATAGATATTCTCGGGCGCTTCTTGGCCGTTGTTAATAAGGTTAAAGCTCACAAAAATGACCAAAACGTAATCTGTTTCGCAACACTCAGCAATCCTCTCCATTTCGCGAAAAAAATCCTCGCAAATATGGACCGTGGCGACTTTTCGAATTTTAGATTAATAAACTTGGATACATTTTTAAAGAAGAGCTTGTCGAGGTGGAAGAAGAAGGGGAAGAAGTCAGCTCTCGGTTCGCAACGTTCAAAGAAGATAATTGCTGATGCGATAGAAAAAATTCAGGGTGATAGAATCCATAAACAACTATTTGTTACTGATATTTCAATGCAGAAGTCATTACACAACACAAATCAAAACGACAACGGAAGCTCAAACAACGATGCAATGATCGATCACATTGGGCGCATGTGATTTTCCGAAAATTTTGGCGCATTAAACTGGCGTAAAATAGACAGTGTTATTGACGTAAACAAATCGACAGTAACTTTCCATTTAAGGCAGGAGTTAAGGCTGTCACAAGGTTAGATATCGATAACTAAACCGCCCTAACGTGTTACTTATATGAGGCACCAGGTTACCTTATGCTGCGCCTCGTGATTTTATTTTAATTATGGACCTTGTTGACGTCATTCATATCATCAACGAGATTATAGAAAAACGAAAACTGTGGTGGATATGTCAAATAAATAAACATACAATAAACCACACATTTTCTCGGTTTACAGGGAAATTAATGAGCACGCGAAAGCGCTTCTTGCCAAGTGGTTTTAATTGGCCGTTAAACCAATAGAAAGTGTGGTTCATTGCTTTTATAACATTAAACTATTCTTATTTTGTGATGAAGTCGCTGATTTACGATTTCAGAATGGCATAAAGATTTTATCTAAAGCTGTGAGTAAAGTTTTACGCGTTCAAAATGTTGCTCTTGGATGCCGAAACTTTTAGGTGGTTGAAAAGCACACGTGGTTCACTTCCTAGGGGTTTGAGCAGTAGCGTGACAACTGGGGCTGGGTCTTTGGATCTGGCAATTCAACAAATGTATAAGGTTTTTCCTTCACTTGTCGATATTCAATGCAAACAGAACTCCTGTTTACAGAACTACAGATTACAAGTTAAGGCAGTCACAAGGCTAGACTTAGAAAACTAAACTGCCCTAACGCGCTACTTACACAAGGCACCAGGTCACCCTACGGTCACGAGCAGTCTGTGGTGTTCTCACCAGTTCAGATTATATCCCAGAAAAACGTATTTATTACGGCAGTTGGCAACAGCAGTGTTGAAGAGTGAGTCACTTTACGACGATTTTCCTCTTCGAAGCGTGTAACCAAGAAAGTGAGCTATTTTCTTATTATTATCAGTTTTCGTTACATAATTTGTGTTACGTTGACCAGTTGTTCATTCACTTTTTTGCTACATGTAATCCGCTGTTAATAAGAGTAACGATTAGAAGTTAGTTAACGCTTTTGAAGCTTCGATCTTAGAAAAACAACCACAGTACTTGATATGTGGTTATGCAGGCATTCAGTAAAGTGCTTTGGAAAATAAAGAAAGTCCGATTTATCCTCATAGCGTTTGGATTTTTAACCATCACCATAGCCAACTGATGGCGACACTCCCCCCTAACAAATATCCTGCCTGTAATCTCTTTGAGATTACGAGCAGGAAAAAAGGGGGAAAAGAGCATTTTTACCTTGTTTGAATGAGATTAAATTGGATTTTGTTTAAGTTTAAAACGTTTTATTGATTCTGCAGATGAAGTGCTCCGTCATCTCATCGCCAGCGCTATTGATCCTGTATTTGATGACATTCTCATCTGCTGCGGAGTTAAAAAGGAAGACACCAGTCGACCTGACGGTTCCATTTACCTCGACTATAGTATGTTGCATTTTCGAATTCCCCCCTTTTTGTACGAAACTAGTCCTTTTTAAAATTGTCCCATTTTGTACACACATTATTTAGCGAAATTGTATAATGTAAATGTTCTTCACATACCAGCTTTTGACGGTTGTTATTGTTCTTGTTTGTCTGTTTGTTTTTAATTTTTATTTTATTCAAAAGATTTAACGTACGTGTTTTTTGTTATTTATGGAAACAAGTGATGTTTTGAGAGTTTTCATAATTGCACAAGCCATAGGCGAGTGAAATGTGAAACCTATAAAACCATCACGAGTGACCACATGTCGTAAGACTCAAGAGCAGCTCGTGCGATTCATTTAATTATAATCTTAACAAAAAAAAAACTGCGTATCGACACTACTTTGCACTTCCTCGGTGAAAATTACGTGAAGAATTTTCCAACCGGCTGAAAACTGTGACCTGACCTAGTGGATGGGTCATATTATGGAATAGTACGCGACTTAGCTAATACTGAGCTCAAAATGAACGCTGGGATTGGCCAACCCTGTACCAGGTCCCTCAAAGGGCATGTTGTTTCGCACGGCCTCGATCTTTGTTCTTGTTGTGTGAGATGCAGAGGCAAAAAAGCTTCGCAAATTCTTTAAACTTGAATGTTTGTAAACCTTTTTCTTTCCATGATGAGCTGAGGAAATCATTGATCTGTGTGGGAATGTGAAATGACTGTAGACATCTGTAATGGGTCCTGTAAATGCAAGAAATTCGTTCGTTTTTTGCTTCTGAACTGTCAATCTTAGCACTATTTTGAATAGACGGATATTTCTAGGTCATTTTTCTTCGCATAAAGTTGATAGCTTCTGGTACAATGCAATTGTCTCGTAACCCCGACAAATTTGCATATTGACTTTGAGCATGGTTATCGATTTGTGCCTTAAATAGAGAATATTACATAGGCGCGCGTGGAATGGAATTTCTCTATGAGTGTTCAACTCGATAGTTCACATGTGGCTGCAGCGAACGAGTGAGATTTCAAGATGAACACTCAAAGAGAAATTCCATATCTACAAGCAACCACGTATTATTTTTTTTATCATATAAACACGGTGGCCCTTTACTGACAAGAAAAGTCGACTTTACTAATGAATGAAAATAAAAGGATCGACAATACCCGAATGAAAATTGTAAAGTGCGTTAGTGCACTCAAGATGAAAACAAGGGTTGAATCACTAGAAAAACAAAAATGGTCGTAATCTTCAAAATTCTCAGTTATTGACTTTTTCCTCACCAACAAGAGAAATCTTTCAGGTTCACGGCCAAAATGGGCCTGTGGCAAAACTTCCAGCTTTCGATTTTCGTTCTAAGCGGCGAGAAATGCCCTTTAACCAAAGCCATTGAACACGTAACTTTTGATTTGTCTCTTTGCATTTTGGTTTTCTTCCCCTTCTAGAGCTGTTGAAACGTATCTGTCTGTAAGAGAAACGGATTTTTCAGTGTTTTAGCAGCCATGAATTCTGACTAACGACCTTGAATTGAGAATCGTAACTTTGCCGTTCGTTCATCAACCTGACAGAGTGGCGCGAAAGGCTAATGACGTGTCTGTACCTGATTGGCGAAAAAAAAATACCCGTGGAAAAATTCTCGTATTACAGCTGTGATGAAAGCAGAAAATGTCGTGAACATAACGTTTTTAAGTGAAATTAAAAAACGAAGGTTTTCTTTAAATTTACGTAAGTTACAAGATATCTCGGTTTGTTACATGTTCTCTTTGTCTCATCATGGAGCGAAAGAGGGTCTGCCAACGGAAACTTTTTAAATCATTTGAGAATCTTCCAAGACTCCGTGTACAACGAAAAAGATAAAGGCCGCGCGAAACGGGATGGAACGGAAAGTGTAACAGCCTATTACGGACGTATGTACGAACCCACGAATTGGAAATAAAAGCTTTTCGTTAAATGTTGTACCTTTCGGGATGTCTACGGTCATTTTCACTTTCCAACACAAGACAGTGATATCCTTGGCCCATCAAGGAAAGAAAATAATTTGTCAACTTACAATTTCCAAAGAATCTGCGAGGCTTTTTCGGCTCTGCATCTCACGCAAAAACAACAAAGATCAAGGTCGCGCGAAACGACATGCCCTTAAGGGACCTGGTACACGGTTGGCCAATCCCAGCATTCATTCTAACCTTAGTATGGGTAAAGTCACGTATTGTGTAATGTTCTTAAAAAAAAAGGAGAATAAAGGCCTCAATTGGGTGCCGGAGGAACACCGTATGGCACTCTTTGTTTAATTTACATTCTTTATTAACTATTCATAAAGTTGGTACTTTGTCGAGGATATGTTAAGTGATCCAATCGATCAGTGAAATGATCGACACGTTCATTTATATTGCAGGACACACCATCATTAAATCGCACAACATGTAGAGTATGCCCTGATGGAGTGATGTGCAGAATGTTTGACACGTGTTGTCCATGGATGAGTCCTTGGGAGTATTCATGTTGTCCTCTACCAAATGCTGTTTGTTGCCCTGACCTTGAAAATTGTTGTCCGGCAGGATACATTTGTTCTCTTGCTTATGGATTGTGTATATCTGAGCACAAATTTCATTAATGTCATTGACTAAATACGATGTTTCGGCACTTATTATCGGGTGATAATTTGACTGAATACAAAGCCAATCCCTCTTTACCTTGACAATCAGTCGGGTAAATTTATAAGGCGTTGAAAATATTAAAAGCTGGAAATAAAGAAGGAATACATAAAAAACATAGGCATTCTATGCATGCAAGAGTTATTTTTTTGGGGTGGGTGGATTACTTGAAACATTGCAAGTGATGTCTATATATTCTTTTACAAAAGGAAAAAAGAGTATTAACGCAGAAAAGAACGAAAATGTCGAATTAACTCACACACAGGTATTTTGTGGTAGATTGTGTGTGTTGCTCGGGTTACTGTAACCAAAAATAAACTGTATTGGTGGCACGGATTCCTGTTAGTACAAAATACAGACTGCAGACCGGATACAAAATGTAGACTGCAGAGTGGGTACAAAATGCAGACTGAGAATCTAAAGAGTTTTTTCGTCTGGTATGTGATAACATGTCATCTTACAACTTACCGAGCGTCACACGATCAGCTTTCACGATTATTTTCACTAATTTGGAATATTTTTTAGTCCGTTTCTTGATCAAAATCGATCTTAATATAATTTCAAGCCTTCATATAGCCTTCTCACTTTGCGTGCGAGTTGGTTGGTGTGATGTCTGTACAGATTTTACCAACGTAATAAAAGAAGATGTATATGTAAATAAGATGTCACTATTGAAAATTTAACACGCACAATATTCGACATCTTTGCACGTGGTCCGTATTATCATCTTTTTAAGCGGTATGTGTTTATTTTGTTGAGACCAAAACTGTTCCTTCGACTTTATATATTTTCGACGTTAGTAAATCACATCATATTAATTTACCTCCGTAGATCATTCATTCCAGACTGAACAAAATCAAATAAACATGCCAACGATGGTGTCTGAATTCGTCCATGGCCAAACACAAACGACTCCACAAGATCACTTTCTCCAGGCATCGAAAACATACACAAAATCGTCCATAGTTAATTTTAATCAGACATTCATCCAGAGATAGCACCGAGCAAACCAATCCAGAAAAATATAATCGACACACTCAACAAATCACGAATCTTGCAACACAGCTTGCCTTTAAAGAACTGCTCAAATCAATATGTTTGGTGCAATTCATCAACACCCCAAGCAATATTTGCTTCAAAATTTTTCCACTCACTCTCGTCGTGAAGGAAAATTAACCATAATCGTGCTACAGTGCACAGAACTCCATTTTCTCTCGAACAACTATCCACCATTTTCACAGCATGAGTAACACGTTTACTATAGGTAATCTGAAATCTTTCATCTGTGCAGTAGGATCGCATTTCTCATAAAGCGCGGTAAAATATACGTTAAAAACACAGAAAAGCCAATATTTCTTATTCTGAAAGATGATTCCATTTTACGAACCGCTCTCTCCGAATCCCCCATTACTTCGTTGAAATTTGAACACCTCTCAAACCAAAGAACAAAAACGACGCTCTGATTGGTGCGAGATACATACCCTAATTGGGTGATCTGATTGGTGCGAGATACATTCCCGAAACGATCTGATCGGTGCGAACAACATACCACTCTCTATACGCTGATATAGATGTCATAAAAAAAAAATAATAATAATAATAACTCAAAAACTATCGGAGTACTTCGATGTAAATGACGTTGTGGTCATGAGATTCTTAAAGAAAACACAATAAAACCGCAAACGATAGCACAAAATATCTTATTTATTTTGTTCAAAATTTAGGTTCTCTTAAAAGCAGTCAGTAACACAAATGTATATTTGACAACCCCAAAGCAAGCTGTCTGAAAAGCGTACAGTCACATGATTCCATAGCATTAGAAAAAATTCAATTAAAGGCCTGAATATTCGGCCTCGGTTTGAAACGGGCTCAGATCTTGGCGAGCCTTGGGCTGCCTCGAGCCAGTTCCTAGCGATTTAAATTTTCACTGCGATGCAGGATCTGTAGAAATGAAACAAATGATTTTTAAGATTGACTCTTTTCTTTACGACTAACGGTTAAAATTTTTCAATTTTTACGCCTTTTAAATAAAATAAATTTTCGGCCGCTTTATAGCTTACTGTTAACTTTATTGAGACCTTCTCAACTGTGCGATTCCCTCAGGTTGAGTGCAGAATCTCTCACAATCCGTAGTTTGGTTAAGATTTTTCCTTAAATGCCTGTAATCAACCAGACTGGTTCAGCGGCAAATAAGTGAGTGGTTATAGAAAGATTACTGGTCGTAGTATCACTGCAGTTTTGGTGGAATGTTCCTTTACCAAGGCGCAGCGCGAAAACAGAATAGACTTTTGGACACAGCTTTATTTAAACGATCACAGAAAATAACCGAAGTATTTCTTCTTACTGCGTATTTTACCTTCAGTCTTTTGATTGGTCAGCGGTAGCCAGCCGCGACTCCACCCTTGCGATAATCTGCTAGTGCTAGAAGCTCTCCGTCATCCTTTCGTACAACAAGTTGAACCACGCCCATGATCTGTAATGGTGTTCCTGAAAGAGAAACAGAACTAACGCTTCACTTAAATCGTAACTTTGAGCTGAACGTTCCCACTAACGGAACTGTTCGACCAACTAGTTCCATTAAATTGAAAGTGGACTTAGATTACTAAAATTTGGGAAAAACGGTGGCATAATTGTTAGGAGGATAGACTCCGGATCCAGAGTACAGACTTTACCTCAAAATTCTTAATGAAACCATAATCACCTGTGAATAAGGTTGTATCATTTGTGATTCGCTTGTGTCCATACCGCTTTAATCCTTCGATGTACTTTTCTGGAAAATTTGGTTCAACTAAGATAATGCTTGGGAATAATTGACTGTGAAGACGTGGCTTGGATACAGCATCCTTTAAACTGTCGCCAAACCAGAAGTAGTTCATAAGTACCTACGGAGATAAAGGATATGCGCATACAAGACGGCGCTAAAAAGGTTTCTGTGCATGCCCCGCGATTGTTCGGGCGAGGTATGCTTCCGTATTTTCCCTTTTTAATTGTCTCCTCGAGGCACATTTTTCGTAGGCGCACGAAGATGAAGAAATGGTGCGAAAATTTTTTGTGCTCCTGTCCCTGGTCGGTCTCCCTGGCTGTTTTACTATGTCTTAACAAGATAGCAGCACCTCGCATCTTTTCTCAAATCGGGCCATACTTTGAGGTTGGCTTTTACTGTAGAATAAAGGATAAGCTCAATTGCGAGGCCATTTTATTCATGCGCACGGCTTCTCTGTTAGCTCACATAGTAAGGAAAGGTGACTCCCCCCTTGAGTATTGTGACCTCGCCTCTAAGTGAACATCCTAGAGGAAAATACATTCCGAATGAGCATCAACAATTACTGACCTGTGATAACGCAGTTGCGATGTATTTTCCTCCAGCGGCTCCGATAACCATCCTAACATTCCCTTTCCCATCTAGAATGATGGACGGAGAAGCAAGAGACATCGGTCTTTTACGAGGTCTCAGAGAGTCCGCTTTCAAATTGAATTCGTTAACATACAAGTTTATAGCATCCCACAACTGATCATTGTAAATGATTCCGAGTTCCAAGCTGCGCAGTTTTGCTCCGAAACTGTAGAAGAACCAAATAGTGTTTCCTAAATTAGATGTTCATAGAGTTACTCAAAAAAAGTATGCTTTAGTGTTGTAATGATAATGGCGAGGACGATAATGATAATGGTGGCAAGAAGAGCAAAAGAGGTGGTGATAATTATGATAATAAATCCATGATAATTATGATAATAAATCAATGATGATTATGATAAAGATGCTAAAAAAAATGGTCACCATTACTATAATAATATAATTATTCGTACTGATGATTACGGTGTTGCTTATTACTCTCCGTTTTTCTAAAAGGAATCTAGTTATCTAATGATAGGATTCAGTGTTCTCAACCACCTTAATTTTTGTGGCTCACTTTAAAAGGCTACTCAAGACGCCATTGTGAAACTGAAAAGGTTATCCGACTGTTTCTATAATCAATTATATTCTGCTTACTATTTATTAATTGATGTCGTTATGGAAACAGCATTTCCTTCTTCATCCAGTACAGACAAGTGAGTTGTACCATCTGTCACGTCAATATGATAGTTAATAGGTCCATAATAATCATATGAGTGGGTCGTGTCATCTATTTTTTGCCGTAGTTTTTCTCCTTCTTCAGGATCCAGCATTTGGCGAACGATCTATAAAAGAAGATGAGTACAGGATCGTAATATCGAAGACATTCCAGTTCTGGGAAGATAGTAAGCGAGTGAACTCTAAAACATCGTCCAATCACACAAGTTAATAAAAAAAAAACATAATTGCCGCTAGATTTAAGACTTGCTTAAGGGTTACCTCGTCTACTTTATCGTCGAATGCAGGATCTGTGAGATACGTTTCCCTTGCGGCTACAAAATTGAATGCTTCAATCATTCGGTGATATGTCCGGACGGGGTGTTTTTTCATGTCTTCTGGTCCAAAATTGTAACCTTTTTAAACGAGAAAATATTAAACTAGCCGCATTACTGTCGAAAATCTTCGAGGGAGCTTTTCAGCTTGGTATAACGATCAATTCTTACATATTGCATACTCTTTACATATTCTGTGGTATTGAAAATGAGAACTTGACTGACAATCTAAAGCTTCTAAAGTTGGTGATCATTATTTTCTTCGTCGTCATGACCTTTACATTTGATTCAAGGGTGACACTGTAAGGAGAAACCAGATGCTATTCAATTATAGGAGCTAGGGGGTTAAGAACCACTTTCTCAGGCAGACGGAAAGAATTTAATTTCTAATCTTTACTTTGCACTCTTTCGGGAAACAATTTGAAAATTGAGCATTTGTTTCTTGTTAGTTCTATTCAAGGCTGAGAAGAGAGAAAGAGTAATCACATCCTTTCAAATCCGTCATTCGTGTTTGTTGTAAAAGTACGTAGTCACAGCAGTTTTATATGTTCCTATTTGCAAAGGTGATCTACATAGTCTTTCAGACCATATTTTTCTATGATAGAAAAAGGAGATCTTGGTTGAATCTTATTTCGTAACAGAGTCGAAATGGTCTGAGTTGACTCACCCTTCAAAATGTTCAGGATGTCAATTAAGGCTACTCCCCCTGCAGGAGGTGGGACGGTCAGAATTTTGTATCCCTTCACTCCTGGAAGGTCTGTCTCCAATGCTTTGAGTTCAGATGCTTCATAATTTTTTAAATCTTTTAAGGATATCTTGGAGCCAGCAGATCTGAGATCTTTAACAATCTGTGAGTTTTAACAAATAGTTTGCTCTAGCTAAAAGGTTAAAGATATCAGGAAGTTTCATGATGGGAAAGTAAGAAATGTTTCAATTCATTTTATCTACTTTGTTCTGTCGTCGCTGTTTTATCTTTTCTTTATCAATCAGCTGTTTTTTAGTAACCTAATTTTCATTTCATAACACTTATTACCTTATCGTTATTTTTGTCGTTGATGTTATCGTTACCATTTTTCGTTATTTTGATATCGCTATCGTTCCTTAGCTTAGTCAAACCGTTGCCTCCTACATGCCGTGCTGTATACAACCATTACCACCATTGATACATATGACCATCTTCGTGATTGCGCTGTCACTATCAGTTTCGTTGTCCATAATTCAGTCGTTATAGCTGTAACATCCTTTCGCATACTTTTTGATGTTTATTCTTATCATGAAACACGCTCTGGGTGAGAGAATGCGTCGTGCAACTATACCAAACATAGACTTACTGAACAGATGCATGCTCAAATAAGATAAACTCGTCGCAAAGCTTAAATTGCGAAAACAAAGGCTTATTTTTTGCAGTCTTCATAATAGAGAAGACTTAAATCTTGACATTATTTTACCTGTTTCGCCATTTTTCCTCGATAGAAAACATCAGCACCGCCTTCAGCTATCTTCTTTAAAGTTTTCCCATATTTTGTTCGCTTTATAACGTCGCCTTCCTTAACAAATTGACCGTTTGGCTTGAATAACTCACTGCAAGGAAAATGGAATGATGTAAAGTTGACAGGGAATTATATCAAGAAGGGATGTACGTAGGTACATTGCTCCATCAATATACAAAAAACGTCCCCATACATTATTGATAAGTATTTAAGCAACAGATTACTTAGAATAAACAAGTTAATCTTGATCATCCGGATCAGAGCAGTTCTGAGAATACCTTTTGATGGTAGTAGTGACTGAGGTTTCGGCAACCTGAGAGGAAGTTGTTATCAGGGTCAATTCAAGTCAACTTGACTACAATGATGACCTCGCTAAGGTTGAAGAAACGGCAGTGACTTATACCGACAATAGTCTTTTTACTTCATTTAAGCTACTCAGCTTACTCACTGTCTATGACGAAATAGATAGCGAACTAGCGCAGCCAATCAGATTGCAGAATTCCTGAAAGAAGCCTTCTTAGATTAAGACATAATAATCAGCTTTAGGGTGTAAACGTGATTTAAAATAACAAAAAACCTCTTTCTCGAGTTCAGAAGGAAGTGCAAGCAACTAGAAGTCGTATTTTAGTATTCAGGGATTAATAACCTATATGAAGAACCTTTTAAGTTTGGAGGGAAAGAGAATGGTGCACTCTAGACTCTATTAGATGGTAACAATACGCAAAACAAAATAGATGCAATTGTTTTTATTTGGAATGTTTACCATATAGCTCGGATTCAAGAGAGGCCACATAATCCTTCAAAAAACGTTTCTAGCATTTTTAGTAAGACAGTAAAGTTGGAACTCAAAAATAAAACGTAATTTTATGATGTTTATGAATCGTATGACCGAGTAAATATTAGACATGAAAGTTAAAATCCTTAAATATCGTGGTTTTTATTGATTCATCACTGTCCCATACTATTTACCTATACTTCCTTGAAATTTTCTTTTCGCTTTCCACAATTAAAAGACAGTGGTTCTTTTACAAACCGAGTCATATAAGATGATAGTACCCACCTTAATCCTGGATCACTTGACACGTTTGGTGCGTTCTTTTCAACAGCGGCTAAAATGGCAGGAGTCGCCGGAAAACCATTGGTAGCAATCTCAATTGCAGGTCGAAAGAGATCTTTCCAGGGAAGTCGGCCATACTTTTTCCACGCCATCTCAAACCCTCGTAATTCTCCAGGTATACCGATGAATTCTCCTTCCCCAGGGTTTCTCGTTTTGATCTCTTTTAGGAAATTTAAATCACAACTGTGTCATAGCGTTATCGTAAAACATTACGAAATAAAATAAAACAAAGAAAGAAAAAAAAAAGAAGGAGAAGACTCGCGTAACACCGGATCTTCTCTTGATTTCACGCCTTCTGGATGGGATGCTGACTCTACTGGTCCGCCCCCCCCCCCTCCCCTTAGCATTTCAAATCTCCCAGAGGGATTCCTCATTGTGCGAGAGTTTTCAGCTCACCCCTCCCTTGTGGGGAGGACCATGCATAAGTTACTTCCATTTATGGACTTGACCACGTGCGAGAATTGTGAGAGCGAGAAACGGTTTGTGGGAGAGAAGAAATCAATCGTTTACGACGGTATTAAAAGGGATAAAAACACAAAACATGTAAGAAAACATGTCACTTGTAACCCATTTATACTACTGGGTGGAGAGAGGCACAAAGACAGGAACGCAAGTCGCTTAGGAGCATAAAACTTGACACGACTAATCTTCGAGTTGGACTTCTCTATCCGGAGACTCTCCCAAAGGGAAAAAGCTCGCAATGTTGAAATGAATATCGAGGAAAAAACTTGTGAAAGACACATGCCATGAATATCAATATGACATCATTGCGTTTTCGAATTGGTCTCACCTCTTTCTTTCCATTCAAACATTAAATGTTGCAGGTCTCTCATGGTATCGGCTTTTTCAAGGGCTGCAACCGTTTCTCTAAAATTGATCGACCTTGTCTTTCCTGAAATTATCAGACAAGTAACTTAGTGTTCAGGTTATATTATGCTGCGGGGAAAACAAGTAAAAGGCCTGAATCTGTCATATTGGCCTAGTGTCAAACTGAGTTCTTTCAAAATCTTAGCCTTGAAATATATAGTCTTCCAGGAGAAAATTTAGGATGCTATGGCGTTTTTCTTTTTTAGCATGTTGTCAACAGAAAGAGACCCCTCGTGAAATTTTCACGTGAGGAGTAATTCACAATTAAGGATCTGTTATTTCTAAATCCTCCTGGACCACTCACATTCTGGATGCTTCAGGAAAAACTACGGAGAAATTACCCTTGGAATAGGGGGTAATGGCTCCATCTTTCGCTCTGACGAAGGGTCAAATTTCGAAACGTAAGCTCTAGAAAGTCTTTACGGCGCCCAACTTGTTACCCGGGGTATATTGTATGTAGCTTGGGAAGAGGGATGGGAGAGAGGCCTCACTCTCCCATTGAAAAATGTGAAGTATACCTGACATCAGCATTGACCACAGCAATGTTGCTTTAGCCAGCAGCAGCCACGAGTGCTTGCAATGAATATATTTACCCTTCATCATAAACCTTTGCCCGTTTTTTGCGCAAATAAAAACAATTCAAAATCTTTCGACATTAGACAAGTGTATACCGTAATGCTCTCTTAGTTGTTTTTTAAAAACAAGTATCATGCAATTTGTATCAGCAACAAATACAATCTAACGAGCATCATCATTTCATTTCATTGCCTTTTGGATTGAAATTTTTAAACTTGTAGATGATTATCAAACTGATTCGTCTATTTTTTTTTTTCGATTTTCCAAAAGTGAAAAAGGTATTGTTTGAAAAAAAAAGAACTCTAAGTTAAATTGATTCAGGCGAGGAATTGAGATATTCCTTATTTAAAAGGAAAAGTCAATTAGTTGCAGTCTAACCGATTTAATCTGTAATATTCATATTAGTAATGATAGTTATAATTATTTAAACTGAACTGATTGAATCTTAGGTGAGAAAATAACGTTTATGATTCGTTGATTTAAAGGGTGAATCTATATTCAGAGGCAGACATAAAATATAAATTAATTCTCTTAATGCCTCTTTTATTTCCGAACACAATGGCATTTAAGCAGTTAAGTATCACAACATAAGGGTAGCACAAAATTTCCGATCATCGAAGCGTGACATACTTTGTTGTGACCACCGTAATGTCATTGCAAGGTGTAACACTTGTTTAATTCGCGCGATATGTATAAATACAAATGCTACACAGCTGATGGTGCATTTAAATGAGTTGGAGACTCACCACTTTTCTTGTCATAAATAATCATGAATCCTCCACCTCCAATACCCGCTGAATGGGCGTTCACCACACCCACACACAGCGCAGTTGCAATGGCGGCGTCCACGGCATTTCCATTTTGAACTCGTAAAATGTCTGCGCCGTACTCTGAGCACTTCTTGTAATCTGCTGACACGGCAGCAGTTTTGAACTCCAGGGGTTCGGAAGGTGGGGCAAGAGGTGGACTAAAATAGAAATGTTTTTTATTATTTTTTCGTAAGTTGAACCGAACCTGAATAATGTGTTCAAGCGAATCGCTTATTTTGATCTTATGCCTGGGTTCCGTTCAATTTTCGCGAAATTGGGGCGATCGTAGACAGAACACCTTTCAAATCATTCTGGGCTCAGTTGTTCGAAGGTTGATTAGTGCTAACCCAAGGTTAAATTTTAATCTAGATTTTCTTTATTCCTTTATTCAAATGCCTCGTCGGGATAGTTTTCCGTGTTATTTATAGAGCATCAAATAATCACATTACAGACAAAAAGAATTCGACTGAATTTTCTTTTAAAACTGTCAGATCTGAAATTAGATTTCACACTAACCCTGGGTTATCTTAACCTAGCTTTGAACAACCCGGCCCCGATCGTCTTTGCACTGTTCGGGATAGTCGGGTGGAAAGAAAAGTGAAAGAACCAGATTTAGATCGGCTTAGTTTAGGGATAACAATTTTTTTCCTTGAGTTAACGTTTGTGATTTGCTAATTTAAAGAATGAAGGCATAGTCAGAACAGACATGAAATCCAAAGTAATTTAGCCTCTTTGATTTCCAATCAAAATGGAATATAAGCAATTAAGTATCACTAGCAAAGCGTGGCACAAGATTTCCGACCATTGAAGCGTGAAATATTTTGTTGTGACCACAGTAATGTCATTGCAGAGTGTTTCTAGTACGCACATAAGTGTCTCGGCTGACCAGAATCTTCAATCCACTATTTTCACTGGTCTGAAACAATCCGTTTCAGAAAAATTGTGCTCCTGGCTCGAGGACGTACTTGAGACCACGGACATAGTTTTTCTATACGGACTTCCCACTGAGTAAATAATTAGTTATTTTCATTTTGAGTCACAAACAAAATCATGTGCAATCAAATTCCATGTAGCAACTTCATCAAACGAATATTATACCGTTGAAATTCAGATTTTAATCAACAGCAGTATTCACGAGTGAATTTGTTTGAATAAAGGATCAAAAGAAGAAAACATCACAACAGGTTTAGCCAGAAGAAAGATATTTGAGAGTCATTGATTGCATGCGAGGTAGACCACCCCTGAGGCTAAATATTTCTATCATAAAAAATACATAAAAGACCAGTCATTGTCCATCGCCTGAGGGGCTGGGGATCAGTTGATTTTGGGGAGATGAAATGGTTTTCAAGCGATACGAAGAGGCGATCAGTCGTCGCCAACAGAGTATGAACAGGGTGGAAGGAAATACAGAAAATTGTCTGCCAATCAACTGCCAATGAGAGGCGATCATAAAAATAGTATGAAGCCTTATTAGGGGAATCACGATGACCGGTTCTTTGTCTACATGGTACAGGTGCATCCTGTGCGACGTCGAGATAATTAACTATTGAGGCAAAGCTGGCCGTTTCAAGTTTCGTGGACATGATCCACACCCTGTTTTTGTTGTTGGTCATGCAGGAAAGAGCATTTTGAAATGCTTTTTATCCTCTTTAAGTACCTGAAGTACTGTCTGATTTCTTTTCAACCAGATTTTGGAAAAGGCCTTCTGAGAGCAAAACGTCGAGCAAACAAGTCGATAATGAACTTGTCAACGTTTTTCGGCTTGACAAAACTCAAACATTTGACTAAAGAAATGACTTGTTTACAGAAAATAACAACGCCAAAACAAATCAAACGATGGGGATTTTGAAGGTCTCTGCAATTGCTAAAAACCAAGAAAAACGAACGCTGAATGCGGGAGAAGTTAAATCCTAGCAAAATCCGCCAGTACCGAGATATCCTGTCGATTTTCCCGCCCTCATCGAGATCAACTGTTTTCTAAATAGGCTTTGTACACATATCATTTATCAAAATTAAACCAAAGCACGAGAATGTGTTTGTATTTTGGCCTTCTCTTACCTTCTTCTTTTCAACGGGGTTTTTTGTTGTGGGACAATCAAATGATTTATAGCTTCATGAATCTGTTTACCAATTCCGGTTACATACACAACTCCTCCCAAGGCACACAATACTGTCACAACAGCGAGAAGCCGTCGGCACACAAAATGCGATTTTCCGCCGGAAATTGTTGAGTCGGTCATGATCGTGAAAATCTAAGACTAGCCAGTGAATGAGAAACCTTACTTTTTCCACTCAAGGGAAGTGGGAATTAATATTTAAAGCATTCTTACAAGCGTTCTGTAGGCTGAGATTTCACACTAGCTCTGACTTTCCCACCTGCTACTAAACGCCCGTTTCTTTTCTTGTGCTTAAAAAGCGTAAACAAACTTACAAGTTAAAAAAATCAACTCTTTCATTCATCCCAAAAGAAATTGACACAACTGATCAAGCAAAACGCCAGGTAGCATGGAGAGTAAACTCACGACTCGCTCTTATCTCTGCGCATGCTCGCTGGAGGCCTTATCTATATAATCTCAGGGAACCTGAGGCAACTCTTCCCACTCAAGAAAAATTGGAGCTGGTTTGGCCGACGTTTTCCCGCCTGACAGAGTAACACTGTCTGCCTATGCGAGAAAAACTCGTCCACTCAAGTCTCCCTACAGAGACGATATCACGATTCTCGAGTAAACAGCCAGTTGAGTTTTCAAATAAATGATTAAGGAGTTAGACAAGGGTAGCCGGCGAAGGTGGGGGCTTTTCTCGAACAACCTAAAGTAAATAGGTTCTTGCAATCAAAAGAAAAATTGACGCTTTTTCTAAAGGCCAGAGTAAGTGCGAGCCTATAGCAATCGATGCTTAGAAAGTCAAACAGAACGCTGTGGAAGAATGCCAGATTAGAAATCACTTAACGAGTTCCACAAGTCGCGCTAGGCCGTCAACATATTAAAATTTATCTCCGAAGTCTTGATCTCGTTTTTCTCGACATATCTGAAGTTAAGAGCATCAAAGAAGCCTACAAGCAGCGTCAAAATTAGTTGACACATCACGTTTAGAGTGTTCTATTTATGTGTAGAACAACACCTGTCTCAACCACAGTTAACACTTGAACTCCCAAGATCTCATTAGTAATTTTCCTTACTGTCTACCAAATGATTTTCTTTGTGTTAGCTTGGAGAATTTGGTATCGGATCAATTAGTAATCCGATGATTGACATTTTTCCTTATTCTCATCGCTTGTCTGCATGATATTGTATGGACATAATATGGAGAAATTCTGCCTTGCTCACTCATGAGAGCAGCTAAAGGCTTAAAATCATTGGCAAGACCCTCTCCCCCAATTAATATTGCCTGTATGTAGCTAAAAGTTTATGGAATCACGATACAAAATTTTTTGAGAGAGAAGATACAAGAGTCTGGACGGCGGATGGAGGAAGTTTCTTGCGAAGAGCATCAAGGATAATAGAATTCCCAAGAATTGCTGTGATGGAAAGGAGAGTGCTAACTGCTAACTGCTGACATGGAAATTAATTCCTGTTGAAGACCACACACCAAAGAGGGAGGTATAGTGGTTATAGAAATTATTTCATCGGTGTTCTACTTGTACTGAAATTTGTCGTCGACACCACTCTGAGTTCGTTTCCTTTTTCTTGTAGGCTATTTGAGATTGCAAAAGGTGAATGTTCCTTCTTAACAGCACACACCCAGCCGTGATCAGTGAAATCGCACTTCCTTGATAACATCCAGGAAATTGTCTGTTATGTCAAGAGAGGGAATTTTTCCCCTCAAACTTGTCATGTTTCTCAGGGATGAAATAATAATTATAAAGCAAAAAATAGAGACATCTGTTATATCTTTTTTAAAAGGGCGACAAACAATTACTATTTTCCTGGATCAAATTTCATTGATAGCGCTAATCAACTGTCCGAATCACCTGTGTGATGTTGAGACTGACATGAATATCAGCCATAACCAACTGAAACAAAGGAGCCCAAGCTGGCGATGTGACTTGGCGGTGCAGGAAATGTTGAATTCCTGACAGTCCCTGAAGGTATCAAACTATTGAAATTTAAATTTTAGTCACAGATGCGAACTTATTTTAGAATATTCTAACAGATTTATAATATATAAAGTTTCTCAGTCTTCTTCACTCCGTTTTGCATGCTTAAAAAAAAATTTAACAAAACTTTGCGCTATCAAAAAAATATTTTTCTCTTATTTTTTTCCTTACCTGCTTTCTTTCTTTCGTCGGCAAATTCATAGAGATTGCCTCTAGCAACGACAAGCAAAAGTTAAGCTATTAGACTCCATGATCTAGTTTCCTTTCTAAGTCTGGTTAATGAGTTGAGGAAAATGTTTTTCAATTAGTAAGCTGCTCTATATACGGCAAGTCATTGAATTCTAAGCTTGTTATTGCGATTAACTGGCGCGGTTAACAATTCGTCTTTTATCACGACGGTTACATCCTGATAATGAAGTGAAAAAAACAATTTATCTATCGCGGTCGGAAATCAATTGATAGATGCTTAGGAATTATCAAAACTCGCCGAACATTTATTTCATTCTAACTTCATCAAGAACATTTGCTCAAAAATTCATCTTAGGCGTTCGCTCCATAACCACGAAATGTCTTTTAAGTTTTTTCTCAGAGGTCATGGTTGTGTGCAGTCAGGGGCCTATCTCTTCCTGTTGTGTGTTATAGAAATTAAAACAATAGACAGTATGTAGGTAAAAAAGCAATTCTAGCCTGTTGCTTTTCATTCTGGCTTTGTGGATTGACCACGTTTTTATTTTAACACTCCTGACGACAGGTCTGCGCGTTGCATTTCTGGTATTCTACTGGTATGTACTACAGGCTTCGCTCCAGCCATGCTTTTCCACCATTGGACGGTGGAGGTTTTCGCAGGTTCTCATGCGTTTCTGGGTTCCTCCAACGGAGAAGTAATTTAGGATAGCCGTTCCAAAACACGAAAAAAAAATTCTGTTCTTCAGAAATGAGCATTAACCCAGTTTTTCCGGGGTGGTCATCTTGAGGCAAGTCATTACTGGGACAGCTGAAGTAAAGTCGTTACCTGTCTCTCATCTCTATCGCGCATGACTGAAAATAAAAGCAGTTCGGCCTTTTTTAGCTAGATTTTGAGGACGGGTCGATAGAGTTCCAAGGGCCCTTCGTTTCATAAACAAACATAGGAAAAAAGGCACAAACAGGTCATAAAAAGGCGAAGTCAAAACAGATTGCTAATTAAGCTTTTATTTTTCAATCTTATGATCACCTTTTCAGTCTCAAGATTAAACAGAATTGGCACCCCTCCTAAACCAAAATCTAATTTTGCAAAAGATGATGCAAACAAAGAAAAGAAAAAGGATCTTAGCACATCAGTCTAAAAAATCAACAAAATCCTGGATTATTGTTGTTTTATCTTTTCACAAACAACATTCGTCTTCACAATCTTCACCACCATTTTCCAAACACTCGTCAATACAATTTTCATCTCTGTCCCCATATCCGCAGGGATCATTGGAGACGTCATCGAAGGATGGCCTGTCAATGTTTTCTACAAGACAAAAACAAATAATTTTGATGAGATTTTTGGACATTTTTGGTCATTTCCCCCCAAGATGTGACTCAACGATGTGAGGTTACATACAACTAACAATTAAGATATCGAATGCGATGTCCATTCCAATTTGTGACGATGAAGCGGCAGACAGTTCATTCTAGCTTCGTTGTTCTCCAAATGAGCTTTCATCTGTTTTCAGATAGGTAATTATAAATCTCATCTCATCGTAAGGCCTGGTTTAATGTATAGTTGATATTGAATGTGTTTTTCAAGAAGACTGAGTGCAGACCGAAGTTTGAATGTTAAAATACCAAACTTGATATTGATCTGTATTCAGTCATATGCACTGTTCAATTTATTTTCAAATCTAGTTCCGGACATTTTGACTATTTCTTTCTTTACATAAGATATTTGGGAGTTAATCATAGGATTTAAAGTATGTTTTCAAGCTCTGTTCTTTGAGCCTTCAAAAACTTCATAGGAATTCCAAATTGCTCATTTAAAGAAGGTTACCATTAGGACGCCAAACCATCTTGAATTTAGCTGAGTGTTCTATGTTAAGATTTTTTTTCTTATGAACATTGTCAAGAGTGCCGAAAGTTAGCAGTGGAAGTATTTTTTAGCATTTATTTCATGTAAACAAACCTCTTATGGAGAATAAGCACGGCCCACTACTTACGTAAAACCGTGGTTTGGGTTAGACCTCGTTTAAATAATCAGCACAAAATGTTTCTCGTTGATACGCAATTGTAAGTTCATTCTTGTAGACAAAGAAATATTCTAAGTTTTAAAAAATGCCCGAGACATTTCAAACGCTGAGACTCATTCCCAAAATATTGCTTAAATCCATCTTGATTTTCAATTTTCTCGTTACTTTCCATTTCACTCATTAGTTCACTGTATACACTATTGCTTTAACGCCAGGTATCTTTTGCATTTACTCACCTTTCCCGGTAGAACGTGATGCCACCGATACAATCATAACAGCCAAAATGAACAGGAACACAGTCTTCATAGTTGATGTGTCACTGTGAAAATCGAAAAAAAATCCAATATAGCGGCACCTCCCAATTGAAGGTAGTGTAAAGAGCAACTCCCTCCCCACCTTCCTTACTTATCGAAAAACTCAGCAAAGGGACATACTGTAGCCTTTATAAGCAGAAAGTTTAATAAAGATGAATATCTACTTTACCCCAATTGAGACCAGTCGCAAAACTATTTTCAGAACAGCAAGACAACTGCAATGAAAGATGTCTTGACCTACCTCAATCGCGCGTCCTTTACCAAGGTTTAAGTACCAAAGTTGAACTTTTCAGCTCAAGAATCACCAAGATCTGTTAAAAAGGGATTTTAAAGCAAATATTAAGTTATAACATTGAGGTGAACGTCAACTTATAACTATTGCATCAACAGACATGATACACACGCACACATGGGTTACAAACAAGCTTAGCAACTCACCTCAAGTAAAGCTGTTTTCACAAGCTCTAAAGACCAATTCGTTGCGGTACAGCTAGTTTTCTTTCTTATCTGTGTGTGAGGAACGCTGACGTACGAGTAAACTGATTGGATTACAAAGACTTCCGGAACCTTGTGATTGGTTCAAGCTAATATACTACGTTTTAATTGGCCCATTATACAACCAAATTACAATAGTCAAACTCAAAGAAAGAAAGTCACCGTCTGAAACAATATGAGTTTTTGA